GAACTCACTTTATTCGCCGTTTCCAGATAGTTTTGCCGGTTGGGAATTTTGGATTGCTCCAACGGCATGCTTCTTGGGAGCTAGTCCTCTCTATCACAGCCCGGAAACCCCTCGGGAAACATGGATCCCTCACCACAGGCGGGCTCAAGCAGTGTCACCGGTGTGTGAAGACCGCAACGGTCCTAGTAGGGTTGCATACTGACCGATCTGGATCTTCAGTCGAATATACCGACCCCTCCGGCTTGTTCCCCCTCGTTCAACCTGTTCTTGCGAATAAACTACCCCTGAAGAACCTCCACTGGAAGTCGCCGACCCGCCCCGTTCGATCCATCGAGTCCCTCCGCATCGGCTTTGTCCCTGCCCAGAATGAGGCCAACGAGCGCAAGTCCTCCGGCGATAGCGCAGTGCCGCACCGCCGTCACCAAATCCCCGGCCTCCGTCAGACCCCCTATCTAAAGATCTTCCTCTTACGCTGCGATGATAATGACACCTATAAATCAACCGCCAGGAAGGCATTGCGCGAATGGATCAAGTCTCATGCCTCGATGTCGCAGTCCACCACAAGCCAGGAGAAACATGACGCATGTGAATGGTTGATCCTACATGTTGTGCCAGACGGAGATGGCGCGGAAAAGGCTATACCATCGTCCAAGTGGGGTCGCGCCACGACGACGGTCCTGGAGAAGGTCAAGGCTGATTTCAATGGCACCTCGAAGTCCGCCGTGGACCGGGTAGCTCAATTGCGACTACCTAAGCAAGGAACCACGCAGAAACCACCTGATTTGGCTGACCAGCTGGAGGACTTGATTGAGAAGATCAAGAATGGCATTCTCGCATCTTTCGATCTTCGCGTGGCACAATACGAGGAGGATATCAAGGAGAAGGATTCCCAGAGAAGTCTGCCTGGGTGGAACTTTTGCACGTTCTTTATTTTGAAGGAGGGTCTTGCGCGAGGCTTCGAAAATGTAGGGTTGTTTGACGATGCGCTACTTGGATATGATGAACTTTCCATTGGACTGGATACTGCGATTGAGGAGCAACTCCAAGGCAGCGGAGAGCCACACGGTAGTACCTTTTTGCTGCACACCGAGGATTGGCAGAAGAAGGCCAAGGCGGCCTTGGAATCCCCAGCATCTCCGACGGACGAGGAAGATGAAGAGCCAACTCTGATTCCCGAGCTCGACGCGGACGATTTCCCCATTGACTCGAACAAGAAGGCCTACCGGGAGATGATCCTTGGAAGCAATATCTCGATTTTCGATTTCCGCATTTACATTTTCTCGCGACAATTAACCCTACTCCTCAGGGCGGCAAAGGCTCCCTCGCTACTCAAGAAGGAGCCCGATACCGGCCAAACGCGAGCCAATACGAATAAGAAGCCCGAAAACTTAATGCTACTTTCAGAGATATGCGAAAGAGCGACGGAGTTCATTAGCTTTGCCGCACGCAACCTCAGATACGATCTAGAATCAGGGCTTGCCGATGTAGACAATGCCGGAAAAGCGCAGGTTATCAACAATCTGGTGTCGTCCTGGGCATACGCTGCTGCATCGCAGATTCTATCGCAAACGTCCACTCCGACGCTCACTCTCCCAGAGTCTTCGTTGCATGCTATCACTTCCCCCGCAGACACTGCTAGAGAATCCAGGCCAGAGTTGCCCCGGCGCAGCAGTTCACTAGTTAGCCCACCCAAGACCCGTCCCGGTCGCTCCAATACGGATATTCTATCCCCAGATGCACTGTCATCTGTTCATTCTGGACTAGGCCAAGGAATACCCAAACTTGCGCTCGCTCCGACTCCGAAGACTGGGTCCGAACAACTGTCTTCCGCCAGAGGGGAGTTGCTCCTTATGGCTCGCCGGGTGATGGAAGAGATTGCTGGGCGTTGTGGATGGACGGAGAAGTGGGATGATCTTGGCCTACTCTTTGATAGTGACAATGCTGGCAATAGTGATATGACGGAAGTCTCTCTAGATGCCGAGATATCGCAGCCAGCAGAAAAGCCGCAAACAACTCATTACCTCTCGGGGGTCGAATTGCCCCAGTTAAAGGCTGCTCTCCGCTCAAGGAAGTCCTTCCGCTCACACTTCGAAGAGTTAACTGATAATATGTATCGCCACCATATCACGGCAAACCGTACGTATTCCGCACAGATGGCCCTTGCGGACATGGCCCTCGTAAGGTTCCGGCAGAGCGACTACGGGGCAGCAGCCTCCTATTTTCACCAAATCACTCCTTTCTACGGCAGCAAACAGTGGACGATCCTGGAGGGTGTGATGCTAGAGATGTACGCGCGATGCTTGAAGGAACTGCAACGGAGTGAGGAGTATGTTCGAATGTCCCTTCGCCTCCTTGCGAAGTTCGCCTCCCATAAGCAGTCGAGCTTGTCGACGCGGCAGAAGACCCTTGATGCATCGTCTATATTCACAGAGGAGGAATTAGTCTCTCAATATGTCGAGGAGTTGTTCGAGGCCTCCGGTGCGCTACAGAAAGATGTGACGGCCCCTTTGACTGATTTCTTCGCGGATTTGCATGTTAAACCTGCTATTATTCATTATAAAGATAAAGACGGATTTCAGCTGCAGCTTTCATTACGATTCCTACTAGGAAAGCGAATTGAGGTTGACTCGATGAAAATCCGGCTCGTCGGGACCGGAGGCAGCCAAAGTAACGAACATTGGCTCGAGTTATCCTCTAAGACAACCATCAAGTCGTCGTCAACGAAAATCCTGGTCGATTCTTCGGTAAGTACTGTTTGTCACTGTTTCTGTTTCACTCGCATAACCTCGTGACATTCAATAACCTCCCTCTACTTAGATGACACTGCAAGGGAAATACTACGTTGACCGGGTTGAAGTGCGAGCTGGCAGCATTCTTTTCACATCCGGGAGTGGAAAACATTCAGTCCTCCCCATAGGATTCAGAGAAGCAGTAGATGCCGCCGAAGATAGTCGGCCATATATCTACTGCTACCCTCCGCCCAAGGGACTTCAAGCGAAAATCGTGTCGCCTCATCTTGTTAATCTTGAAGAGATGCGGACGCTTGAGTTAGAACTTGACAGTGGGTGGAATGATATCAAGAGCGCTACTCTTCGAGTGAGGCCCGCCACTGCAGGGCTCCGCCTGCGGATAGCCGAAGCCGAAGTAGTGGAAGGCGACATCAAGATCAGTGCCAACAGCGAGACAGGGCATATCGAGTTCTCTCAATTAGGACCTAATTCTTTTGTCCGGTTCAGGATTCCGTACACGATGGAGGAACATCACCCGACGCTCTCCGCACGCGCAGAGGTTGGATATGAGACGACAAATGGTCGGTTCTCGTACTCCTCTCTACACAGCATCGTATCAGGCTTACCCATCAGTGTCAACGTACAAGATACTTTCAAAGACCAGATACTCTTTTCTCGATTCACGGTCAGCCCGGCTATGATGATCCCTCTCCGCATCCTCAAATGTAGCATACCGAGTTCAGATGTCTATCAAGTCCAGTCTAATATCGATGGCTCCGTCGCAATGAACGTCTTTCCCAAACAGCCCGCATCCTTACTCTACAAGATACAGCAGCGGGAGGAAGCCGTAATGTCACCTGGTTCGAGACGCTCACTCCGTCTCAGTGTTGATTTTACCTGCGTAGACGACGAATGTCTGAACGCGGTTGAGAGGACCTTCCGAGAAAGTATCGCAACCAGTGAATACCAGCAATACAGTACCCTCCTCACATCGCACATTGTCGATACGTTTCGCACACGGCTGTCGACTTCTGACATGGAAGTCATAGGGCTCGTCCGAGAGGTGGAAACACTACCCTATTCCAGTGTCAAATGGGAAATGCTTCTCAGTGCGCTGAAGGAACCACTGGACGGTTTGAAAACCTGGCTCCAGGAATGGCACCAGGTAAGTTCACCCGGCGATCGTTTTTGAAAGGTTTCATGCTTTGCATAATGGAACTTGTGCTGACGCGTACGCAGAATCACCCTATAATCAGCCTTCCGGAACAGCCCTCGATCCCCCGCCGACACATCATCATCCCCGTGGATATTCCCGAGATCCAAGTGGTGCATACTGCCGAGCTACGACTCTGCAACCTCGCCGACCAACCCCCTCACGCCGCGGTCGGGCAGATGATCGCAGCCGAGCTCAGCCTACGTCATACGCGCAGATGGTGTTCGCCCGAGAATCGCGAGAATGCGGGAGGCCCGCTCGAATTCTCGTACGAAATTCACTCGAACCCGGAGCTCTGGCTCGTGGGCGGTCGTCGACGAGGTAATTTCACCGCGGATGAGGGGGAGACCAAGACCTTTGCCGTGATGCTTCTTCCACAGAAGGCGGGGCATCTTCTTCTCCCCGGACTCGAAATCAAGACCTTCGTGCCCGCATCCTCAGCTGCACCGCCGAAGCCCCCAGCGCCTGCCACTGGCCCCGCAGGAGCAGTGCCGGTCCTGCAAAGACGACAGATTGCATGTGAGGTCGACTACCGCAATCACGGGGAGACTGTCTTGGTATTGCCAGATCTACGAAGCACGACGGTCAGCCTCAGCCTGTCGGGAGGAAACCATGGCGCGGCATGGTTAATCGACTCCGAGCGAAGGGTTCTTGCTTGATAACTACACCGAGTACATAAGACGAGTAAGTATAAGACTTAATCATAGGCAATTAAGTCAGAATCAGTAAATAGAGATACCAAGTCAGTAAACTCAAATAAGATCACTCCACCCAAGACAAAAACGATCAATTAAAAATAAATAATTCCACCGAGAACCAACTCAGTGTGTAACCACGTGACTTGATAGTAGTATATACTATAATGACTACACCCATCACACCAGATCTACATCCCCAAATAACACTACTACCACGGTGATAAGGGACCTTGATCTATAAGGATACACATTCACGTACTTAGTTCATTGTGATCAATTCAATTCGAATTGTTACTACAGAGTCATCTCTAGGACCAATAGACCGGTCTGAACTTGTTTATACTCTTTAGTTATTATCACGTCGATTAGAGCACGCCCCCACGACACGTCGTTTCCGAAACTCACCCGATTAACATAGTAGTGTGTGTCTGTGGCATACATGGGCCGGTTAAGCCGTCTGCAATTTCTGGGAGTGGCAATTACTTTCCATCTACGGAGTACTCTATGTACATTCCATTTTCGACGTTTACTTTGTGAGCCCCGTCGTCGGAGATATGGAAGGCCTACCGCGTCCAGACTGCCGGTCAACGCGTTGTGCTTCTTCGTCGGTATGTTATACGTCCATAAGCTGATAGTAAATGGCAGGTTCAATCTCTCCGGTAACTGGTAACAGAATCTAAGAGTAGAGGTATTCCTACGGAGTACTGTTCCAGGTACATAATTCTTGTCTAACCTACCTTATCCAAGGGAGGGCGGTCACGATTAGCAGAATCAATCGGAAAAAAAAATACTATGTATTAATGAAAAAAACCAAAGTCCAATACGGCGTACTCCCACCTAAAAGTTACACTGCAAAAAAAAAAAAAGAAAGAAAAAGAAAGAAAGAAAGAAAAGAAAAGAAAAGAAAAAGAAAAGGAAAGGAAGGGGAAATTTCAAAATACCGCCACACAAAAATGTCCAATGGTTCATCCAGGTGGCCAGTAATCTAGACTTTTCCCTCAAAAGACGTTCTAGCGCCAGCCGACAATCCTTTCAAGAGCCCCACCCGATCCAACCTCAACAAAAATTGGCGTCTCCCCCAACAGAACAAAGTGATGATCCTTACAGTTTAGTACTCTTACTAGCCACATTGATTTTCTGTGCGGACCATGTGGTTTTCTTTTTCTTTTTGTTCTTTTGAGGTGGGTGGTTTTTGGTATTTTATTTTGTAGTTGTTTTTTCTTTTTCTTTTTCTTTCTTTCTTTTAATTGCTTGTTTGTTAAGATGATTCCTATTCTCAGAATAATGCTCAATAAACAAATTAATAACCTGCTATATGCTATATATTAAAGAAGAAATGAAAAAAAAAAAAAGAAATGAGGGGATAAGAATCACATGTAGAAAAGAAAAAGATAAGCTAAACTTCTACATACCTCGTAAAACTCAGTAAGGAACAAGTTGGCAACTACCACCTACCTGGTATGTACTAGTCCAATAACCAGGATGAAAATCGATCCTACCAATCAGAGATTGTCTATCTACAGTTGATCAGTGGTTTATTGCTATTGTCATTCTAAGAGCTTGTCTTATATGTTTTTCTTTTTGTCTTTTTGGGGGTTGGTGCTTTGTTTGATTCAGTTGTTTGGACCTTGGTCATATCTTGTAAGTTATTGTCTATGATGTGTGGATGTGTGTTTATGTATGTACTTGTGCTGTGGAGGTACATCGAGAGGTGGTAGGACTTTAGCTTCTACATGTACCCTGCACTCTACATGTACATAAGTTGGTGCGTGCATAGCTCCAGATTGGATGGGTATATAATGATAGGCTTTCAAGTCTGGGGATGAGATATATTTGACATGTTACACTTCCCTGATATATTGGCTTCTGGGAAGGTTTGAGGATCCTTGACTTGGTTTTATCCGACGGGATTGAGTTCATCACATGGCGGCTTACTTACTCTCGCTCACTCACACATTCTCTCTCTCTCTCGGTGAAGAAAGTTAGGGTTTATGTTTGAGAGAAATATAAACCATGATGGCAAATGTCGCTTCGAAATGAATCCCAATCCAATGGACTCATGAACTCATGGAGCATGTGAGGCGAGTCATAATTGAATCAGGTAGGGAATGAAGGTCCATCTGGACCTCCACATCTTTTCGACGACTTAAGATCCGAATCATCTCCGACCTCCACCGGCCATGGACGACGGTGCCAATCAGCAAGAAGCCAATTGCCATTGCACATGATACCTCGGGATGACAGCGTCTCGACTTGCCTGCCTTAGTAACTCTAAAAGGTTAATTTGACCGGGAACGAACACCAGCGAGCACGCGAGAGGAGTGGACTGATGATCGGATGAAGATTGTTGAGGAGCCAAGAGCGATTGCAGTCGGAGTGGATCCCATGGTATGCAGGCAGGAGAAGGCGGTAAGCGCTCCCCAGCTTCTTTGGTGTTGTCCCCCTGGCATTCGGCGCGTAATGAGAATACTCCCCGCCGTGTATTTTTCAGTCTGGGAGGGCTGAACGCCACATGGCCCTGAGACCATGTTATCGATCCAGATAAGTAGATAATGATCTATTCTTGGTGCGATGTTACTCACGGCCAGTACTCGAGGGACGATTGCAAATGCTCAGGTGGTTACCAGACCAGGCCATTTTATTAGTAGAAATGACGAGAGATGCCTTCAGCTCTCAGCCAGCCCTGCCCAGCAAACACTTGGACGAGGTGGGCGTCCTGAGCGGCCATTCGTCGCGGGAGGAACTCGCGTTCATATGCATGCACGACGAGAAGTTAGCCGTAACTGAACCATGCACCTGATGTGCCTGACCCTCGGCAGCGCGCGATTTACGGAGGGAAGGATGTCAGGAAACAGGCTAATTTGCCTGACGATCGAGTCCTGGTGGTACAGGCTCAGGTTCAGTTGTCTGGAGGCGAATTAAAGACGGGATGCTGTCAGTAAACTTTAATATCGGTATTCCCAAATACCACCCCGGGTAAACAAATCCAGGAGTCCTGGCCAATCATGGAACCCCAACGGTACACAAAATTACCCTCTCCTGCATGGCTCCATACGGCGTCGATCTCCCCAAAAGACGAGAATTACCAGATGGAAAGGGACCGCCGCCATCCAGAACAATGTTTGGTTCCTTTCCACTCGGGTGCCTTACCTTATTGTGATATTTTTTTTTCTCTTTTCTTTCCTTTTTTTCCCATTTGGATTTTCTTCAATCCATTGTGATTGGTCTGTATTTTTTTTTTCTTCTTTGCTTGAGGCGGCCTCCTTCCTTTCCTTCTCTTCCCACGCCTTTTCCCCGGGCCGATGTCCTTCAGCTGATTCTTAATCTTGAAACTTTTTTTTTTTTTTCCTTTTCTTCTTTTTCTTGCCTCTGTTCAGCTATTCTTCAGCTCGTCTAATACCTTACCCTCCCCCTCCTCAATCCCGGTCAGGGCCATTCCGGAGTGGTGCTGAACATCACCCCATACCCACTCGTCCCTATATCAGCTGCCAGGGAGCTCTCATCCTTCCAGGATCCTTTGAGATCGTGTACCCTCTGACCCCTTGGAGTGACCCATTGGTATGTTCACAGCATAGCCTTTTGCCTGCAGAAGCACATCTACCATCCCTTCCCCTCCATTCGTTCAGACCATGTGCCAATGTACCATGTACTGACAAAGAACCACCAGATATAGCAACCTCGGGACCCCTCGTTGGATACACCAAACGTCAAAGACAAAAAAGATGTCTTCCACAGCTATCCCCAAGCGCATGGCGCTGAACCGCAACCCGGGCACGGATTCTTCCGTCCCCAGCGTCTCGGTGTCTCCATTTGACAGCCCTCGTCATTCTCCGTCCTCAACTTCCCTTTCGTCGCTCGCGTCCGAGTCGGAGAACAAGGGCAAGATGCTGGACACCTATGGAAATGAGTTCAAGATTCCCGACTACACCATCAAGCAGATCCGTGACGCCATCCCCGCTCACTGCTACGAGCGGAAAGCTCTCACTAGCTTGTACTATGTCTTCCGTGATATTGCCATGTTGGGATCCATCTTCTATGTCTTCCACAACTATGTCACGCCGGAGACCGTTCCTTCTTTCCCGGCTCGTGTTGCTCTGTGGACCATTTACACCGTTGTCCAGGGTCTGATCGCTACCGGTGTCTGGGTTTTGGCCCACGAGTGCGGTCACCAGGCTTTCTCCCCCTCCAAGGTTCTGAACGACACTGTTGGCTGGATCTGCCACTCCGCCCTGCTGGTGCCGTATTTCTCCTGGAAGATCTCCCACGGTAAGCACCACAAGGCTACCGGTAACATCGCCCGTGACATGGTGTTCGTCCCCAAAACCCGCGATGAGTATGCTTCCCGCGTCGGCAAGGCCGTTCACGAGCTGAGCGAGTTGATGGAGGAGACCCCCATCGCGACTGTCACCAACCTCATTCTCCAGCAGCTCTTTGGATGGCCCATGTACCTCCTGACCAACGTTACCGGTCACAACAACCACGAGCGTCAGCCCGAGGGTCGTGGAAAGGGAAAGCGCAACGGCTACTTCGGCGGCGTCAACCACTTCAACCCTAGCAGCCCTCTGTACGAGGCCAAGGATGCTAAGCTGATCGTCCTGAGTGACCTGGGTCTCGCCATCACCGGATCCGTCCTCTATTACATCGGTTCCACCTATGGCTGGCTCAACCTCCTGGTGTGGTATGGAATTCCTTACCTCTGGGTGAACCACTGGCTGGGTAAGATTTTTCTCGACATTCACATGACCTAGCGAGATAGGTGCTAACGATTGCCAACAGTTGCCATCACTTACCTCCAGCACACCGACCCCACTCTCCCTCACTACCAGCCTGAGGTGTGGAACTTCGCTCGTGGAGCCGCGGCCACCATTGACCGTGACTTCGGCTTCGTTGGCCGTCACATCTTGCACGGTATCATTGAGACCCACGTCCTGCACCACTACGTCAGCACCATCCCCTTCTACCACGCCGACGAGGCCAGCGAGGCCATCCAGAAGGTCATGGGCTCGCACTACCGCACCGAGGCCCACACCGGCTGGACTGGATTCTTCAAGGCTCTCTGGACCAGCGCCCGTGTCTGCCACTGGGTCGAGCCGACCGAGGGTGCCCAGGGCGAGGGCGAAGGTGTGCTCTTCTACCGTAATACCAACGGCGTCGGAGTTCCTCCGGCCAAGCTTTCCAAATAGATTATGCGTTTGTCGATATAGAACGAGTTTATCTTGAAATTTTCCGCGTGGTGCTCGCAGGATCGAGTGGCCACGATTTGGACACTCATCACGTCACGGCATAGAGCAGCTGCGAGTTAATTGAATCAACTTGAAGGCGTATATGGGGGCATGAGATCTTGGTGAAATCACGTGGTTGAGCTGCTTTTATTGCGATTAATCTGGGGCGTCTGTTTTTTCTTGGTGTATGTTCGACCTAGACCATCTCTGTTGTCCTTTCCGGCAAACATTTTTGTCATTTTTTCTAGCGAAAGAGCCTTTGGTTTCTCATCCAAGACCTCAGCCGAACCAAAAGTTCATCTCCATTGCTCGTCACGGTTTAAGACGTGAGCAACCCGTTGTTATGGGGTTGATGGGGCAATTCCTCGCCTTGAGACTCGAATATCTAGACCTCTTATGAAATCCATCTGCAGTGAATCTCCGGATATGGATCTGCATCGTTGTAAAACGTAAACCAGGATGTTGAAGAGCCGAGAATAAGAGTAAAGAGAGAGAGGAAAAGCAACGATTTAAGATTTCTGGAACTGCGGGGGATTTTAGCTTCCGCGACCCGCCGAGAAAGGCACTAAAAGCCAGACCCATACCCTACTGTTTGTCGTCACCTAGGCAGAAACATACTAAAAGCTCGAGCTTTATATGTACTGTACTGTATTCGGATCCTTTACTCCACTCTGTACGTCAAATTACATCTTACGTAGTGTAAGACCAAAGGGAAGGGTGGCATAATGAGGGTATATAGGAGAAAGGAGAAAGAAGCCTAACTCTATTCACAGCTCTTCAAACCTCCTTTCCAGATCGTAAAGCGGACTTCATCTTGGATTTGACTGTGCTCATTCACTGACCCTGCGGTCCAAGGCGCAAAGACGAGCTTCATAGTGCGCCGGACAGAGCGCTCGGGTGTCTGAGACGAAGGTGGTGGTAGCTGAGAGATACTCGGTTTGTTCTCAGTGACTGGAACGGGGACAGGAACAGGAACAGTCTCAGAAGTAGCTTCCGCTTCTGCGTCTTTCTCTTCGGCGACAGTCTCTGTTGGGGGGTCTGGCTGGGGCCTCACTCGTTCGCTGGCGGAACCAGGGGTACCTGGTTCCGGGTGTAGTTTCGCTGTTGATAGGGTAGGGATACTCTCTGGAAGAAGAGGATCTGTGGCAGTTTGCTGCTCTTTCTTCAATGCGATTCGGCATGCAATTTGCGTCGACCAGACAAGACCGAGGGCTGGTGTCTTCTGGGCCGGTCTTTGGAAGCCTGGAAATGAACTTGGGGGAAATGACTGCGGTGAGTCACCCCATCCGGTAAAGAATCGTTGTTGATGCAGCAGGCTGAGGATCTCACTGCGCACCGGATTCCCCACCAGGTATGAGCCGTCGAAAGGCTGCTGTTGCGGGTCTTCTTCGGTGGTATACGGCGAAGATGGGAATGGAGAAGGAGACGATGGAAGCATGACGTTATGTTGGGATAATTCGACGTTTCCGGACTCAGTTGCCCGGACCCTCGGTAAAGGGGACGCAGTGCCTGGTTCGCGAGCGGATGGGGGTGGTTGTGGTTGAGTCGAAGGGGGTCCGTTTCCTGATACACCACCTCCGATCCTTGGGAATGCTGGAGGGCCGTCCAGGGCATCGAATCGGTCGGAGACCTGGTTTGCGACCACTATTGCGATGTCCTCTTGTACCGCAAGGTTGCGTAGCATTTGTCCCAGCTTGGTGAGCTCCCCTGACCGAGTCGACAGGCCTAGGATATTGTGGGCGGTATGCTCTGCTCTGTAGTTGGAGGTTATGGAGTCGATGACAACGAGTCCGACATTGTAGCGTTGAATCGCGACGGGGAGTTGATAGTTGAGAATGTGGTCTTGAGACTCGAGGTCCATGGCATTGATGGATAGGATATTCTCCAACGTCGGGGCACGATCGCGAGGCAGGGTCGAGAGGTACGGGTGGGAATCAATGAGCTGAGAGAGCCGCGGCGTCGACAAGGGAGCCTCTGTAGAGATGTAGACGGCATTCTTCCCCAGACCCTGGGGGGAAGGAAGCTGGACGGCCAGCAACAGAGAGAGGAGAAATTGTGTCTTACCACTCCCACTGACGATGCCATACCGGTCAGTCCCAATTCAGAAGCTACTGCCCATGTAGATGCACGCACGTACCTCTCGCCAGTCACCTCCGTCACATAGCCAGTTGGTACCCCGCCGCCCAACAGCTCATCTAATGCGGCGTCCAGAGTGCTGATCGCGCTCCATTGCGACAAGTCTAGCTTTGTCGCGGGCCCCAGCGTAATCGGCAGGTCATCATTGATACTGGAGCTCGGCTCGGCAGATGTAGGCTCATCGATATCTTCGAATCCGATATCATGGTGGAGCGCCTTGATGATGCTGGCGCACAACCGACGAACATCGGCTGGGGGCACGTGGGCGCGTTTCGCGATCTCAAGCGTATCGAGAGTGATGAGATCAACCGTAGTTATCTTGCTTCTCTCCAGAGGCGGGAGTATATGAGCATACGGTTTTGTATGGAAGTCCGGGAGGACTGATAACAGATCCATATGCGTGGAGGTCAAGTCGATACTCAAGATTGTTGTCCATGTGGAAAAGACGCGGGAAGACCTGGCGCTTGAGCCGACTGGCCAATCAGGTGAGGCCATTTATAGATCATCAAGACACTAAGGGAAAATGATACAAATTATACAGATTGAATCTACTACAGCTTATTTCCTGCATGGTGTACATTCCTTCCTCGTTCATTATTTTGATAACTGATGGCCAGCAATAGATCTACCTACAATTCATCACCTTTCTGGTACCTATAGCCCTAAGTACCCTCTCTTCCACCAGCTCCAAGAAATCAGAACAAAAAGTCAAAAGAGAGAACCACATCATAGGGAAATTAGGTCCTTCGATATAGAGACCAGGATCTACTGATATCTTACGGAGTGTTACAGGCCCTCCTCTGGAGGCCCATATCAATAAGTCTGCCTCAGGCATCGTGTCAAAAGCAACACCCCCGACCATCACCACATGTATAATAGACGAGGTTACCGGAGAAGACCATAAGGAAGTATTAACTGCGGTAGCCCGCACTCATTAATGAACAGGGATATATCATTCTTGTTTTCTCGTAGTCTCACACAAAATCTTTCCCTCGAAGTTATGGTTGGTTCGGTTATGCCTCTCCCTGTCGCTCAATTGGCAAATATTCTAGGAGGAACTGCTTGTAATCCTGTATAGCTTGTTTGAATGGTTGACCATAGTAGATTTCAAAATGACCAGTTTCATACCACTTGATCACTCCTTGAGGGGCTGTCTTCGCATATGCCAAAGTTGGGCCTGCGGGTGCAACTGAGTCTTTACCACATATACCGAAAAGGATCGGACATTCCACATTAGATGCATAAGAGCCAGGTCTCAGGAGAGGAAACTTTAAAGTCAGGCGAGCAGGGATTTGTTGCTGAAACGGATGTCCTTCAGGGATAAGTAACGGAAATGTACTGAGCACATCTGGAGCGTTCATCAGAGCCGCTGTTGGGGATTTTAGCTTCCTTGGTATTTTGTTTCGAGGATAAACGGTCTTGACTTACCCTCACTTGGCTTTCCAGTCAACGGTACAGTTATTGGCTTGTTGTCCGAGCCAAAGAGAATATCCAACAGAGCAAGCCCTGCAAGCCTCGGGACGGCCGCCAACCCTTTACAAAGTGTACTCTGCCAACCAGAAGTAAAGGGACATTGGGAGATGACTGCTTTGAGATTCTTATCAGTAGCGGCCAGCTGAATGACATGGCCCCCGCTGAAAGATGTTCCAAAAAGGCCGACTTGGTTCGGATCGACGTTCTCCAGCTGACGTGTATATTTGATCGCAGATTTCCAGTCCGCTTGCTGTTGATTCCAGTCAATCAGACCTCTTGGCAGACCCTCAGATCCACCGCTGCAACGGTAGTCGAAGACAACACATGTGTATCCTATCTGATTGAAACTGTCGGCATATACATCGAGTTTTAGCTCTTTCGTTCCACCCAGGCCGTGGGCTAAGACAATGGCTGGCCCGGGGTTCGATGCGGTGAATATCTGAGACGAGTAAAGCCATCCACACATAAAGTCCTTCGAGGACGAAGCAATTTTGATATCCACACGGCGTTCAATCCCTGCGGTAGCCATATTCAGTTGTGTAATATTGTTTAATCTTCCACTTTCTCATATTTTAGAAGCGAGACGGCGGCTTTTACACGTTTCTGTCCAGTACCTTATGAATCTTTTGAGTGCTCGCTCGGTTGATCACCAAATCATCACCTCGGCTCCAGCTAGGAAAAGAATATACTATTGGATCTTCTCGGAGGGCCTTGGAAATTATCTCGCAGTAAGGACCTAATTGGCGATTTAAGTCCCTAAACGTTCACTAGCTGCGGTGGAATGGATCTTGCGAACTGTGTGGGGCGAGGATCTCGCAAGCCACTCCCACTTGATCAACCTTGCGGCGTAATATCCGTCCGACTTGCGAGTCGGGCCAATTATTGCTGTGGAGGGCTCCCGGTCTTGGACCCAAGAATTAGTACCAACTCCGGACGATCTACAGAGCACTCCATATTTTTGCCCCTATTGTTGGGACTTGCCTGTGTATGTCTGCCTATGCTTCACAGCTTCTTTAGCTGCTTGATATAGATAGTTTTAGCCTCCTAAAAATAGTGTATGTGTCAAAGAAATATCAACTATTCAGCAGAAGACCTGTCAACTAGGTAAGGGTATCTAGGCAGAAAGCTAAGCAGTAGATATCGTGCAGACAGAAGACTGATTCTTGCCTTTCTCTACTATGAACATCAGGCTATTTTTATAGCCAGAAGGGGCCCCTTCTGCTTCTAACAAAATAAGACTGACAGGGAGCTACTATACGCTATTGAAAAGACAACGGATATAGATTCCGCCGTCGCCGTTCGGCCACCAAGTTGTCTATGCACACCGGACAGGGTATATGATACAGTCATCATGCAGAGTCATCATCGGATCTGTGACAGTATGGGAAGCTTCTTGAAGACTGTATCATTGCCGGCAATAATTATCTTGATAAAGAAGACCTTTTATTTCTATATCCAGTTGTATATACCGAAGTATTTACTTGAGTAAAGATTTATAGTTATTTTATAGGGGTAGGGCTTAAGCTATTAGATCAAGAGTATGTTCTTTTTAAGCGTATCTTTTAATTATGTATACCAATATTATGATCAGTTGAAGGATCAATTTTCTCAGCTTTTTAAACTCTATAGAATACGTATCAGTTAGATCAAAAGATTTATAGTCTATAGAATAGTCATAGTGCTAACCGGAAGCTTTATAGCGGTTCTATTGTTCATATTTAATATTTTCAAAAAGCTGCGCAAATAGTTCTATAAATCAACCTTCTCTTATGATAAGAAATTAAGGCTGTACGAGATGAGTAGTCTGAGCAACCTACACCTGTGCCTCGACGACAAGCTCTTGCCTACTGCAGTGATTGTGCGATAGTTGGACATACGATTAGATATTGCCCAAACAAACAGCTATTCTTTTATATATTCAATTCAATCAGTTGAATTTAATGATACTGGTAATTGAATAGCTTCAAATAATAATAGCCTCAGTCGTATCCACCACTCGGTAGTTGATTACGTTAGGTAAAGGACCTCTGTTCCAACCAACTCACAATCTTCGCGATTGTGCCTGAGATACTAGCATTCGACGGACATGGTCATAGCTATTGTAAAATACAGGAGATTCGGTATCTCTTTGGGGGCATTTCTTGTTAGAGCATCCTCCAGTTACAGTTCGGTACTCAAGGAGGAATTGGCAAGACAAAGACTTCTTAATTCTTTGAGTAGCCGTGAAATAAGAATCATAAGATGGGTAGCCCTCGCTTCCGAACAGTTTAAGGTCTGACACAGTCGAAAAAGCCGGCACTAGGCCAAGAGAACGTGTCAAGGAATACCTTTCTGCATTAGTATGGTGAGTCCTTTCGCAGTGTCCGATACCTACGGGTCTCTCAAACTGACATGCAACTAAGGTACCGTGAGCGGATAAGAAGAGTTCTTCGTCTGCATGGCCAACGAGCATATATTCAATTTGACTCTGGAAAGTCATCATTGTGTGGACAACACCGGCAGTTGAAGTCTCGAGTCAATCATCCGTCAGAGTCTGCCAAGGACAAACCACTTGACATGATCGTCGATGATCACGCGTTCATGCCGTGAAATTGAAGTGCAGGCATAGGGATGAGCAGAAACGACAGAAGATAGCTATTTGTACATATAGTATATCAAATGACGAGTCGAACAAGATCGATGAGCAAAGATGGGGCTTAACATGACAGCCTTGTATTCAAAGCAAAGTAACTTCCTTTGCAGCAGCATAGTCGCTGACATCGACCTAGACAATCACCCGGGGAGTTAACCGCCCCCTATCCAATCCTGTTGCACATACGTATGCAATTTCACGTCAATCGTAACGAACTGACCATATTTCTAATATAGTGAGTGGGCATATTTGGCCTAGTGGCTAGTTAGTTAGTGGTACTTCGAAAGAAGATCAGTGTAATTCAATATCTCAAGTCCCTGGTTGTGAAGGGAGATGAGCCCTTAGTTGGTGTATTACATCCTATTCTTTTTTGCTGGTTAAGTTCTTGAGGATTTAAGTGCCACTACCGTAGGTGTCCATTATCCTGACAGAATGGTTTTAACTGCTATTTCAGCAGACTGTTCGTGTGGCTTTCATGGGTCTGTCTAATCTATTAAAAATCTTCTGTCTGTGGGCTGAAGAAGAGAAGCTAAAAGAGAAAGAAAAGCGAAGGGGGAATATGTCAAAATGACAGGATGAAACAAAACCACCAGATCCCCAGACTCCCAAAACAACTGCTATCATACGTCGGACTTCATAAAGGACATATGGATTCTAAACAAAAAGAAAGACGGAGGTTATCTTGGAATATAAATCTGAATTCAAATAGCCCAAGAGCCTCTCCTCGTCTTTCCCTTGTCTAAGCACCATCAAAGACCAGAAGGGTTTGAATCTTGACTCCGCCAAAACCACGCTGCCGCAAAAGTTCCCGGCCACGGTGAACAGGGAATTCAGCCACAACCATAACGGTAATATCCTTATTACTGATGCCAGCTTTCCATAAGAGCTGCAGTACCGCACAAAGTGTGTTCCCCGTAGCGAGCACATCGTCCACCACCACCACTGACGCGCCTCGGGGGACCAAGTCCCGAGCCATCTCGAACCTCTTCTCGTTCACACCGTTGGATGCCGAAGCCGAGACATGCGATGGTGACTTGCCAACAGAAATAGTGGGTGGGGGAAGCTTACCCTCGTCGCGAATAAGTGCCAAGGGTACATCAACCCGCGAGGCTAACGCTGACGCATAGATAAAGCCGCCGGCCTCGCAAGACGCTACAACATCGACTTTGGCCCAATCACTGGCAAAGTGAGACTGCAGCAGAGATGTGCAGAGAGACAGCCCACCTGGCTGCTGAGCAATATCGAGCACATGGCGGAACTCAATACCCGAGCGTGGAAAGTCGGGTATCTGGCGCACCATTTTGGCCAGTCGTTGCAGGTCCTCGTGGCAGAAGGGGAGCAGGTAGTGTTCGGCGAACCTTTTTGCTGCCTTGTCTCCGGTCGTATTATTGTGGAAGATAAGATCGGGGTGGTAGTCCAGGGCCGTCAGACTCGACTTGCCATTGGCGCTGTCCTTGTTTTCGTTACCATCGTCATCACCGCCGCGGCATCCTCCGCGAGCCCGCCGCATCTCTTCGCTAGCTTGGACGCGAACTTCGAGCAGTCTGATGTCTGGCACCAGATGCGAAAAGGTTGCTACCGGCGCCTCATCTCGCATGCCGGTGATTAGCAGTACGTCTACATCTGTAGCGCTGTCCACCACATTCAGGAAATGCTCCTCTGGCAGCCGAGGTCGATGGAGCACTTGGTCCTGGAAGAATTTCGTCAATGCTGGCCGGTGTTGCTCCTTGTAGGCACGGTCCGAGAGCAGACGGGTCAGGTCGGCACCAGTGGCTGCCGCGTACTCTCGCTTAGTCGCATCGCTAATGCTAACTGCGCGTGCCGTGAGGCTCTTCTGGTTGTATGCGAGGAACTCGGAAACCCAGATGTCGGCACAATAGTCCTTGCCAGCGCAACTGTTGCCCGTGACAAGAATGGTGAGTCTCTGTTTCATCGGCACTTTGGGGAGCGTACAGGCGTAAGCCAGCACATTATGCGGGTCGGAACAGTGCTTGAGACGAGCCAGGCGCTGCCGGTTTGGACCAAAAGCCTTGGGCGCCAGGATGGCGTCTCTGGGGTCTGGCCCGAGGTCTGCGCCGTAAACTCCGCTACTCACGGGCAACAAATCCCTGGCGACTTGGTATACCCACCGCTCGGCAGCATGGGCGATCTCCGTCCCATCTTGGTCACGGGGCCACACGCCAGTTATCACGCAGGCGTAGTCCCAGTCTCGACAACCGAAAGCAGTGGCATCGGCTGCCACATCCCTGACTGCGCCGCCGCCGTGTAGCAGATGGAGATAGCAGAATGGCGTGGGACGAGTCTCAATGGCCGTCGTTAAGATGTCGGTGATGTTCACTGCTCCGATCCTTTTCAAGAAAATACATCGCTTAAACGCAGAGGTTTTGCAGCCACCATGCCCGCCGTGCATCTGGGACATGTACATCTCGGCGTCGAACAAACCGACGCCATCCACGACATCGAATTTGCCTTCCCCTCCCAATATTGTGTCTACGTCCACAGGCGCAGGTATGGGCGTGGACGTATCCGAGATAAGCCTAGTCGTGGAAGCCTCGAACATGGTCACGCCAAGTTGCAGCTTGCCGAATTCCCAGTACAAATACGCATCTGCAGAACAGTTCCCTGGGAGCCTGCTGGCGATGAGATTATCAACATCGCTCAGTTTGCGCTGTGCTTCGAGGTTGTCATTCAGCGGGAGAACCCAGTTTCGAACCAAGTGGACCGGAGCCACGTATGTCTTGAAGGTAACACTGACTACGATACCAAAGTTGGTCCCAGCACCTTTGATCGCCCATAAAAGGTCGATTTCATTTTTTGGGCGCACGGCACTGGCCGGGCAGTGTTGGCTTGGTACATGACCGATGCAGAGAACCTCGCCAGAGTCGACGCTAACCACCACGGCACCGATGATGGCATCACACGTGAGCCCATATAACCGAGTCAGGTGCCCGATGCCGCCCTGTAGCCATAGTCCTGCGCCTACGCTTGGGCGGGCCCCCAAGGGCACTGTCAGGCCAGCCGCCATGGTTTTGCGGACGATATCCCCCGCCTTGCAGCCGGTCTCGACGACAACCACGGAATCGGAATCAGAGCTGGCTTCTCTTCCATCTCTCCCAGCCGGGACAATGTGTATTTGGTCAAAGGCACTCATGTCGACCGAGACGACGTTGGGCCATAGACACTGGCCGCTGTGACCTCCGCCAACGACAGTCAGACCGACCTCGTGCTTCCGAGCCCATTGAACGCACTGCTGGACATGCCGGACCTCTGTGGGCCTAACAATGGAAGCGGAGCCGTGGAGGCAAGCCTCCCGGTTCTTAACCGTCTTATCCTTCACCAACGGCACCCGCGCCGTCAACGCCGGCAACGTGGTCGCATGTTTGGTAAAGGCCACCATGACGTTGGGAGAGCTGAACACCAGATGGCCTGGGTGGGCTTCTTCACGGTGGCCCAAGGCGCGGCACACTTTACGCCACGCGACTCGAGTCGCCTTGTCCGCCTCTGTATCCTGCATGACGAACCCTGCGACGAACGCAGCGAAATTGTCCAACACTTGGTCGTCATTTAGCACGCGAACAACCCCGGTAGGGAAGCATGCTGTTCGATGGCATACTAATCCGTTTAGCCGCAGGGTCCTATCGCGATGGAAAACCACCACCATTCCACCTTGGGGCTTCTGGACAAGCATTTCCAGTGCCTGTTCAATGAACTTGTCTTCGGGTTTCATGCCGTACATGCTGTGGCAAAATAAGACAATATCGAACTTTTCATCACTACTACCGGTACCGGTACTGGTACCGCTCCCTATGTTGCTGTTCAGAACGAATGGAGCTCGATGTATATCAGGCGGGCTTGCCAGACAAGGCAGCGGGGACTCTGTCTCCATGGAAGGACAGAGCCATTCTGCCACTCTTGTAGCGAACAGGTCATTCGGCTCAAAGGCAGCGTATCTTTTGATCTTCTGTCTTAGACTGTGAGGTAGATACCCGAGTACGCTCTTGGGGCCAGGTCCAATTTCTAGCACCGAAATATGAACGCGCGAGTTGAAGAGAGGGGCTAGCAGCTGAGATAGTTGAGGAATAATGAAGTCTTGGTATACTGACTCGCGAGCCAAGATATCGAAGCCAGCGCTGTACTGTGTGTCGGACAGTTGTTGCTTCGAGGATGACGGCGTAGTTGTGGCTTGTTGCCCAAGGGCCTCCTTCAGGGAATTGAGGGTAGCCATGTTCAACTATGAGTTTGTGGATGGGGAAAACAAGGGGCTTGAAGTGAACCTCACAGCGATGTCCTTTATGCGACTTGCAAAGCCCACGTGAGCCTCTTGGTGTGGGGTGAGGCTGGCCATCCCTCAGCTGAAAGATGGACATTAGCGATAACTAGTGCGGAGTAGAAGTGATTCAATGCTCTCCAGTAGATTGGCGCGAAATTGCTAATACCATCCCCAGCCGCACTGATCGCTCCCCCACCTTCTCATTTCTATATACATGATTCAGTAAGAGGGTCTGGGGTATAGGAATTAAAAAGACATAATCTCCAGTTAGTTCAGAGAAATGAGACCACCTTCGTTTCCCATAATTTCTTCGGTGACTTTTTATTACCAGTATTATTTTTTCGGAGAACGTTACTCCAGCTGACCCAATCTAAGTACAAGGGCTTCTACCTGATGATATCGCTATCTTAAGTTACTGGGGTGCTACTATTATTACTATCTGCCGTCAACCCCTAAACAATTAGATCCGCCCGCTGTCAGATCGCAGTTACATAGAGTAATTATGACCATCTCTGAGTCGAAGGTCCTTGTTCGCCCTGTTCAGGACGCTAGGAGGGCTGTGTCGTCAGAGAGGCCAGCCATTGAGGAAACCATTACTTCCGTGGATGGTGGCATCCATGTAAGTACCGACCGTGATGGTAAAGCAGGTACGTATATCCTGATGTCAAAACAAGTCTAGCCACTCAACCAAAGCCAGGAACTGCTGCTGCCCAAGACTTCGACGGACACACAAAGATATCTCGAGAGACTAGAATGGCCGCCAGTATACGAAATATCTTGGAGGACATGGGAGAAGACCCCAATCGGGAGGGCCTTCTCAAAACTCCTGAACGATATGCCAAGGCCATGCTCTTCTTCACCAAAGGGTATCAGGAAAATGCATACGATATCGGAAAAGATGCCATCTTCAATGTAAACCACACTGAGATTGTTCTGGTTCGCGATATTGAAGTGTTCAGTATGTGTGAGCATCATCTAATTCCATTTGTAGGCAAGGTAAGAGATCCTTATGTTGATGTGGGAGTTGAATGCATCATAATTTGACAATGCGACACAGGCTCATATTGCATACATCCCCAATGGTCGTGTCTTGGGACTGTCGAAGTTGGCTCGAATTGCAGACATCTATGCGCGCAGGCTACAAGTACAAGAGCGTCTCACAAAGCAGATCGCTCAGGCCATCGAAGATCTTCTACAGCCCCAAGGGGTCGCTGTCGTGATGGAGTCAGCCCATATGTGCATGGTTATGAGAGTTGTCCAGAAAAGTAGTGCTATGACGACAACGAGCTGCAGGACAGGCGTCTTCAAGACAGACAGGGCAGCGGAAGAGGAGCTTCAGTTCCTCCTAAAGCTGAACCGGAATTGATAGAGTACTTATCTTATGGGTGATGTTGGACTTTAAGCCTATATGCCAATAGCTCACCAGTGTGTGCCATGACCCTCAAGGATGTAAAGACGATATCTTCCATTTATTCGTGAGATATAGTTGGATTGAATAACGATTGAAGCAATTCAAATGAGAGTTATACAACCATTTTCACTTAAGTCTAGTTTCATAGACTTGATTTGCTGGGACCGATTGATACCATGGAGATTGATAGACCTTTTTTGCAAGAATAATCTGAGGTAATCAGGTCCATCCGATGCGTTTACCGCAACGATGATAGTAGGCCATTTAATTTAGCATTTGTAGGTTGGGCTGTTCAAGCACGAGAGCCATATGTTTCTGATCCACAGATGACCCTTGTAGTTGATATAATACTTATTTCGAATCCTGTTCCATCCATATTGGATATATCCTCGTTAAGAATTCCTTTTTTTCTTTTTGGATAGTACTTTCTACCAATGTGAGCCTGTTGTTCATTATTCATGAATCTTCAAACTTTGCACGTCGATAGTCATATCGAGAGGTCCATTTTCGTTGGAGTTTCTTTGCATTGCGTAAATCGATGCACCCATCTATTACTAATACAGGCAAGGGGAGATGAAGATTGAGGCTTCCATCGAGCAGACAATAAGAATTGGGAAAGAGAACCAATCCTCTATATATCAAGTATCTGTTCCTCAAGAGTTTACTCTTCAAGATAAGTCATCCTTGAGCATCCTCACGAGAGGTCATTCGATTCAGGAGAATCTCTGGATTCTGTTAAAAAAAAATTATAAGTACCATCTTCATTACAATTGGTCACTTCAATGTTTCCTTTCATGGTGTACATGTTCGGGCCTTTCGCTTAACACGTGTCAGTTACCACTGCCCAAATCCCGTAGCCCTCTCGGAGCTTCCGCGGATTCTCCGTCCGGAGACGTTCAAGTCTAGAATAAGCGTACTATCCAGCAGGATTCCACGCCCTAACGGTCATCATCGGCTTGATCGAGCTCAGTCCTCGTTGTGGAAAGTCCTAGAATGAGCTGGCAAGTGTCATTTCACCGTACGGCACTATGAAGGCGAAAGATAGACGGTCTTTATCTCCCGAGCTGCAGCGTCCAAGGTCTTAGCACGCGTAGTTTTTAAAATAAACTGGCCATTGACAAGAGTTTTTGTAGGCACTTTCATATATTTTTCCTTTGAAGTAAAGCTCCTATTGGAGATAGTGGGAAAGGCCCGGAGATGAGTTGGTGAATATCATACATCTCATTCTGTTGCGTATATATAATTTTTCGCACCCAAGGTTAATTCAAAGAGGACAGGCATTCTAATTATCATAGTTAGCTTTTCTTATTTACTTTACTCCTGAGAACCTTCGCATATAGCTTTATATAAATATATCTCATACTATATTTTCTCTTAGAAATTATTGATTGCCATATGCTGATATACATGGGTCAAGATCACTCAGGTAGTGGTCATGCCGAGAGATATCGATTATATTTTATCTTCAGGACAAAACAAATATATATCTTTAGAGAACTATAAATTTATATACAAAATCTCCGTACATAGTAGAGTCAGATCACATCCCAAAAATCCAGTCCACATAAACCACCACAGCCATAGAAATCCGTCACTACGAATATAGCCACCAAACCTGCACATTGACATATCGCACCTGCACCCCAAACATAAGCTACATTTTAAACAAAACAACATACATAATCCCCAAACCCCTAGTAACACAATCAAAGATCTCCCCAGATAAATCACTTATCAACCAAACAGCCACGCGAGAAAGAAAACCAACCGCACCACGAGGCGCCCATTGCCGAGGAATTTGGCCTGCGCACATCACTTCTCGACCTCTCCCTTACTGCAACCCGCATACCTGCAGTCCATGTTTCAGCTGGGGTCGGAACAAGCCGAATGCCATGCCGTTGTGAAAGGGATGAAAAGCTCTCCTCCCTTGCGTGGGAGATTCGCGAAAAACGTGCATTATTCGGGGGGGCACATTGGCACCAAGATTTTAGTTCTTACGTACATTATATTCGAAACGGTGATGAGTTTGCATAGGGGATAGTTGTCCCGGAGTGAGTGGAGTGCTATTCATGTAGATCTGGGACTAATTATTGCTAGTTGCTAGTTGCTAGTTGTTAGTTGTTAGCTAGCTGGGCACAGTTACTTACGAACGTACTAGTAACGATTCTATCAGCTAGCCGAAGCACCATTGAGATCACGATCAACATTCCTGCATAGTTGGACAAGCCCCGTCAGTACATAGCTAAGTAATACAGACACGAAGACCAAATACAATCCTAATACTTACGGTAAATCTCTGAGATTCCCCGCTAGACTAGTAGGAGAGGAGGGGAAATAAATACCGAGAATACGAAAGGCCTGTGATAGATCACTTCAGCCAACTTCGCTTAACTAAACTCTCTTGCCGCTATCCGAGCGTAACGGTCGACTAAGACTGGTGTGGACTAGCGGGAGTTTACTATGAGCTGTTTAGGTTCTGATTTATCGTGTGTCATGTAGATAGATGTGTTGCGTCAAGTTTTTTAGGCTTTTGGGTTAAGCTACTGTCGTGGTGTTGTGCAAGGTTGAGTTAATTAGGGTTTATTCTATTAATGGGAATTGATATATTGATTAATTGGTTAGAATTAGTGACGTTGCACAGTGCTACGCGAGCAATCGAGTAATTAAGAATCCGACTTATTGGAGGCGGGTTGTCTCGTTAATTAGGGCATACCGTCTTTTATTTTTTTAATATTTTTTTTTTGGATAAGAGTGGTCATCATGGCACCGATGACGAGGACTCTAACCCGTAAGTGGAAAGGGACACTTTAGCTTAGCATTTTCTCCGGACGCGATCCTATCTAAGATTCCTTGAAACAACCTATACTCTAAGTAGCATGAAGTAAGGCATAGATAAGCCAACGTAAGGGTGTCAATTTTAGGGCTTCGGAAGAGAACCGGTGTGCTATACCTGCGTGACTGGCCGTTGTAACCGACATTGCAAAGTCAAGCCTCGACATGGAAGATCCAGTTGACTCGTGTCGAGGATTTCCGCCCCATTCCTCAGAAAAGCTTCAAATAATCTGCAGGCCTTTCGGAAGTCTAACCTACCCGCATCTGCTTCCCCCTCGGGGATCTATTTTATCACCCTTTTATCTAAGCTGCAGCTGAAGCATGCCGCGTGTCCGAGACATAGCAAAGTATCATACACTAAGGGATCTTTAGTGGGAGATCATTACATGCTAATCGCGATAATGGGTTGCCTTCCTTTTAACCTCAGGTGCCTTCAACGTTGCTGCAAGTAATGTTGCGCCCTTACAGGATACCCAGGGGTCAGGTGAGAGTTCATGCTATGGTATACCTTCTGAATCAGTGTTTCTTATCTCGCATGACCATATGTTCTCCCGGCGAGGTAGATCATGGTGAAATCCGAACCTTGCGCGTTGAAGTATGTCTACAGACAGACATGCAATTGGAAGCCAACGACAAGTGTCAGCGGTATAGACTTCAAGAATGCCAGCCGAGATACGCCGATCGCTTTGACGCCAGGACAGGACTGGGGGGTGACGCGGGTGACGTTGCCACTAGGGGAGGATGTCTCCGTATCCACTGGGCAGTCAAGTTTCACTCAGGTATACAGTCTGTCCTTTTATGTAATATGGCTCTCTCTACAGGGGGCTTGATGCTTAAATTTTCAGAACTTGGAAGCGTCAATCACCTCCCGAATGTAGCAATTATGGGCCTGAGGCTTCCCCCGGAGTTTTGCCGATGGCATAGGAGTAGGCGGCTTAAACATGACGATTTGTAGGAACCCAAACCCTTCACTCACATACCCCAAAAGTTGAACAATACGTTCAGCGAATACAGAGCATTGGATCGGACAGTGTACTCATGTTGCCAATCACGACGCACCGAGTCCGGTATAGGGTTTGCTTTTGCACCGCATTAAAGTGGTGCAAGAAGCCCGAGTGGAATTTCCTGCGATCTTCAATGACGACACGGTACCCAGGTAGGAAGTCGATCCTGTAGCACACCACAACCCTTCTCGAGATACACAGCACTCGAATTAATGGATGATGTCATCACCTGACCGGATCATCCGCCGCATGCGACAGGAAAGAGCTGGTCGCGAATACGGAGTCCCGGCATGAGATATTTAATATCCCGGAACTATTCACTTTGAGAGTTCCATGTATGCAGGCGTAAGGGACCGTAAGTAAGGGGTGGTATCCAGTCGCTGAATATGGTTGTATACCCCGACGGAAACACCCGTGGTGGAGTATCGTCATGAGGTGTTCCACGGAGTATCTTCGCCGAAGGGGATGCTGATAAGAGGTGGTACAAACGAGGAGTACTATTAAAATGAAGGTTAGGAATTAGGGTGTACCGGCCTTCTCCCTAGTGGCAGTGTGATACAATGATGAATGGACTATTGATTGGACACTAATCACTAATGCTTTCTCAGGCAACGCTGACCACCTAAGGTCGGAGAGTTGAAATTCCATGCGTTCAATCGATCATAATAATGGTGTTATGTGTGGGCCATGGACATATCTGGAGAGAGGAATGCACGATTTGCCAATTTCAAAAATGCGTCATTGTTGGTTCTGTCAGGGAGAAGAAGATCCCATGCGGGTAGACCCGACAATCTGGTCATGCATGGCGCGGAAAATGCAGGTTTCAAAGCCTCCTTCGGCCTGGCGCGACTTTCGTACCGAAGGCGGGATGCCACATGACAGCGGTCAGCGGATTGGGAGTCCCTCTGAAGGTTACACTTTCTGAAGACTGGTTCTTGAAAGAAAGTAAATGTTTATGGAGTAACCGAGTATCTTTCTTTGGTGCTTTCATTCTCCATCAAAGACTGTAAAAGAAGCTATCCTCAAAAATCTTCAGAGGAATCCAACCTGATTCAGGTTCTCCCTGTGAGAGATCGCCACTACCGCCACCATGATTCATGGCCCTTCCGTCGTTATCATCCGACCACGTCTTAGGGCAATAATACTGAAAGTTATGAGATTTAATTTCGATTAACATATCTTATGAAAGGCTAGTATAGACATGGATGGCACTCCCCTATTCCCATTTCAGGACCGTTGTCCGAGAAGACAGGGGTGAGACCATGGTTCTCTCTGCAGTGGGGCTTGGCAACCCGGGGGGGGTTTAATTTTGTCCGTGGATTTATTCGGTGCTTCGTCTCACCCTTCGATCTTAGTCGATTAGGTGACGAACTGTGTTCAAGGGGAAGCTGTTGAGGAAGTCGATCCCGATGTTAGATTTTTTTGCCCCAGAAAATTCGAGGTGATTCCTCGCCCCCAAAAAAAGACACATAGCTTGGCGGTACCTGTCCATTTTGGTCTATGAAAGAAAAAAAAGAAAAATAATTAATTAAAATAAAAAGGTGACGGACGGATGATCCGAACAGAACCAGAATCATGAAGGCTGGAATGGGGTCTCCCCATTCGGTGCGGACCGCCCGAGTGGAGTTCGTTCAAAAGTTTCCCAGCGTTGGAAACCTGGGACTAGGATCCTCTTGGCTTTTTTCCGCCTTACCCGTTTTTACCCTAGAAGCACTTCCGCAGAGGGAATGGCTGGCGTCAGGACCACGTCTCATTCAGGCGTATGCAGTGGCTTATCGAGAAATCTGTAATTTTACCAAGAGAGATTAATTCCTTCTTTTTTTTTTTTGTTTTTTTGTTGTAGTTATTTCTTCGGTTCTTTGTAGGTCCAAAAGTTGAGACGTTGTTGGTCCTCTTGCATTCAACAGACCAGTCCATTTAATATCCAATCTTCACGTACAATCATGCATCGAGGCTGGAGTACAGGTTGGGGTCTGGCCGTCATACTGTTTGTACTCCGTACCGGGGATTGCTTTGGTGTAACCAAATCCCGATCGGGGCCGTTTCGGGTAAGGATTGTCTCTGATTTGAACTTTTAGACTTTTACTTTTGTTCGGTTCAATGATCTATTGACCGCCAGATTGTCCCTTGGACTCGACCTGATACTCCTTTGTGATGGGAAGGTTCTTTATTGCTTCTTTTGCGAGATAGATCGGGTCTAATCCTTTGTTACAATCCAAGAGTACCGGATCGGTCCTTCTCTTCACAACAGGGGGATCGATCGCCTATCCACTCTACTGCAGCAGTGAGCTACTACTAGTTCACTTTATCGCTTTCCCACCTTGCAAAGAACGGAGGATCCATAATTCATCAAAGATGTCATAGTAGGTATGGAGGCCGGAAATGCCTATGCCATGCTGTGGTATTTCGTTATGGGACCCAGAGTCCAATTGACTGCTGTCAGGCCATGCAAGGCAGGCAAAGAGGAAAAAGGGAGCGATGTCAAATTCGAGGTCAAAGAATGCGGTTCCACGACGGTGGCACACGTTTTTATTCGCAACGGATGAAGCGGGCTCGGCGCAGAAATGCAATCTGCAAGATGGTGGGAACTTGGGAAACGGAGCAGACAAAGAAGGGGTGAGCTCGGGCCAGCTTAGTTGGCCTTTAAACTCATCCTCATTTCCAGGCTTCTGGGGCGGGCGGTCGATCCGTTGGACTGGGTACGAGTACCAAGGAATACTCGCGACCGGGAACATCCATACTCTTACATACATACATACATACACCACCAACGTATGTAAGATGCTCTCTCCGTCCACCGGAAAATAAATTATGCCTTACGCTGTACAGCGTCACACAGCGTAAATTAAGGTTGCCTTTTCCTCACCATTTCTCGAAGCTGAACCCGGCAGGAAGGGGTTGTACAGGACAATAACCAAGGATCAATCTACCTTACTATTGTACAACTATTATTCATAGGACAAATTCTCTCCCTTAAAATGACTCAGGAGGATCTCACTCCGGACAGTTACTGACTCTACATCTTAAACAGCTCTCGATCTGATGTTCCTAACTTCTTGTTGCATGAAACTATCAGATCTCAAATCCCGACGAGCCAAAAAGAAAAAGAGAGAGAGCTAATTATAGTTGGACGTATCAGTATCTACGATGATCAGGCGCCCTTAAGCGATCCATGATGGACGCACTGTCAACCTTGACAGCGTAACCTACTTTCTTCAATTGGTTCTTCAAGGAGTATTCACAAACAACTAAGTTCAGCCATACAATCCCTCCTGAGATTAGGCTCCCCGCTGGTCTCCTTTCCGTCCATTCAGGACAATGCGTTCAGTGCCTCGAGAGAAACTAGCTATACCCCTCTAAGACTAGACCGGGAGAAATTAACTTCCTTTGTGTGTAATTCAAGTAGAATCACGGACCTCGAAGGCCCACAGATGCCCCCTGTTCAGGGCCCCACCCTCGAACTGCCCGTTCAGGCTTTTTCTTTTCCTTTTTTCTTTTTCTTTTTTTTTCTTTTTTTTTCTTTTTTTTTTTCAAAAAAAAACCCCTGTTATTTTCTTAGGAATTTTTTTTTTATTTTACTCCGTACGGATTTCCTCACAGCTTATTTGTTATGCAGCCAGTGTCTGAACTCCACTGGACCCAAGGGCCAAGCCGCCGGCCGCAGTGGCCATGACCCAGCGACCGTAACCACTCCAGCTGGCTGATTTCCCACTGGATCGGCCATTCTTCCTTCCCCCCCCTCTTCTGTGACACCATCCATCTTCCCCCATTTTAGTGTCATCCGTGCTGACCCAATACCCACCATATCGGCTCAGTCGTGCAGAGTTAGTGCCGTCGTACATACCAGTTCCATTCGAAAGTACTGTACATACGCGATGTATCTACGGGGTAATCCCGGTTCCCGTCGTCAGAACGGATAAACATCTCTTATTGACCCTGAGGGCCGGTCGAGAAGAAAAGAAGTTCTAGAGCGAATGAGTACTCAAAGTGCAGAGATGTGACCGTAGACCCATGGTACCGGGATATTAAGCAAGCGAGTTATGTATGGGGCCGTCAACCCGATCACCATGTTGTTGGAACCGCCTGGTGGAAACCGTCACCGTCGGTAATCTTACAGTACCACGGCTCCGGAGACGAGGACGGTTAGGGTGTTATAGTTAGTTGCGATAGTGTGTGTGTGTACCTGCCGATTCCCAGGCTGACTCGTCCTTTGACTTTCCCCGTCCTCTCTCTCTCTCTCTCTCGCTCTCGTTTTCTCGCTCCACCCCCTCCCCATTCATTATTCTTCCACACCCCCGTATCACCAACTTAACTTTTGTCACTCCTCTCTAACACCTTCTTGACTCATCCCGGACGGGTCAATCGCTGGATTGTCTGTTGTCCTGCCTCGGCGCAGCAGACCCAGTTTAAATTTTTTATTCATTTCATTATCTTCTCTTCTTCCCTTCCCCTTTTAGTCGACATTTGTGAATCTCTCTCGTTTTCTATCTCGCAGACGAAGACATCCTTGCCGACTGGTCGGTCTCACGGCTTGCATTCGTGGAGTCACGCCCCAGAAATAATCAGCAAACTAGAAGAAAACCGGATTTACACGGGAAACGGGGATAGATTTCTTGCTGGACGCAAGCACTTTCCTATAGTGTTGATTTGTTTGGTAGGACCGTGGGATTGCCAAGTAAGTCCTAACCTTCATTGCTGGCTGGTCATGATTTGGTTTTGACCATGAAATTGTGCTCAATTACGGGGCCCGTTGAAGTTCATTGTGCTAATCCTGGCAGTTGTTCGTATCAAAGTCAAACTACCTTCAAAATGGCGACACGAGCTCCTTTGGCGCCTCCGCCAAACGAGACGGAATCCTCCGTCAGCCGGATCACTCGAGAGGGCAAGAAACTCACGTACAAACTCAATGTCATGCAACAACCGGAGCGTGCGCGAGCCTGCGGTGCAGGTGCTAAGTGTATGCATCCAACCGGCACTAGGAAACCAGATAGTATCAATCCCCATGATTCTGACTTCATATAGCGTCTGCGGACCGTCGCCCAGTCGATCCTCCACCGGTCGTCGAGCTTCGAGTATACGAGTCTGATCCCAACGACGACCTTAACAAGACCGATATCACCTTCGCATACAACGCCAATTTCTTCCTATACGCCACTTTGGAAACCGCTCGTCCCATGGCCCAAGGCCGTTTTGCCCCGAACCCGACCTGCCCTGTATTGACCGGTGTGCCCGTAGCGGGAGTGGCTTACTTGGACCGCCCATCGCAGGCCGGTTACTTCATCTTCCCAGATCTTTCCGTGCGACATGAGGGTGTATATCGATTGAACTTCCACCTGTACGAGGAAACCAAGGAAAGCAAGGATGCGAACGAGAATGCTCCGATCCAGTCCTCCATGTCCAACGCAATGCCCTCGAAGCCGATGGCGCCGAAGTCATTCCTAGATTTTCGTCTCGAGGTCGTTTCGGTTCCGTTCACCGTCTTTAGCGCCAAGAAGTTCCCTGGGCTGACCACGAGTACCTCCCTGAGCCGGGTCATTGCAGAGCAGGGTTGCCGTGTACGGATTCGACGTGATGTCCGCATGAGACGTCGGGGAGAGAAGCGCACAGATGACTATGACTACGATGAGGAGAGAGTCTACCGATCCTCTGACCGATTCTCCACCCCAGATACCCACGGGTACGCAGGCACTCCCGTTGAACGTCCTCGATCAACCAGTATCAGTACGGTGGATCCCTCGTTCCCCTACGGTGTCGATGCTCAGCGCCGGTCGTCAGGCGCGACCGAGTATGGTTTCCAGGGTGCACAGCCATACCAACGACCAATGCCTCCTGCTCCCGCACCCGCACCAGCCGCCGTGTCCACTCCCGCTCCTCCCGCACCGCCCGCACCACCATCCCATAATACCGGGTATCAGTCACATCTCTCCTTTGGCTCGACTCAAACTCAATATCCAGCTCCCCAACTGCCTCCCACTCCACAATCCACGTCGACGTTGGCAGCTCCGTACTCTCCGCATCCCTCGTATTCTCATGCCCGGAATCCATCGACGAGCGCCGAGTATGAAACGACCGGTTACCCCTATCCGCCTTCACGGATGTCAACGGAACGTTCCAGCTATCCCAAGAATGGCTTGCCTCCGCTCCGCTTGGAACCGCCTAAGCCACTAAATATGTCATCCAGCGAGCCACGCTCGTCTGATCCGAACGCATACCATTCCGTGGCTCCATCGGCGGCGCCCCGGTCTCAGACACCGTCATCGAGTCTGGTACCCTCTCTTCCGCCCCTCAAGGCTCTATCGGGAGATTATCCCAACAACCTCTCTCAACCATCCAGCAGTATCTCTCAGAGCCCCAGTCACGATCTCGGCGCAGGCAAGAAGTTCTTGTGGGATACGGGTGCCAGCTTGTCCAAGCGGTCGTACGAAGATTCGTTTGGCCATGATGATCGTCCTCTCTACAACGGCATGCGCCCCGATACGGAAGGCTATCCTCGGAGGCTATCAGATGCCGGTCGGAACTTCTACACCGATTCGCGCGATGAAATGGCGTATAAACGAGCCAACGGGAGAATGGCGACGAAGATTTCCCCTGCCCTCCAGTAAAACCGGTTGCTTTGTGCTTTTCCGCTCATATAGGACGGCGTCTTGGGCGAATGGTCGTCGATTGATTTCTTTCACGTAATCTGTTCCTTTTTCCTAATGTACTCTGGTGTGGTGGGCTTCAGGGATACCTTTTTAACGAACCAGACTTTTGATGTTTATACCACCGTTCTTTTTCCTTTTCCTCTTCTTTTTATCGATCTTTGGCATTGTTGTATATGATGCTCTGCATGTGATTTTCAAGATATCCCCCGGATGGTTCTTGCCTTCATTTTATATACGACAGCTCTCGTGTTTATTATCCGATGTGTTTTCCAGGTATACTCGGGAGCCTGGGGCCCTCTCCCTTCGTACGAATAGAAGCGAGATGAGCAATGCAAACGTGTGATTTTTCCCAAAGAAAAAAAAAAACAAAAGCTTGGTGATTCAGTTGCGCAACTTTTGGTTTCATTGATCCGAGACAAACACGGGGTCTTCGACATGCGACATGCCTAATTCCACTCCTTCGACCATTTCCTTGTTTATCCATGACCACGCGTGCCCCATCATCCACTGGCATGCCAGACATGACGTATGCGACAGATAAGATCGACGATCTTCATTATATATCAGACAATTGATACGATTCTTGACCGGCATCGATATGACTACTATCGCCTCGTTCTGTATCGCGTATTGTAGAGTATGTATTTTCTGTCTACCGTACAGAGGAAGTTATATAGGGAAAGGGTATATCGACCAGAGTACGACTTTACATTCTTGGCCCTTGTCATTGTCATTCCACAAGCAATATCGAAAGGCCATGGATTCTGGGAGGAACATTCCAGGAAGAGACACTGTAAATGAGCTGGCATCGGCCATTCAAACATGTAGATCTGCATCAGCTTTTTCATTTCATAAAACCTTTGTACTGTATACTAGATAGAACATGGAAGTATCTACAAGGTACCTTTTATGATCAACTAGTAATTGATATAGCCGAAGCAGTGGAGTTCTCACTGTGTATGAAATAAGCTTCCACCCTCCAGGGCTATATATACCCTTCCTTACACACGCTAGGTTAAAGAAAGATCAGAACAAGGGTGTCCTGATCAGCGTATCCATTCTATATTCACTCCTTTTGAACAGTAAGAAATACAAAATCATTTCATTTCCTAATACGTCATTTGTTTGAGCATTTCAGTTAAACATGTATTCTCAGATGCCAACATGCAGTCAAGCCCTAATGCACCCACCTCGGAGTCGTTGTATGTCTCTCGGTGAGCGTGTTGGATGATTATTCATACACTCCCACCTGGGTCAATGTCTATTAGTACGTTGAACTAAAAGTAGTGTTCCATCATTGAATACCATTACTGTGTGAATCTCGGTTTATCTACAAAGGTTTCGGGGGACATGCCATAGAATATCTTCCTACGGGCCAAGCTGTGCTTATTGGCGATCAGATCGACATTTTCCGATGGGAGTTTACATATAGGAAGTATATGGTCGAATGGGAGAGAAGAAAGACGGGATAAACATATCAATATGTATATATATAACCTAATTATATGTAGGTGATCTGATATTGAGTTGAACTACTGCCAGAAGATGATCTAAGCTTGGAGCTTATGTATGTTACCTGAAGCTTGTCAGGGACGTAGATAAATACACGGATTCTTGGCCGTTTTGTTTACCATGGCCATAGTTGTGGGTATGCAAGGGATAAATCATCATATATATTGTTAGAGAAGATCGATTGGCCTCGTTCGATATGGCATTGATGTTGGTTGAGTCTGTTGATGTACATACTAAGAGTGTTGTTGGAGGGGTTATTGGTGGTGAAATACATCTCCGTGAGCATCGATGGGCGTCAGTTGAGATTGTATCAAGTTGACAGGAAATTGTAAAATGTGAGGGCATGTCAAGTATTCTTCGGATATGACATTCATTCCATTAAGAAACATAAACATACCGGAACAACCAACAAGATGCATTGACGCCTGAATAGATAAATAGGCTGAATGGCATTAATTAACATGGGACAGCCTAAGGCCTGTCTTGGCGCATATTTAGTTCTCGAAACAAGAAAACAACAACAACAAACAACAACAACAACAATCCGAACTAAAAAAGGTAAACATTGACCTGATTTAACCTCCTCAATCAAAACAAGAAAATCCATCGTCTCCTCTTTGTCTTTCACCTCCTTCTCCTCTGTTCTTCTTTTGTATTTCCCACGATTCTTATATCTTTTCGTTTTGGTCTGCCTTGAATTCGACCCGCAATCTAATTGTGACCGGCGTCGTCATTGTCGGAGAAACAAGTGGGGAACCAGGTGGAAAGAAAAAAAAAATAAAAAAAAAAAAAGGGACACGAGTGTAGGGATGACGCTGGGTGCCGAGGTTGGTCCATCCTTGACAATTAAATCTGACAGCTCGGAGGCCCCATTTTCTCTCCTCCCCTTGCGCTCTACACTCCCGTCTCTCAACTCGACCAGGCCAACAACCCTTGCTGACGGTTCCCGTCAGCTCCGAGCACAGATGTCGACAGACGACACCCAAGCCGACCGCCAATTACACCAGACGCTCGAATCAGCCTGTCGTCGTCGCGATGACTCCGTCACAGTGCACCGGTCACGCAAACACTCGCGCACCCACGACTACAACGACGACAATGAATATTCCTCCGACTATTCCTCCGATGTCTCCGGTCGCTTCGACGACGCAGACGAAGACTACGCCATCTCCGCACACCCGGCCAGCTCGCCCCCATCCACTAAGCGCCGTCGCTCCAACGACTGGCCCGTAGATGAATTGCAGCCGCCACCGCCACTATTGAAAGAGACCGGGTCGACTGGCTCGCGCTGGCGCTCGCCCTTTCATAGTAGGAATAATTCCAAGACCGACCATGGGTCACCGCGCACGGCTTCGGGCCGGCACGGACGTCAGGCGGGTCCCAGCGGGCGTGGCCGCCGGTCGCGGTTCGTCGAGGGGATGATGAACGATAGTGTCAGTGAGAAACCACCCAGCATCTTTCTGCGCGATGGCAAGTCGGTGAATGGACAGGAGGGCCCGACACATCGGTCGTCGGGCATCTTTCGCTTCGGTAAGGCCATCGCGTCGGCGTTTAACCCGTTCGGTGGGTGGGGGAATGTTGCGGTGTGGAAGGGGTCACAGTCTGCAGAGGCGAACAAACAGCCCGTGGACGATGATATCGCGCGTGTCGAGAGGGCATACGCTGAGTTGAAGAAGGCTGGCTATCGGGGCGCCGTCAAGGGGCAGTATATGGCTGATGCTGGGTCGCAGTCCAGTAACAATCTCGCGGATCAGACGTGGAAGTCTATCCAGGAGACGATGGACTACAGACCGCCGACGGGACGTCACTCGAGGCAGAATTCCGGCGAGTGTCATGAATCGAGCAGCTCGCTGCGCAATTCGTTCCAGGAAATCCGCCGTGCTAAGTCGTCACTGGGCATTACATCGAGTTTTATTCCTCTCGGTCGTCGATCCGAGGACGCCGAACAACCGCAATTGCGTAAGCAAAAGTCGAAGAGGGAGAAGCTGTTGAGACGGGTGAGCACGCTGGAGGAGAAGCTTGAAAAAGCACGGCGAGAGCTGCAGGAGCTCTTGGGCGAAGATGCACCACCGGTCCCGGAGCGAGTACAATGTCAGGATTCATCTCACCCCAGGAAATTCGTGCCCGGCGCACTCCCCACACTCCCCTCCGAGAGATTGCTTAACCATCATAACCCAGTATCCCCAATTTCGCCTACATACGATTCAGCTCCGCCGATGTCATTATCAGAGAACGTCCAACGTCCAATGCAAAGCCAGGACGCTGGGCCGACGACGACCACGGTCGAGCCAGAATCCACCATCAAAACCCCAGCCAAATCCCCCAGCCAACGAACAACAGTGTCATTGGCAGTCGACAGTCCATCGCTCAAGCGCAAATCGCCCGACCCCGAATCTGCCAGCGCAGCAAACACCCCTAAATCCCAGAAAGAAGGCGCAACTAACTTCATAGAGGACGGCAACCAGTCCGACTCGTCTCGCCGATCCAAACTCCCCAAGACTTTCCGAGGCGACAGTCCCGGCTCCGTCGAACGCAAACAAACCCCGCGACACCGGGACGAAACCAACACCAGACGTTCCCCGAGCGAAGAACGCGGCCGAAGGAGAAGATCCTTGCAACCACTCCGGTCACACAGCAAGCGATCCCCTTCGGCGAAGCGAAGGGCATCCAACTCTCGGAATAGAGGCGCCCCGTCGCTGCGCATGAAGAAGGGACGTGCCGATCTGAGATCCGCGAATACGCAGGTTATGGATATCGACAGTCACGATAAAGAGAATCAGCACGCAACGCAATCCCGACAGGACCAACAGCAGTCCGATTCCGTCAATCTGAATCCAACTGATCCAAGCCCTGATCCATCCCTAGCCAAGAGAAAGGACCAACAGTACACATACAACTATATCCCGCCCGTGCCTCCTTTGCCCAAGGATATAGCTGCGACAGCCGCGAAAGTGGACAAAAGGCTAGCCAAGGAGATTGGGAGGCGCGAGCGGAACCGGAAATCCAAGGCTCAGGGAAAGCCGAATGGTACCGCTGAGGATGCCCCGTTCCGGTGGCCTGACGATATCTTCTGATGCAGTAAATGCAACTCTTTTGGAATTGGACGGACGTCATCTGGATAACAGGACAGGCAGAGACGTTGCATACTTACCTCTTCAGAAGCCTACCAAGGAGGAAGAAGAAGAAAGAATGGCTAAGTGTCCTCTTTACTGCGGTACACTCAAGCCAGAGGAGAAGAGAAGAGTAGTTGAGAAATTTCCTATGTTAATACTCACGAATCTAACGAAGTTACGACCTATCATTCCAACATACAACTCCTCAACTCAACCCACACATAACCTTAATACCCACAGATGTATATCCCCATATAATCCTTCCCCCAGAACAAGTATACCCTCACCACCCACCCCACACTCCACAAAAAAATATAGAAAAAAGAAAGAAAAAAACAAGAAGAGCATCTACAAAATAGCAGTAGCATTAGCATGCGACCCAACCCCACCCACAACATTCGCCGGCGCACTAGTCAAAAAGAACGTCCACCTGCCCAACTCCCTACACCTCGTCGCAACCGCATCCAAATCCCACATCTCCCCAAGAGGCATGCCCCAAAGCGCCAAAATATTCTGATGAATAAACCCCCCTTCCTTCTCCGGCGGCCAAGCCTCAAAAGTCGGCGAATCCCCCGCCACTCCCGCAAAATAACAATCATGCAACCAATCCAACACCTCTTCTTCCTGGTTCAGTCCCGTCCAAGATAGATCCTCATGCGCACGTGTCGCAGCCGCGTGTCTCTCGGCTGAGGAGAGCTCGTTATATCGTTCGACAAACCCGGACCGGATGAGGAGGATATCCCCAATTTGGACGTCGCCGCCCTGTGAGGCGGGGCGGAGATCAAGACCTTGAGTTTGCGCGCAGGCATGTAGGTCGGCCATTGTTATTGGGTGGCGGGTATAGGGGTCGTAGGTGATATTGTGGGTGTTTGCGTAGTGGCGGTAATCGAGCAGGAGGGCACGGGTGGCGATTCCGTGGGTGGCCCAGTGGTGGATGCTACCGCGGGTTGTGCTGTTAGGGCCGGGTTCGATGTCGGTTGAGGTTGTCTGGTTGTTTTTCTTATGAGTATATTTGGGAGTGTTAGGGGGGGCTGAGTATATGTGCTTACTCCGTTGTAGAAGAGTTTGCTGTCGATGTGGCCGAACTGGGGTTTGTTGTTAGTTTTAATTTCAACTGGGTTCATATGGGGGAATGAGTGAGGAGGTGACGAGAAGAGAGATATACATGACGAAATCCATCCCACTGAGTCCCACTCTGGGTGTTCAGAGTGTAGGTATCGTCGTATGCGATGTCCTTTGCTATCGTTTTGATATTATGCTGGAAGCACTCGCGTCCGAACGCCGGTGTCTCGGGGACGTTGACCGGAAGACTAGACGTATTTAATGAGATTCGACTAGTTCTGTATCTGAGACGAGTATATAGGGCACTACTACTCACTCCAGTCGGAACATCTCCCCAGTCTTCACCTCCGCAGCTGCGGCTTTGACTCTGGTCGGAGTGAGCAGGTTCAGACGTCCGATCTACGACCAGTCAGTATGTCATATCCAAACTCAAAGCTAGGTTCAGGATGAAGAAACAAACAAACCTGGTCATCCTTCCCCCATACCCAGGCCGCACCTTCCGGCGCGCCGGGGATCTTGGGGAGTTCCTTTCGAGAGGGGAATTGTGTGCAGTTGGGGTCCCAGGGGAGGTTATCGGGGAGTTGGCTAGTCATAGTGGTGTTTGGACTAGGACTGGCGGTGGAAGAAGGTGAAGTAGACAAATGAGCAGCTAATTTGCTGAGTCGGTTTGGGGTGTTGGCCATCTTGGAGGTCTAGTCCAACTATATACTATAGGACTGCGCGGTAAGCGAGGCGTCACTGGTCTGGATTCTAGGAAATTTTGGTGGGACAGTGGATCAAAGCGGGTCTGTAAATGACTTCAGAGGAAGACGGATGGTGCCATTTTGAGGGAATAGCATTTCTGCGAAAGATCTGCCGTGGTCGTGGTCGTCAAGTCTGCATCCATATCCGCAATGAGCGACTTCACCGAGGCAGTAAACCTGGAACGTCATGGCGTGGATGCGGGGAGGGACAGCCTGTTGAGTAATCATAGTGCAGATCAACTCGTCCAGAGCCAGAGGAGACATCGATTGACAAATCAGACTCCAGTATTTGGTCTGTCATGGAGCTTATCAGTCGGTTCCCATTTTATGGTCCATACCGCGTGAGGGGTTAAGATAGCCGAACGGCAAATGAGCAGCCGCAACGATGCAAAGCGTCCCCATCCATAGTCAAAAAAGGTTATAGATGCATAACTACAGTGTATGCATGGTTAATTGAACATAGGCAATTACGAACTACGAATAGAGCACACGCACAATAATGGTAGACCCAAACGGTCTCCGTTTTTCTCGTTTTCATTCATGTCCGATCCTTGGGATCGCTTGGATTATGGTACAGGAGAAATCAAAGTCCCCCCAAGTCGTACTCACAGAAGTTCGACCAAGGACCAGAAAGCTCCATGAATCAGATATGCAGACATAGCAAGTGGAAACAAGCCAACCTATGCCGCCATGCCCGGGAAGACAAAACATGATTATCATCAAGATATGTGATCAATGCAATGGAGGCCATGACCAACCCATGCAACATATGTAAAAACGCCATAATTCGACGCCGCGTAACGAAAAACCATCCCAGCGGGTTATTCACCAATCCCCACCGTAACCATAAAACATCCCAAACATGAAGATCTTGACTGTATGCCAAGTATTCGTGAGAAGATACCATCAGACGCCGGGGTAATATCAGAAACAAGCCATGGAAGGACGCATCACTTCCAGAAAAGGCAAAAGAAAGGAAATATTCAACGCTAAGCGCTTCAAGAAATACGACGGAAGGTCGGAATCAGGTCGAGGATGGCCCAAGACAACAACTAGTTCGGGGCAGGGACGCCAGTGGACTGTGACATATTACGGCCTCCACGCATACCACCACGGCCCCGGCCACCGTAGCCTCGACCATAGCCGCCGCCGCCACCGCGACCACGGCCATACCCTCTGCCTCGGCCACGACCCCGGTAACCGCCACGATAGCCGTCAACGCTACCTTGACCGAAGGTTTCAATGTTACGCTTCTCTTCTTCACCACGCCACTCGCGGCCACCGCCACGGGCGGCAGCGCCTTCTTCGCGATCCCGAGCTTCACTCGAGATATTGTCAAAGAACGAGCTGGACTTGTTGTAGGCCGCAGCATAGCTATCCGAGGGTTCGGGTTCGCCACTGGGGATTTGAGGCTCGACCTCATGAACAGGAGAGCCGGTGGCAATAGCTTCCTTGACCAAGTCCTGCTTGTTGAACTTGGCATTGGCGGTCTCGAAGTCGTAGTCCGTTTCCGGAACTTCGATCTTCTTGCCCTGATGTTGGCCACGGTGAGCACCACCACGGCCGCCACGAGGGTGATGACCACCCCGGGGTGCACGGTGCTCGTACGGCTTCATTTCAGCCATTTGCTTCGTAACACCTTCCACGGAGGCATCGCCGGGCTTCTTCTGAGCACCGGGTTGGGGCAATTTCGCCATGGCAGCTGCTACAGCAGCAGTAGCAGCACGAGTCGCTTCCGTGATCGCTGCCTGAGCTTGGCCTTGTGGGACACCCGCGGGGCCAGGAACCTGAGGAACTGGCGGCTTACCGGGGGCGGCAATGGGTATGGCAGGCTGCACACGTCCACTTCTGGGTCCAGTGGGGGGCGCCTTAGCAGTTCCAGCCGTGACCTGAGTAGGACCAGTAGCCGCCTGAAGAGCCTCCGAAACCGGTGGCTTAGACTCAACGGGCGGAGTGGGGGCATTTTGGGCTGCATTACTAGGTGCAGGCGTGCCATTACGGCTACCGGGCTTACTGGAGGGCTTATCAGAGGGCAGTTCGGATGTGTTCTTAGGCATGTTCATAGGACCCGCACCGGGCATGGGCCGCGGCGGAGGGGGGGTCTGATGCTGGCCGCCAGGACCCATTGGCATCTGGGGAGGAAATTGACCTGGCTGAGGGAACCCTTGTCCGGGAGGGGGGAACCATCCTGGAGGAGCTCCATACGGCACATTAGGAAACCCTGGGCCAGGGGGGAAACCAGGTCCTCCAAAGCGTTGTCCATAGGGAGGAGGGTAGAAGCCTCCCTGGAATTGTGGTTGGGGATATCCAGGTGGCGGCGGCGGACGAGACATCTGAGATTGTTGTGGCGTCTGGGATTGGGGAGGAAGTCCTTGAGGGGCGGGTCCTGGACGAGACATGCTCTATTTTTACAAGGTTAGCGCAGTCCCTTGTAGAGTCTAACAAGACGAATTTGCAAGCAAAGTACGAAGTCCATGATCTGATCAGAAGGAAGGCAACGGAAATCTCCACACGGTTTTTGCGCTGTTCGGAACAGGTCTGTGTTTACATCCGAAATAGTTCATCATAGAGATCATCTTTACCGACTGCGAAGGTCGGTGGACTTGGAGGCACGCGCTACGACTAGGAAAGGTATCTCCGATATTGGTGGTTCGACTTACCCCGAGAATGGCCGGATCATCTGGTACCTGTGGAGGCTCTTGGGCTGCATCTTCCTTCTTGTCCTCGGCTACACTGATGTCCTTTACATCGCTGCCACGGAACACGATGTATTCATAGATATTTGGGGCAGGTGGAAGCTCATCTGTGGGGTTGCCTCGCCGACCCTCGGTACCGAAGGATACGACATTCTCGAGAGCTATTGTGGAGGCTTCAGGGTTGATCTCATGCAAAGTGCCCACATAGCTGTGCTGGTCGGTCAGTAAGATGCACGGCCATCGTAGACGAGGATTACGCGAGGCAAGGACGCGAGGGGAACATACCGAATGTCACTCTTGGAGATCAGGTTGAACCGCTGACTGCCAGGTGTTAACTCCAGCCTAGCCGCACAAACCCTGGTTCAAGACCAGTAGGCATTGAAGACTGACCCTATAAGATGGTTCATATCCATATTGAAGGGAGAGATGCGCGTCAATCGCGCAAGAGGAAAAGGAAAGAAACGATGAAAGAAAGAGGGAAAGGGGGGAAGACGGTCGTTTAAAAAGGAGAGGAGGAGAAAGAAGGAAAGTGAAGGAAGAGAGAAGAAGAAGAAATGGTGGAACTGCTGGTTTTGTGGTGGGAAAAGCTTTTCGGGATACGGCGGACAAGAGAAGCTCAGTGTGCAGTTCTTTCGTTTCTTTTGCCAGTTGAATACAACTCCACTCCGCATTCTCCGACTTAGAATTTCCCCTCCACTTTTCCCCTGCATGCGGCCTTCATTTTCAGGAGAGAGTCCACGTGAACCAATCAACCCTACCATTGCTTCTTGACTCTGCTCAATATGTCTCGTTCTTCCCATCGGGACGATTTCTTTCAAACTACGTTCGTCATACTATCCTGCCGTCCATAGAGCTTCTTTGCCTTGGTGCTCTTGTCGCGCTCTGTCCAGTCGCTGATCTCTTCCTTCCCGTATTTCCAGGGCGGCGCTTGACGAGCAGAAGCGAAAGGACGCTAAATCTAAAAATACAAATGGAGACCCCATCAGGCTACAAAGTAAGATCTTGGCAGTCGAGGCAGACCCTCTGAATCCTGGGGCCGTATTCGTGGCGCAGAGTGGTGGCACGGTCCGAAAGATTATACTCGAAGTAGGTGCACGGTGTCCTTCTGGTTGGATGCCTCGCTGGGATACGTAACTAAGCCAATCGTCATCTGCCTCGGTTCACTTGTAGACAGGTGAAACTGCTGCTCTTTATAAAGGACCAACGGCCCCCATCACAAGCCTCTGCTTTAGCCCCGACGGTCGATTACTATTCGCCGGTTGTTGGGATAAATACGTCTGGTGCTGGGATGTGGCTTCGAAGGAAGTGAAACAGAAATACGAAGGTCATACCGACTTTGTAAGAGCGGTGGTCACCACCCGACTCCAGGGCAAGGATGTCCTCGTCTCTGGTGGGGCCGATGCGCAGATCTTGGTGTTTGACATTGCCAGTGGGGAGCGGCTCTCCGTCCTGAAGGGACATGCCAAGGGTATCCAAGGACTTGTTGTAGATCCCGTCTCGTTAGATTCTGACAGCCAAGAGCTGGTTGTGTTCAGCTCTGGCAGCGATCGGGAGATTCGCCGTTTCGACATTGCCAGTGGCAGTAAAGACCTGACTGGCACAGACGCCATCCTAGTCCATGACACGAATGTATACACGCTCTTCTTTGACCGGGATGCCGACTTGTGGACTGCCTCTGCAGACAAAACCGCAAAATGCCTCGTGCGGGAGGATGGCTGGAAGCCAAACTTGACATTAACTCACCCAGATTTTGTCCGCGACGTAGTTGTTTACGAACAAGGTGGCTGGGTTGTGACAGCATGCCGGGATGAAGAGGTTCGCGTATGGAATCGCTCGGTAAGTGTTCTCTTTCAGCGCCTGTGAGATGTCTTCGCTAATAAATGAACAGACCGGACAACTTTACCATACCTTCTCTGGTCATTTCGAGGAGGTCACGGGACTCGTACTTCTGGGCTCAACGCTTGTCAGCGTCAGTATCGATGCTACTATCCGTCGGTGGTCCTTGAAGCCTGAGGATCTCCAGGTCGCTGTAGAAAGGGCCAAGAACACATCGGCAATTGAGGAGCCGGAGCCAAATCCGGAATCTATGCTTACGGAGGAGGAAGAGCGTGAGTTGGCTGAGCTTTTAGAGGACTGATTGGGTATCTCACGAGCTCATGATATTCCATACATGATCCACCAAAGAAATCCTTTTCGAAAACTTATACGATAATAACTCACGGTGATAGAAGAAAGATAATTAGGTTTACATTGGCCCGTAACAATTAAATCTTAACAATAGATCTAAAGTCAATGATCATATCCGTCAGACTATTCAGCTGGCTCCATACCAATTGCGCAGCAAATCTCGGTAACTTAGTCGCTAGTATGCTTATATGGAAGAGAAAGTAGGCCAAATCGCAAATCATTCATGGAAGATCGTGGTCTTCACACCACCCAGCTCAATATTCTCATCATTCGCCTTTGGAGGTTTATCCCAGTTCCTCTTCACTCTCGCCCTGACCCACTCCCCAGCGGATACCTGTGCCTCATCACCGTCATCCTTTTTGAAGCCCAAACGTCTCAACAAGGGACTATCCACCGTCTTCAGATCCAGCCCATCACCCGGCCGGACAAAATACAAGACACCGAGTCGATCGATATGAGCTTGATCCGGGGGCGGCGCAATCACACGATGCACGCTACTCTTCAGATACCCATTGGTCCAGAACTGTAAAGCATCCGCGATATTCACCGTAATACTATTCGGATACGGCTTCACGTATTTCCAACCGCCCTCAGGCGTCTTCACCTGCAACGCCGCAACAGGCTGTCGGAACAATAACGTCAAGCTCCCGAAATCCGTATGTCCGCGCGACCAGAGATTCTGATGCCGCACATTCTCCTCGGCGCTGCGTGCGCGGTAGATCATGTACCGAAGGTGGCAATCACTAGGTCCGTCATACGGATGGCCACGTACTAGGTAATCCTCCGGCAACTCAAGAAGGATAGCAATCAGCCGGAAAAGCTTCGTGACGATGTGGTCGTAGATGAACCGGTGAAACTGCTCGATCTCCCGATAATGCCGTAGGACCACGTCCGGGTGTGACCGTGCGTACTGGGGGATGAACTTGAATACGTTGTATAGTTCGATGTTGTCGCGCAGGCCCGGCAGGATCTCGATGGCTCCCAGTGGTCGGTAGCCGTTGTAATTACCGGCTTCGAGGTCGGCGCGGTGTTTCAATTTTTCGGACTCGGGAAGCTCGAAGAGCTCTTGACCGATGGCGAATTGGCGGTCGATTTCTTCGGGAGAAAGTCCGAAGTTGGTGATGTAGAAGAACCCTAGTCTGTGTTGGTGTTTTGTAATGTATGTACCTGGGGGTAATATTTACCGATGTTATGAACAGCGTCTTTCAATTGAGCTGCTAGTTTTTCTTTACCTCCTGGGACATCGAATTGGGAGAGATCCAGCGTGGCCAGGTCAGCCCAGTCGACTGCTCAATTAGCATGGTAGATTGATCCGGTGGGCGGCAGAAACATACGCTCATGCTTCGTTTCAGGTACATGGACGTACCGCCTTAGGGTGGAGGAACTGGCTCCGTCAGGAACACTGGGCTGGCGGGCTACTTCAGTCATGATGAACTTGGGTATAAAACCGCTAGTCAAATTATGAACGATAGGACTGCAGGCGTTCAAGTGGCCCGGACAGCGAGGAAAGAAATCATGGATTTATACATACAGATCTGCATAACCCCTCATCTGACATCTGCGGCTTGCTCTGGGGTGATGGCGCACGGCAGATATGAGAAGAGATCATAGGTCTGTTGGAATTGAGTTGGCGATGGTGAAAGCGTTCCCTGTGATGGCGTGAGAGGAGGAGAACAAGAGCAATCTTGCCGAGAACACACACCATTCTTCACACAGAGCACCCATCTCGTGAATTTGAAAAAGGATCTTGTACTTAGGAAATTGTGAAGCATAATAGGCCGAAGTAGAGATTTCATTGATTACTTAAAAAAATTTACCCTTCTAGCGTCAGTCTGGCCAGGCCCTCCTCGCTCTCCTTCTCCTTCCCCTTCTCCTCCTCCTTCTCCTTCTCCTTCTCTTTCTCCTTCTCCTTTTCTTCCTTTTTTTGGGCCTTTAAGGTCCGGCGCTTTCGCGCCTTATAAGACATTGAGAGGGGGGCGGGGGCAGGGTCGGTGGTGGCGGCAGCAGCGCCCTATGGTAGATAATGTTAGCAAGAAGAAACCCCTCTCCTACATAGCTAACTTACCTTCTTGCGTTTCTTGCCCTTTTGGGCTGGTTGCTGCTGCTGATGCTGCTGCTGCGCATACGCGTACTTCCCGAGCAATAAATATAAGGCATATAGTACATACGAAGTGGAAAACTTACGCCGGCCATAAACCCTTGATTGTGGTGAAATGCGGGGCAAAACGCCACCAAATGATTACCAAAACAGTATTCACACGTACTAGTCGCCTAAATTTATATTAGCATCACTGTATATTTTAATGTCAGGCATTAGGTCAAGAGATAGGGGATAAACATCGTGGGCTATGGTGTCCCTTACCATTGTAGTTGAGATACGCTCGATAGGAAAGTACGCAAGACGTCTTCAAGGTAGCAGCGGGATCACAAGACAGCCGTCCCCCTTCACTGACAATACCGAACTCCTCAGTCATACCCTTAGGATCTAAACCTGTAATACCATCCTTACCTTATGACAAGTAGCTTACAAGAACGAGTTGTTGGGCATAGTAAAGTTACCGGGACAGTGTATATTATTGTCCAACTCAAGACCAATGTAAGAGGTATACGGCTGGGAATATAGGACATAACATTCGTCCTATGTTCTCAGGTAAACTATCCAATCTCTCTAGGAGTACTTAATTTCATAAATCAAGAGTTCAAATAGTGAAGCACGGATCAAAGAGGCGTTCATTGCTGTACTAGATGATCCTATAGACCACTCTTGGTGGCAGATCACCACCCATACGGCAGAAGATTCTCCCATTGTAGCTCATGGCATTCTTCCTCTCGATCTTCATATCATGCGACTCTCGCCGTCCATCTAATACCAGGTACCAATACCGACTACTCCTAACTAGGCAGGACCTTACGGCCAAGGCCAAGATACTAGTACAAGTCTTGTTGTTCAGGTTTTATGAGGATTTGTTATCGTCGCCCGAACCACATTTATATGATTGGACGCTGCTAAACCTTATTTGACCAACGTCCAATCAGAAGAAATCGCCCCCGATTCCGCATCTATACCTCTAGGTGCTTTGTACAATTTCCTATATCGTAAAACCGGACACGCTCTTCTTCACTGTGCGTATAACGCAGAAGATGCTTGATAACTAGTAACCTTCCATATTATTCTTGTCATCCCTATCTATTAGTTAGGGCGTTCCTACTAAATTGTCCTCGATGCTCAGCGGGAGGAGTAATCCTGATAGTCCCATAATATAGGACAACAACAACCCATAAAACCGGATACCATCCACGAGCGTTCCATTCTTAGCTCATCCTTCCTGTATATGCAATCAACAGCGAGGTCCACTACGATATGCGGGACGGTTCTGATTATCCCAGCCCATGAAGTGAACGTCCCGGCAGGCCGATAATCATTCAAACCCCCTATCCATTTACAACCTGCACGCTCCTGTCCTGACCGGCTATCCAATCAAGAAGTATACATGAGCACCCAAAAGCAATTTCACCCTGTTATGACTGCGTACTATACCTCTATCTATGTTTAAATCAGTAACTTTCCTTATCTCGCCTAGAAGCCTATCCCTCCATCACCAAAAATGACTGACCAACTATCTCCAAGTTTCAAAGAAAGCTGACAGTATGGTATTACTACTCAAGAACATACTCCAGCGATATAAATGACTGATCAACTGTTTACAGGTTCCATAGCAAACTGACGGCGGGGTGCACTACGATATGAGAGGCGGTTCTGATTTTCCTAGCCTACGAAGCAGAGGTCCCGGCAGGCCTGCAACTGTCCTCATCATTGCTCAAGAACCTATCCCCCCAGCACCAAAAATGACTGATCGACTGTCTCCAAGCTTCATGGAGCGGACTCGTCCGCGATTATCCGTGAGACGGGCGCGAGATCGACGTAAAATCTTCATTCTGCTCAGCAACATCCTATGTCTTCCTCACGCGTCATGTCAGCATGCTCGAATTGTATACTACTTTTGAATCATGACTTACGAGTGTTCCCAGTTGTGTCCCGTTCTGTGGTCCTCACCACTGGCATCTACTGTGCTCAACCTCACCGTCGTGACCCTCGCCGATTCCAACCCATCGTCATCGTTTCTAATTATCACCAGTGCCACAGTGTCCCGGGCCCTGTTCCCAGCACCCCCTAGCGCCCTCAACTCATCCGACCAATCGTGATTGCGAACGAGTTTCAGAGCGGCTCAGAAACGGTACTATCGAATCTGATGACCTTAGAAATTTTGAGCTCCCAGAACTGCGTATTCCTGTGACCACGGTTTTCAGAGTCCGGTGGGGGTCTTTAGCCGCCCTCGAAGGTATGGCTGTGCCAAACCCTGCATTATAAACTTAGAGGCTAACACATTTCGCTTTCTCAACTTCGAAGATTTCGGGTTGAAGGCTGAATGATAGAAACCGGGCACATTTCGAGCTTGTTATTGGATTGGTCAGGGTGGCTTAGTGTACCAAAGGTAATACCTATTGTTCGAGGGGCTCTTGTAGGTTTGAGAGATGTTGACTTCTGAGGCCTCGATATATTTGCACGACCGACTCATCGGACGAACAACTCATACTCTTTATCGCGGAGACATATGTTGGGAGGTTGGAAAAATGTGAGGACGATTGTGGTTGGGGATTGAGTTGTTGTCCGGCTACATCGCGCGATGTCGTTGGCTCAGGATATGGTTACTGTGAAACTAGTTTTGAAGTCAAACCAGAAACCCCCAACTCAGCTCGGATGCGTTGGCCTCTTTAACAATAACTTTCTAGTGTCAAGCCATTTCCTAGAACACTGAACAGAGGGTACCAAAAGTTGGAAGGCTGATGCTTGACTGGCAGGATCTCCGTCCCGCAAATCGTAACTGGTGCGAACACCACAATGGCCTATAGGTCTATGATATAACAATGACCATTAGCCTGCCTGTCCATCAATTAAATGATCAATCAATTAAAAGTCTATCAGCCTGTTAGATTCTAACTATTGAGACGCTTAACTATGCAGGAGCCTCGCCAATGAGACAGGATCATAGTCAAAAACGTCTAACTGGAAGATATAAAAATGAACGAAAAGCTTTCCTACACAACTAACGTGCCCGCCACAGCACTCTTTTACTTCAACACACCATCCATCTGCGTCTTTTCCCTCCTTCTGTCCACCTTGTAGTTCTGCGTGATTATAAATCTCAGTCCTAGGTTGAACCCCGCTCCCCCGGGGAGGTCTTCGTGTGAACTGTTTAACCAGTATCTTCCCCTTCTGTTCCCGTGGTAGTTTGTAACGGACCTGTGACCAGCTTCTCTTTGCGAATTTGATCGAGTAGGCCTGTTTTATCGCGTAGCTCTCTAATCCTGTCAAATCTTTTCAAAGCATAGACCTATGCAAATCAATGTATAGTGGGTACTGCTAAGGGACATGCCTCGACAAGTCTGCCTATCCCTGGTAACGCGTAGCTACACTTAACAAAGCTTAATTACCCTCCACTGACATCTCCGCATAGCACATACTAAGATACCAAGGCGCTTTCGGGATCCTACTCCTGTCCCAAAACAGTGTATTGCATCTTGTCGGGCACCAACTATCATTTCTCTGCTGCGACCGTACCGCAATACCAATACGGGCTGTATGCAAGTGTGCAGGATTATAGACAAAAGCATGTTTCAATCACGCTGCATTCCGCCATTACTATAGCAATATACTGAGATTTTATGACTATGTTGTGTCCTTTTTCAGTATACGCTTCGAATTTATGATTCAGAGCACTTTATGGTCATGGTATTCCAGTATAGCTAGTCCGGGTCTAAAAAAAAATACAATCAGAAATACATTCGCGTGACTGGTTTTCTTTCATAAGATCACACCTGATAAATATACCCATAAAGTAACCTTCTGGAAGAGTCCTCTCTCCGTATCTTGGGTGTTTTCAACCTGATAATGATGATTTGACGTTCCATAGTCTATGTAGCGCCGCCACTAAGAGGCACACAAGTATAACTATGAAGCCTAGATGCGTTAAGCCCTTTCATCTATGCTTGTGCATTATGAAAGTTCTGCGTTGCTCTAGATTTTGTCCGTTTTCAGATCTATTGATTGGTGGTGGTAGCTGCACACGGACATTTTACATTGTCAAGCTACAAGTGTGCAAAATATGTAGAGGCGTCAATCCGGGGAGAGGGCATCCGCCTAGGGTGATAGGGTACCTACCGCGGATCGCCGCTATCTAGAAAACCCAGTGCAGGTTAACTCTAGGGACTGCAACCTCTAAATTAAGCACAGACACCTCTAAGCTTAGGCACCAGTACCCCACTAAAGCTGGGCTATTTTCTAAGTTCTAACTAATCTAGGCCTTTGAACCTTTTTAAGGTCAGTAATATTAGCAAGTCTAAAGCAAATACTAAGTTTTAGCTTGAATTACGTGACTGAATGAGATTAATACTCAATATACTATGGAAAAAGTATGCTTTTTAGTAATAGGTAGTTAGAAATCGTTGAATGCTTCAGTGTCAATTCTGCTGGCAAGTAATCTATTGTGTAAGCTTTAAGCCTAGTTAACTAACTCAAGTTAATTAGGAAGTTCGCCCTGTCTAGGTACCTAGGCGGCTGCCTCGTGGACGGATTAAGGCTCAATATACTATAGCAGTAGAAAGAAAGCAGGTGTATTTCCAGGAACTAAGAAGCTAGTCCAAGATAGGTATCTGCAGAATAGTCCTAGCCCCTGCAAATACCTTTTGATTTTTGGATTTCTTGACCTGAAATCTGTCGAAAGGGCCAACGTTCCTGACTCTGGATCAGACAGAAAAATTATAGATATTAGATTTAAACACCGATATTCAACAAGTAGCCCTTATAGCTCAGTGGTACGAGCGCGTCACTCGTAAGTCTTGACGCATATAGAAGCTTTAAGCATTGAGGTATGACGAGGTCCGCGGTTCAATCCCGCGTGGGGGCATCATTTTTTGCATTTTGGGCGTGTGTCCCTTGGCGGGAAATTAGGGCTTGAATTTAGATAACTTATCTCGAGTTTAACTGACTTCTTTGGTTAATATAGACTTTAGACAGTATATATTATATATTCCAGTTATCCAAAATCATCGATAAATTCCTTGGCTCTGGAGGGTTTCTACTACTTAGACTACTGGCCTATATTAGCCCTGGCCTCTGCAGGGGTAAGTTTAGATATAAATTAAGATTAGATATTCGTAAGCTTCTTGGCAAGAAAGAAATCTATCCTAGGCAGGGCCTGGCAGTTCGTTGAATACCCAGTGAAAGCGTATGAAGCAGGCGAACATTAAGGCAAGATTCTGCCGATATACAGCTGATTTAGGCAGGCGGCGGCTTGCCTGCTGTATGGGTTATGGCCACATAGAAAGACTGGTCTTGCATCTCTTATGAGTAGTGTCGTTCTTGAGAAGTCACCGTGGGTGTCTCAAAGGGTGTGGATGGGTTGCATGCGCAGTGGTTGAGATGCCTGACATGGTATAATATATGGATCCTGGTGTTATCATAAGCCTTTGGTGATTTGGCAGTATACTAGACATCTAATTATCGTACAGATCGGAATGAATAGAACGTCTTGACTCTTGACATCTTTGGATCTCTGGACCGTTTATCATCAATAGAAAAAGTCTATGTGGGAAACTACAAAAGTATTGTAGACATCTGGACAACATGAACGGTATTTGGACTCTTTCGGATCTACTCGTAAAAGCTAGCCATGGTTAACTGTCTTGAGGATGAGAAATACCAGAAACAGAGTGGGTGAGAGATGGGTGTCATCTCTTCCTGAAGCGAAATAGTCGTTGCTCAACGTCTAAAGGTGCTGGTGGCGGATGAGGGAAAGCAAGTGTTAACCCAATGGACCGAGTTCATCTAAGTTTAAGGGGCAAGGCGACTATAATTTCCGCCTGCCAACCGCCTTCACATGTCTTCTAAGGAACCAAAATAATATCTTCAACTCAAAAACAAAGACATACAACAGGAGGGATTCGCTGGTGGTCACCCACCCAACTACTAACCTCCCGGCGTGTGGCTTAAGTACGGCTGAGCGGACGGGAAGCCCTGTTCTCCACACCCTATGGTCGTATGTACTAGCAGTAAGATTATAGGGAAATATATAGTGTTTATTCCTCTTGACTATTGATCAATATATATGGAATTTGCCAAGAAAATCTGAAGTTTATCATGGCCAGTTCTAACAGACAACTTATGTATTACTGTAATATCTAGCCAAGCGCATGTTAGGGAGGAAGCAATGCCTAAAATTTTAATTTCCAGATTCTATGAGAGTATGACCTATCGATCCTTTAGTCCCTCGAGGATTGAGGCTAGAGGTGCCGGAGAAGTTACCACAGGGATAACTGGCTCGTGGCAGCTAAGTGTTTATAGCGACATTGCTTTTCAATTATATGATGTCGGCTCTTCCTATTCTACCGAAGCAAAATTCGGGAGAGACTTTTGGTCTAAAGATTGAGAAATCAACTTTCCCCTATTCCCAAATGAGTAGGTTACCGCTATTAGATAAGGAGCTAACCCCGGCAGAAATCTATAACCCGGATCAGGTATACTGCTTGTCTGATCTCTCCAACGAGTCATTTGACAGATTAGGATTCAAGCTTTGCTTCCTTCTCAGTAAAGACTTAGTTACCATCTGTTGTTGTGGTCATGATACGTTCCAAGTCCTCTCAACACAATCTTTATTTATTACTCAATAATATGAAGAGCAATAACTTCACTACTACACCGTGAAAGATATATATTTCTATATAGTTCTGCGCTCGGTCACATAGTGTTACCCCTTAACATCTCCCATCCCCTGTCAACATAGCATCTTACTCGATGGGTTCTTCCTGTGGATTCATCGGTTGAGATCCCCAATAAAGGGTTCTTACGTTTACAAGGGACTTGTATAACAACGTAGGTTGGGTTTGTGGTCGAACCCGATACCCGGAGCGCCGGGTACCCCGCACCCGAAACCCAACCAGTTTGGCGGGTTCGGGTCCGGTTCAGCAATCCAATGCTTCGGTATGAAGAGCCGAGTCAGCTGACATCGAACAATCGAAAGCAACGTCGCTATGAATGCTTGGGTGCCACGAGGTAGTTATTTCTGTAGTAAACTACCCCGGCACCTCTAGCTTTGAACTTCGAGAGACTAAAGGATCGATAGGCCACACTTTCATAGAACCCGGACCCGCACTGCTTTAAGATTCATGTGTTACTTCCTTAACATGTGTTTGGCTAGACACTATGGCAATATACAAGTTTTGTCTATTAATAGATTTTGGATTTTCTTGACAGATTCCGTACTTATTGCTCAAAAATATCAGAAATAATCCGTATTATATAATCCCCAACTTTGGAAATAGTTAGCACATACGACCACAGGGTGTGGAGAACAGGGCTTCCCGTCCGCTCAGCCGTACTTAAGCCACACGCCGGGAGGTTAGTAGTTGGGTGGGTGACCACCAGCGAATCCCTCCTGTTGTATGTTTTCTTTTCTTTTCTTTTTTTTTTTAGATTCATTGGGTTTTTATATAGCTTTGCCGCCTTTTCTTTGCCCTGTTCACCCTCACCCTCCTTTCCCTAGAGCTCAGCCTCGTCACCCCAAACCTCATCCAATTCTGTCCGTGATTTAAACTAGATGACGGCTAAACCTTCCGCCACTTATTTAAACATTTCGGCTGTTCGCCGCCGAAGCGAACGTTGAGGCACTCGTGGCCAATTGACCAGTAACACACGCAACTCGAGGGGAAAAAAAAGTGATTGGCTGAGCCAGGATCGACCCCCAAGATCCCCATTTCTTGGAAAAGCATTTGCGGCGGCTAAGTGAGAGGTGGATGGGTGGCGCGAATATTGGTATTGCAAATCACAGGCTCCATAGGCCGGCGAGATCCCATCCATGGTCTATCAATCTGACGTACCAGAGACTAGGCTCAGTGCGTAACCCAAGGTTGTGACTGGTATTTATTATTTCATTTATCATCCCGCTTCCTTTCGCATTGTAGAAGCACACGTGATATTTCCATATAAGGAGACAAAGCACACGTAATGCAAGCAGACATCAGCAGTTGACGCCAAATAGACTCGAGGCGCAAAAGAAACGAGGCTAAGGAAGTTAACTAAAAATGTGGTCTCATAGTAACGTTGTATTTCTTAGTACTGGAACTCAAGATACAGGCCTTTTTCTGCCCGCGACTACTTAACCTCTGAGGGGTCCTTAGCTACTCTCTTCACCCTCCTTAGCCAAGTCCCCAGATCAAAGATGCCGTCACTCAAGTCTCTGACATCACCGACAAATTTGAAAACATAACCAAAATCATCCACCGGCTTATTCCCGTCCGTATAGTTGATGCGACACGGATCGGCCCGATAATTGTCCGTCTCATAGCTAGCAAGCCTCTCCCCATGCTCTTCTGTTTCGACATGATAGACAGCCCCATGAACTACCTTTTCTGGGGCATCTAGGAGAGCTGGATACTGGCCCCATAGCTTGCATTCATAGCCTGTAATGGTGGCGGGTCGAAGTTGTGGCTTGGTTTCTAAGCCAAGGACATCGCTGAGCATAGCGGGATCAGACAGGGTGCCGTAGAAGAAATAAGGGCCGGTGGGCGCAGCAAATGGATCTGTATGAGCTGGTGGCCTTTCAGGTTGAAAAAAATAGCCAGGAGGAGCAGACCTCAGCTTCAGGACGAACGGAGAGACTTTCGAGTTTGGATCTTCGGGCGGAGGAGGTGGAGGGGGAGGAGGGGCAGAGCCAGCGACTCCCTCATCTCCTTGGTTACCAGACATGTACATCTTCGGTTGACAGCCAACAGTGTGTTACAGGGCGGAGGGGAGAACCAGCTGAAGCATGAAAATTTGATAGAAGCTTCGGTCTTCCAACTCGGTGTATATGTTTCTATCGTTGCGCGGTGTGTGTATTATGTAACCGCTGCCAAAACCCCGACCTGCTGCGGGCGTCAACATGTATGGATATGGTGCGTTTCTTTAAATGCTGCCCTATGGATGCTTAAACAGGCGACATGAGAGCTATATATAGTACTATATATAGTACTATACTAGAAGACCAAGGCAATTTGCTGGTTGCAATGAGGAGGTTCTTGTATCCCCAACGTTTTTGCCAATCAGGTCGGCCCTTTCAACATTATTTCTTTATGTGCCATTGTGTGTGGAGCTTTGATGTTTGCCCTGGTGAATTTATCCAGCCTGGCGGGTATGGTGGTTGTCTCGCTGCTCTACGGGTTTTTTTTCAGGGGCTTTGGTCTCCTTGCCCCCAGACTAGTTCTATCTAATAAAGTTACAAGGTACCAAACTAAACCTATTAAAATAGATAGTAGATTAGGACTATTTTCTATTAATAGTATTTTAAGTAACTCTAGTTCGCTACCTATCTAAATAGACTTAGTTTAATATCTGAGACAGAACTAGATTAACTACCGGTTAACCACAGACAGTAGTAATATACTCTATAAAATATGTACAGTAGTAAGTACTATATCCTATATAAAGTAGTCGACCAGCCTAGATCGGATTATAGCTTGGTCTGTCAGCCTCAACCACAGGCAATCTTCTAGATCGACCTCGTATCATGAACAAGAATGCTTGTTTTCTCATTGGGGCTACTCCCCACAGCCCCCAAATATCGCCGACCTTGCCAACGAGCCCCTTGCTGATCAAACCCAGTTGGGATCCAATCAACACCACCTGGCGCCTGCTCAGGATGAAACGAGGAGAGAACGAACGAACTCGTATACATGTAACCGCATGCAGCAGTATTCCGGCTAGCGCTGACAAGCGACGATCTAGATACACTAGCACTATCTCAAATACCCATAAACCTTGCACCAAGGCCCTCTTTGAAAACTTCACGAACGATGTGACTTACATCATCATATACAACACAACCATACCGGACCCTCCTCGTAATAACCTGAGTATCTGTAGTGAATTTGCCAATGGCTTGATACAAACTATTCTCAATACGATTTTGATAAAATGATCAAAATCGATAGATAGTTTGTCCCGTCTGCATCCCCCAATCGGAGTCAGCCGCAGCAGGGCGTGACAATAGTCCTATCCAGATCCATCTGGATCAGTTAGGCCGTTTGGGGAGGGAATAAGATGGCTTAGTTAATCATGCAGCTGTAATTATAGTCTGGCCTTGTTCTAGAACTGGCATACCCGCTGTGCTAAACAAGGTATTGTATGCGGGTATTTTACCACCTGACGCGGAGATCTTAACCAGGAGAATCGATTCAAGAGCCTTAATCCGCTTAAGAAGAACAATATTTAGGTTACCTCTATCTAACCCAGTCCCAACGCCGTCTAGCGATGGAAGCCCTGCCAAGGGGCTAGCGGGGGGTTGACGATGGTTGGTATGAGCGGCGGCGGCCCTGATGCAGCAGCAGCATCTGCTCCATCCCCACTAGCCACACGAGGGATCAACAACAGGAGATGTCATGCTCACGATAGGAAGGTTGCTGTGGTCCATGTAGGACACGCCACCCCGGGGCCCGAGTAGCCTGGACGCCCGGTGCGACGGTTCCTTCCGTCTTCCGTGTCGTCCTCGATGCTAAACTCATCCTCTGGCCACCACCAGTATCAGAACAATCTCAATGGCCTGGGAACGCCGAATCTGATATCCATTGCTTCACCCCTCGACAACGCCTGTGTCATTCACCCTCGAGGACAATGTCTGGGAGCTCACACCGCTCTCCGACGTACCCTCCCTTCCCGAGACCGAGCCCTCGACACCCGCCGACTTACAGCTGTTTTCCGACTTCCTCACTAAATCTTACTTAGGGTAATTCTCAACCCTCCTGAACCTCCTGCAGAACATCCGTTGCCAACCCCAATGTCACCTGCACAATCTCATTCGCCAGCCACGCACCTTCTAGTCCATCACAACCAATAACGCCAATGCCATTCAGACGATCATGAGCATCTGGCAGTGCCCTTGCTTCCACGATATCTACAGGCTTATTACCATCTCCTAAGGGCCTTCGAGGCTCTGGGACACTATGCAGGAGCGGCGATCAAATCTATGGACCCAGAGTTCTCCCCGGGTTCCGCCGAGCTGTATTCTGATCCACAGCACGTGTTGTTCTCTGCCACAGTAATCGGTAGGTACACTGTCAGGGGCGCAGATCAGCACCAGATGGCAGTTCAACACGTGCTCGATGAGCTTCACCGGGTCAACGCCTCGTCACCATCCTCTCCCAGACTCCACTTGTCTCGGGAACAAGCACCTGTGCGTCCGTGTTTGGTCTAACCTGCCCATACCGGTGCTCTACACATGAACCAAATCCACACTGGGGGTTTCTACATTCACCAATATAATCCATTTCCATATAGCGACGAGTGGTGTTCTTGGAGGTAGCCTTTGTAATTCGATATAATAACCTTTCCAAATTGTATGCAAATTAAATATTATTGTCTCAAGCCCTTCAGCCAACATTCGGCTTGCCCTGGTGCTGCTTGATAGGCTGCATATCCTGGACCTAATCAAAGTAACCTAGACCAGTGATTACAGTCATATCTTTAGGACCCTGTGGTAGCTTCCTCATTATATTGATAAAATTATAGGGGAAGCCAGTATCGAGTCTATAGCCAGTTTCGATCTCTATAATATCTCTTATATTCAGTTGTAGGGCAAGAGCTTCAATATATATCTTGAGATTGGAATTGCGGCGACCACGAATAATAGGGTATATATAGGGGTCCTGACAAAATAGAAACCTATTGAAACAAAGTAAAGAGAGGGCAAAAATAAGAAAGTATAAGAAAGTGTAAGAAAAGCAATTATAACTTACTTTGTGTATGGTATATACTATCGCAACACTGGTAATTGGTACACCGAGGTGAGTTGCTGTGTTGTTCAGTATCTGCTAGACCTCGGTCTTACGGTCAGTATTGATAAAGGGTATAAAACACTCATCTACCTTGGGGTAGTATTGGGGGCTGGATATAACCATTAGTCATAATATCTTAAGACTGAATCCCCATACATACCCTCATCGAGATATATCAGGATAATATCGCACTTCGAGTAGCAGACATACACACCGAATCGGCCCTGGTTAATATAGAACTGACAGAGGCCGTGTTAGCGGGCGTAGGCATTAAATCTAATAAAGGGGGGGGGTCACTGATGCCCAAGTAGAGTACTTTCCTCTGATAGACAAGTGTGTTGAGCGACTGCATCCATTCAGAGATACCAGTAGTCCCAGCTATGAACGAGACACTGCACACTCCTATTTAGCAGGACACCATAGAAAGGAATTAGGCTGAGAAAGATAGACCAGATCGATATAGCTGGGTTCGCAGTTATATTAGACTTGTATTAATAGGAAGACACCGAATATTACTGCCAGTACTGTCAAAGCTACTCTACTAGATAGGACAACTGGCTATATATCCTAGAATATACTTATGACCAAGACAATACTATTGTAGTGGCCAGATGTCTCTATTCTCTAGCCAATTTAACCCTTACTGTAATTGTTCTAGTAGATATTGGCTGTGCTAATAAAACTTATACTTAACTTGTAGAAGTTAGTAAAGAGCTCAGAAATACTCTTCTTAGTAAATTTACTAAACTGAGTGCTCAAAGTGTTCCGGATATCTGTTCCTTATATAGAAAAGTCTCTTTCAATACAGGAATCAGAGAAATGAATCATGATAGGGAAATAAAAAAGAAGACAAAAAAAAAAAGGTAACAAGACAAAAAGGTCAGACATACTCATCCCGCGCTGTTAGATTAATCCAAGGAGATAGAATAGATTGTATAGTGACAAAGCCTATACCCTTGCTACATGGAAGCCCGAGATAATTACTTGTCGTACTAGGCTCAGTGACTATCTGCTTATAGCAGCGGGGCCAGCAGTCAATCAAATCTCGGTTTTACAGAGGTACTTCATCATACAGTAAAAAGTGTTAACACTGTTTCGAACATTGTTGCCTCCTTAGGGGGTCTAATTTCGTTATTAGTAAATAGGTTAAGGATCGCTCATTTAGTGAATAAAATAGAGCACTACGTGCTGTGTAAGCGAGTCGCCCCATAGGGATCAACACGATCTATCGAACTCTGATCGTTAGCTCTTCGAGCACAGTCAGTGAATTAAACATAGAAAAATGTATACATTGGAAGGTTTCTGGCAATCATACTTGCTCACTCTAAATTACTCAAATATCTTGAACAACTCCCCAAGCTCTCATTTACTACCTATACACCCTCCTTTCTACCACCAAATTATTGTTACATCAATATGAAGAGTCTCCTTGCTCTTGGTGCTCTGGCAGCCCTTTTCCAGTCTACCTCATGTCTCGAAGCGGGAACTTATACGATCAGACCTGGTGGTGGGGTCAGTTCAAGGGCTCTGACCGACACGGGTGATATTAACGCCCCTCTGAAATTTGATATCCCCAGGCCGCTGGCTGAAATCCCCAACTGGCTGGGAAATTCTCTCTCGGACGTGGTCTCGGATGTGGTCTCGGACGTGGTCCCTGACGTGATCGACAAATCGGTTCAGAGATGGTTCTTTGTGCATAAGTACGATGGTGACAAGTATGCAATGGAGGCCTATCCCGATCTGTTTTTCATCACGAGCAGTCTAGGCTACAACATCAGTTGTGGGAATCAGGCGGGCTCTCCTTGTGTTACCGGTGACCAACCTCAAGAAGCCTACTCTGTCAGAAACACTAGTTACGGTACATATCAGATCGTTGGGGAGGAGTCCGGTTATTTCCTACGCACGCTTGGCGATGATGGACTGCAACGTGCCGCAGGGGACGGTAGCATTGAAGAGGAATTCTTCCTTGACATGGAGCCAAAGCCAGCCTACTAGTATGCCACCGCGACGATATTACCTGAGGAATCCATCCTGTGTAACGAGCTAATTGGTCTATTTAGGGAAGAGATATTGCACCCTATCCCCAGTGGGAGTAATTCGGCCCAGATCTTGCAACACCCTAATCTGGTATAGCCTACCATTTACCAACCGCCTACTGCTATAGGCAGTTTCTGCCCATGGAAAATCTGTACATTAATAGTCATTGGCTCTTCCTGAGGCGGTGGCAATGGTGCACGGGCCACTATCGCAATACCTTTCGATCCGTCCGTCTCTCTCCGATAGGACTAGAGATTCGATTCGTATGGTGGAGTGTGCAGTGAATGTGGACGTATTCAAAACGTCAGTTCTGTATTGAGGGCTTTTGCGTTTCGGTCTTTTCTGTTAACTCCCACTAATAATAATAGCTGCTTGATCTTATCTGCATGAGCATCCTTGCTTCCAATCCTTTTAATCTACAATAAATTAGTAGACTTCATGACCTTGCAAAGCCGGAGTATTGATACATGAGAGGGATGACTGCTTCATGAAGTTTTCTTAGTAGGAATGCTGGTGAAAGCCTAGGACTCACATAATTGACAACTCCTGCCTCGCAAAGTGCCATTTTTCTCTGCTATTGGATCCCCCAAGAAACAAAGAAAACATAAAGAGTATATAGGTATAGATCTGCGTGAATCCTTCATTCCTTGGCTTGCATACAGGCTGAAGATATTGAAAGCGGACTTGTCTACGGCGTTCGCGCCGCATGGCTCAGCTGAAAACGCCGATCAGTGGAGCCACATTGACACTGCACTGTACATGGATACATCTGGACGGTGGACCTTGAGAACCCTGAGATTCAACTACAGTATAAATTCCCCGTTGATAAAATTTATCTGGTTCTAGCTTCTGGTAATTAGACACATGATTATCATCTTTCCATTTATATATATATATATATTTTTTTTTTTTTCCGTGGGCCAGTTCAGCTGGGTAAACTCACCTCGTATCCTAGAGCCCAATATGTGTTGAGCTGAAATGTGGATCGATGTGGAGAAATTATAACTTTATGACGAGTTTTGAGTTATAATTAACAATTGGAAATGGACTCGCTCGAGTTCAAGTTGACTTGGGACTCCACTCGTTGAATAGAAATAGGAGTAATGGTAGAGTGCGAAAAGATGGGGTTGTTGCATATCATTCCCTTCTTCAAATCTTTTCTAGCTAATCTATCCTATTAGTCACCTGGCTCAGCATCAGGATATCTCTTGCTGGAAGGATTTGATCCCATCACAAGTCTCGGGAACTCAAGCAAAAGATTGAGGTATAGATCGTGTTTGAAGGGTACAACCCTAACAATATGACCATAGATTTTAGGCCAGTACCAAATTTATACACTCTAGTCATAGCAATAATCAATGATGATATTTCCCGCAACTTATGCTACTAGGGCGCTTACTCAATAATAGGTGAGATACGAATGAAATATACTCAGTGATCCCATCATTACATTCCCCAGGACTGGGGGTTATATTTTCTTTCACATAATATGGTTGTCCCGCTCACAGGGCATAGAAATATCAGGGTGAGATCAACTTTGACCATAATCTTGACGTCACGGTTCAATACTTCGCAATGTCTTTCTTCCTCAGGTAAGAGCTCCCCTCGCCTCAGCCAACAATGCCCTGGCACGAAGTGGAACCATGGCAGCCTCATCGTTCGAACTTGCTCTGACCGGTCTTTACCTGCCAACCACATACATTAATTTTGAAGACCTGTAGGCACGTCTTGCGTCGACGTCAGGTGAAGTGGGCCAATACCTTGCACCCAAGCAGGTTGTTCAGCGGGACTTCAACTTTATCGAGAGAAACCATGGTGGAGTCGGGATGCCGTTAGATTGTCCTACTTTCCTGATATCAAGATGTTGATCATCAAGGTTCCATCAAGGGAGCACGAGAAGGCTCACGTCACCATAGGCAGCCGCTTGACACGCAAGGGCTTTATGATGGGTGTGGGGTCCTCAGTTTCTGGCCTTAGTGCCACGAAATACATCAGGCCAATGGCTAGCACCAAGGACAGTGATTCGGCCTGGATAAATGATCTACTGAGACCTGGGGTTGTCCGTTGTCAGTCATTGAAGCCTTGGAATCAATACGCCGCGTGGTGGATTGCCAACTCGAGTGGCTAGGTGAATATTGTATTGCTGATCAAGGTTGTAAGGAATAGCCGAAGGATCGAAGTCGAAAATACGTTTCAATGCAGGTGATAACCCTGCCAACTCGTTCGCGACCTGGCACAGAATACAAGCCACTGAAGGTCGCCACAATCAAAATTAACCCAGAGGGTTTAACCTCCCCACGGTTCAGGGCCTCTTTACGGCTTGAGTTCGGGAAGGTTATTGGTCGCGCCCCGAACCCTCCGTTAGAACAAGATATCGCGTTTACATCGAATGGGCCAGATATGTGTTCGTCTAGCCTTAGAACTATGGCAAGCCATTGCTAGAATTGCACACGGGTCGGATCTCTGGTAGGCCAACCCGGACCTAATCCAAAATCCGCTAAGTTCAAGCCTCCCCAATCCGCGGGTTCCCAGATTCAACCCCTTTCCGAATCGACGAAGAGATTATTGGAAAATGGCCGCAAACTCCGTGGTAGTGACCCTTGGATCCCCCAAGTTCCTTTTTGGCCAACTCTCGCAGCTCTGCACGTAGGATTTTACCATTCTATCTCTTGTTAGTTTCATTTGGTGCGGATGGAAAGAAGGTAGGTTACTCACTACATTCCGTGGAATTCTAGGAATGAATGAAACACCCCCGGAGAGATACTTATACGGGGCTACTTTGTCGACCATGAACTGGTGGATATCGGTGGAGGATAGGACAGAGTGGGTAGTAGTCTCAATATAGGCTCGGGGTCCTTCATCTTGGTTTCTATGCTTGCATGTTAGAAAAGAACACCCTGAAAAGAAGAAGCAAGCAAGATCATTTTACACAGCGACCCCTATAATCCCAACATCGACAATTTCCGGATGTCGGAGCAGAACTGCTTCCAGTTCCGTCGGTGCAACATGGTTGCCATTTACTTTAATTAGATCCTATGCGAACTGTCAGTTTAAGTTTTATATCTGCTTGGGATCATGATGCGATTACCTTTTTACGATCCACGATATACCACTGTCCCCCTTCATCAACATATCCTACATCCCCTGTTTGAAACCACCCATCAGCCCCATGTGCGTCCTGAGTGGCCTCGGCATTTTCATAATACCCAACGCTGCAGCTTGGGGCACGGATCCAGATATCGCCAATGGTACTTCGATGAACAATCTGGCTAGGATTACTGGTGTTGGTCACCTTGCCCTCATAGTTGGCATGTAGTTCTCCCACGGAGTGGGATGTTGAAGAACAGTTCATATCGTGACCGGTGATCAACCCGAGCCTAGTGAGTGGCATAATTCATTAGCTTTATACTTATCAAGTTTGTGTCTTGATTATATATGCGTACTCAGTCAAACCCCATACTCGGGTGACGCGGTCGATCCCTAGGTCCTCCAGAATTGTTTTGGTTGATTCCGGCATTGGCGCAGCGCACGCTTCCACCCTTTTTAAAGAGCCCAAACTGCCCATGAGGCTCTTCAGATGAGGGATCTTTGCGATTTCAGTAAGTATTGAGCTTCGGACGATCGCATCGGTGATGTTGAATCTCTCCACAGCATGCAATATGTTTTTCGAATTGGGCTGACACAACAAATATAGTGGGACACCAAGCTTGGGAAATATGACACTATAGGATCGTTGGCCAAGAATATGGTGCATTCCAAGTGCGCCCAAGACACGGATTAGAGCAGGATTCTCGGTATCTTGAGCGGCCTGTTGCCAGTCGGGATGGCGAGAAACTCGCTGCATATAACTGATGGCAGCTGAAATGTAGTTACAGTGCGAGATTTCCACACCTTTCGGCTTTCCAGTGGTACCCGAGGTGAACATGATCACAATTGTGCTGTGGTACTCTTGAGGAGATTGGATATCTGGATATTCCCAATCATTCTCGGCGGGAGACCCTACCATGTCCTGCCAGTGGGGGATTCCCAAGTAAGGTTCACCTGTAGCATCGAGGATATTATCGTCAAAGATGAAGATAGCGTGCCGAGCTAGAGCCAGAGAGGAGGTTGTTCTGGCAGCTCGCAGTAGAGCATCAGCGTGTACCCGCTGTGTCAGGATGACCGAGGGCTTTGCAACGATGAGTAAATTCTCCAACTCTCGGTCACCATAACCAGGTTGACCGGGCACAAAAATGCACCCAGCCATAATCGTTCCCATTAAGAGAGCCGCATAGCTTACACAATTGCCCGAAAGACACAAAACTCGATCCTTAGGTTGCCCTCTCAGCCGTTGAAGACCCACAGCTATACGAACAGATAGACTGCGGTATTCGGCTAAAGATAGGGATCGATCTTCGGGGCGAGCAGTGTCAATGATCAACTTCTTTTGGTTGGGCATCTCATCCTGAGGAGAACCGAACACAAAACGTGGTAAAGAGCAACGGGGGACTGAAGCTTGCCACCTCGATTTCACGTACGACGATATCTTTGGGGTCTGCATCGTGAATAAAATAGCCGAGGAGCTACTAACTACCTAAGCTCTTCCACTAAGCACAGGGATATGTGGCGCTTATAATTAAATCCTTTGAAGCCGGAAGAAATTGAAAGTTTGCGCACATGCCGCATCTTTACCCCAGGGAAACTATATAATGTATCCTAGGTAAACATCTGTACGGTACTGTACGGTACATATTACGATGGAGCGGGGGTCAGTCAAACTGATACGAATCTGCAGGGTCTTTGGCAGCGGGGAAAGAGTGTCACGGGGTATGTATCTAGGTCAAGCCGACTTGGAGAATGGCGTTTTCAGATTGATCGACGGTGGTGACGACGCCATACGATATGACTGCATCGTCGATCGAAAAGAGGGGTTCGTCCCTTCTTCTCCCTTGCGCAACTTGCAACTTATTTTCAAAATGTCTGACTTTCCCACATTGTCAAGCCCTGAACCCCCAATCGCCATCTTCGGTAAACCCGCGCCTGTCAAGATGGGAGAATGGGACAAAACACCGCCATCCAGCCAATTCTATCAGGTGGGGGTCCCAATCCGCTTTGACTCAGTTAAGTGTTGGCTAACAGATGACCAGGATGCACTTCATCGACTGAACCATCTACAGACTAATTTCGAATCAAAACAACAGATAACTGCACTGAAAGATCGGAGTGTGCTCCTAGAGCGGATGATGAGCTGGTGCAATGAGATTGGGTATCAGGTGAGAGCGTGCATCGCCCTGATTACGGAATGGGAGATGTTAAAGAAGGGACAACGGAATAGCCAGCCGACTTTGACACGTTGAATGCCATCCATATCGCCGGTTCCAAAGGCAAAGGGTCCACGGCAGCCTTTGTCTTCTCGATTTTGGCGGAATTCTTGACCGATGAGGGCAGTTCGGCTGACGAAACACCCGCCACACTAAGAAAGATCGGTCTCTATACCTCGCCGCATCTGCGCAGCGTGCGGGAAAGGATCAGAATTCAAGCGCCGCAAAGTAGAAGCTTTGAAGAGACACCTCTTGACGAGACCAAATTTTCCCATTACGTGTCGGAAATATGGACCCGTCTGGGGATGGACAACCGATCACCCTCCCAGAGTCCACCATTTGCCAAATTCCTCACACTGGTGGGCTTCCATGCATTTATCCAGGAAGGAGTCGATACCGCGGTGGTTGAGACCTGCATCGGAGGACGGTTTGACTCCACCAATGTTCTCCGCCAGCCCAGCGTCTGCGCTATCACCAGTCTGGGACTTGAACATACCGATATACTAGGCTCTACCATCGAGGAGATTGCATGGGCCAAGGGAGGCATCATGAAACCAGGCGTACCAGTTTTCACTGTACCACAAGAACCTAAAGCCTTGGCTACTCTGCAGGAACTGGCAACGAAAGAAAATGTAGATCTGCGAGTAGTCACAGCACACCCGGACTTAGAACACATTGATCTCGGCCTCGCGGGAGACTTTCAGCGGATCAATGCTAGTCTGGCTGTGGCTGTAGCTGCGGAGTATCTTTCTCGACGGGGATATAAGAATATGCCAGATATTGAAACGTTGGGGCTGTCTCCGCTGCCGGATAAATTCCGCCGAGGCCTTGAACGGGCGCAATGGCCGGGACGTTGTGAGACACGCGACCATCTCGGGAGCCGATGGTTGCTCGATGGGGCGCATACCATGGAAAGTATCGAGCTTTTGAGTGCCTGGGCAGCTAAAAGGATGGTGGAGCCAAACGCTCGGAGGGTGCTAATCTTCAACCAGCAAACTAAAGATGCGACTGCGCTGCTTCGCCATCTACGACAAACCACAACTTCGGCAATGGCCCAATGGCTCAACCCTGACGAAGCGGTCTTTCACCAGGTGATTTTCTGTACCAATCTCCCATGGGAACGGTATGACGTCCCGGATGCTGAAAGGGTCTCCATGACATATTCAGGACGCTCGGTGGAGGATCTCGAGGTGCAGCATACATTAGCGGCTCAGTGGACCCAGATCAGCGGCGGACATTCAGCGGCGACTGTGGTGCGAACAGTAGAAGAGGCCATTCGATGTGCAGCTGATAGTGGTGCTGCCAGCTTTTGTAGAGATCGAGAGCATATCAACGCGGTGGTTTTGATAACTGGCAGTCTTCATCTGGTGGGAAGTGCCCTGGAGGTGTTAGATACAATAACATGAATATTTTTGATATCAACGCCAAGAAAAAGTCGTCGTCATTATTGGGTAGGTCAGAAAGAAAGAGGTACCAGTGATACGAGTCCTAAATTCTTGGCCATTTTAAGGATCGTAGTGGAGAATGGATCGACCTCCGACCAGGCAAGGGGTGATGGTGACGATCATGGCAATATTTTATTTTATTTTTGCAACCACACAACCAAACCACCGAGGGCGTTGCCTCTTTGACATTCAAAGCGACCCAGGTTCCTTATCCATTCCAGGCCTTGATCATGGAAATGGGTGATCCAGATGCTCCTTTCACCATTCTCTCCGAGACCAGAAAGAGATGGACTATCACGATCGCTTCCCTAGTCACATTCATATCTCCAGTGTCGGCCAACATTTATTACCCGGCGCTTAATCCACTGGCTCACGATCTCCAAGTTTCGCCTGCTAAGATAACCTTGACCATCACGGTGTTCATGGTAAGTCTTCATGAAGATGCCATATGATTCAGGTTTTCCAGGATTTGTATACATTGATCTAACTACGAGCTCACAGATCGTACAAGGAATAGGCCCCTTGATGGTGGCTAGTTACTCCGATGTGTATGGTCGTCGCCCGATAGTGACCCTCGCCCTCCTTCTATATGTAGGCGTGAATCTTGGGTTGGCCCAACAAACAAGCTACCCTGTTTTAATGGCCCTCCGGTGTCTGCAGAGTTTTGGGAGCAGCACCGCTACAGTTGTCTGTTCCTCGGTGGCAGCAGATCTGGTACCCCGATCTGAACGTGGACGATATATGATTTATTCATCACTGGGTGTGACTCTAGGGCCCGCTATTGGTCCGATCTTAGGTGGTGTTTTGACGCAATTTCTCAACTGGCGAAGCACCTTCTGGTTCCTTGCCATTTGGGCAGGCATGATGGCCACCGTGTTTTTTGTCTTTGTACCAGAGACCTGCCGGGCAATGGTAGGGAATGGCTCTATCCCACCAATGAGGTGGAATAGGTCGCTCGTTCAACACCTAAATCACGAAGCCTATGCCAGTGACTTCGTATCTGAAAAAGATCAGAAAGCGAAACGACCAGCTCGACCTAAGCGGCCAACCCCTCTGGATGTTCTCAGAGTAGCCGCCCAAAAAGAAACAGGTGCAATCATTTTGTTCACGACCGTACTGTTTAGTGGATACTTGGCCGTGCTCAGCAGTCTTCCATCCCAGCTTGAGCATAAGTACCAGTTTAATGCTTTACAAGTTGGTCTATGCTATATCCCCTACGGTGCGGGGAGTCTCACATCTCGTTGGACAATCGGAAAACTCATCGACTGGAACTTTCGACGCCACGCGAAAGATCAAGGAATTGAGATCGTTCAGAATCGGCAAGTCCAATTGATCTCCATGCCAGTGGAAAAGGCACGACTGCAAATCACACTTCCAGTCATATACTGCGCTTCGATAGTGATGATCGGCTATGCGTGGACAATGAATTACGAAGTCAATCTTGCGGGGCCTCTCATTATGCTTTTTTTTTTATCGCATTTGATCTCTGGAGCGACAAGCACGCTCATCACCCTAGTGGTTGACTGCCATGTTCGTCGACCAGCTACCGCTACTTCCGCAAACAATCTGTTTCGGTGTTGTTTTGGGGCGTGTACAGTTGCAGCAGCTGTTCCATTGATCAACTTGATTGGAATTGGGTGGACTGGTACAATCATTGGTTTTATTTGGATTTTTTTGAGTCCAGTTCTTTGGGGGGTTTACTTTTGGGGTCATGATTATCGCAGAGCAAAGGAGGCATGCCAATCCTAGCGTAAGATTGAAGGATTCGAATATTTAATAGAATGAGAGAGTCAAAACGAACGTCAAGCCCACTCTTAGAGCTTCAAGACTATGAATGTTCAAGAGAATCCCAGAAAAAGGAATGTATCGAATAAGGGCCCAGTCAAGGGGACATATCTGAAGGGTACATGGCTCAGTGATAATGCTCAGCGTGAGAGGTTGGCTTATAGTTGCCACTGATTTTTAGGCAGAATGAATCAATAGCGGTGATTTGAAGCCTTTATACATTGCTAGAGCTGGCCTTTATACAGGGGAAATGCATCATTGTTCTTTCCTCCAAGTACCGGGAAGTACATATTGTAGTATACCCAGATCCAGGTAAAACATGTATAAATCTACTGCAGGAGCCTCCGTCTCCTGGGGTGACGAATGTTCCTTTTCTCTCCACTCATTCCTCATTCATTTCTGCTACTTCAAACATGGAACCCCTTGTCTTCTGCATGGTTGAATACTAGTATTAGTACTGTTGTATGGAGCAACTGGATCGCCCCTCTTCCTCTAATTGTTAAGAAGTTAGCAAAAATGCCTACCATCGAAGAGATCCGTGCCATGTCCGCCCCCTTCGCAGAAGGAAAAGAACAGTAAGCCACGGCTATTAACTACGAATAACTAAGTAGATTACTAACTCTTTTATCGCGATATAAATATATGAAGTGTTTAGGATACCTATACAGTCATATCTCTTGAAAGTAGTAGAATATCGCAGAATTAAATTCTAAAAGTAGTAATATCGTGTCAAACGAAAAGTCATCCCATTCGACCACCTAAAATATCCGGACACCATAGGCGTCTCTATAGGGTAATTTATAGGGGGGTTTTTTTTCAGGTCGATATATCGTGATCTTCAAAGTGGATTACTCTTAGCCGGAATTCTACCTAGATTGGATATCGAACTTATAATTGGTAGATCCTATGGCAAGACTTAATGAATAGATTTCATTGGCTAATTCATAGTTTACTGTGAATACTGGGCGGTGAAGGGATGTGTATAAATCGACACAATGCGGTATTAAATGTCCTCAAATCCTGGCCTTGTACATACATACGGCTCGTATACCAAGGATGACTTGTCTACATAATACAGGCACCATGCTGGCATGAAATGAAGGCTTGTATTTCCCTCCATTGACATCTACACTCGAAGAATATCGAATTAACTTTTGAAATGTAGTTCCCCTGGGGGACAACCCTGGCAAGAAGGATGACTCAGTCGCTTCAGGTAGGCTTCAAATGTCTTCCGAGCTTGAAGCGCCTGTGAGGTTCGGCACTGTTATACGAGAATTTGGCCCTCCGAAGGAGGTAGTAGCATACGAATCGTATAAGCCACAGGTCCCTGGCCCCGGTCAAGTGCGGATCCGTATGCTTTTGGCCTGTATCAATCCGTCAGATTTGGTGACAATATCCGGAGCTTACGGATCGAGGACCTCGCTACCTTTTGTACCGGGGTTCGAAGGAGTTGGTGTGATCGAGTCCGTCGGCGCAGGGCTATCCGAATTGCGTGTGGGACAGCGGGTGTTGCCGCTCGGGAGTGCAGGCGCCTGGCAGGACATGAAGGTTACTGAAGAACGCTGGTGCTTCCCCGTGCCACTGGACTTGACCGATCAACAAGCGGCGATGGCATATATCAATCCACTGACGGCTTGGATGATGGTACGACAATACGCGCCCAGTCCACCTGCAGTGGTAGCAGTCAACGCAGCCGCGTCCGCTATCGGGCAGATGATCATTCGCCTGCTTAATCGCGCCGGCATACAGCCGATAGCCCTGATTCGACGGCCTGACGGCGAACGTCAACTCTCCGATCAGCTCGACCTCTTGGCTGTGGTCTGCACATCTGAAGCCGGACTCCGGCACAAGCTAAGTTTATTGAGTGGTGGCCGTGGCTTGGCAGTCGCATGGGATGCAGTTGGCGGAACCGAGGGAGATGATCTTGTACGCAGTCTTGCTCCAGGCGGAACCCTTGTTCATTATGGGCTTCTCTCCGGCATACCCTTGTCGTACCGTTTGCGCGAAGAGTGCCCGGAGGCGCGAATTGTACTATTTCGGCTCAGAGACTGGATCCACACGACCGAACGACATGAGCTGCAGCGTGCGTTAGACGATATGTTTGAGCTCGTTCGGGATGGCACCGCGGCGTCAAAGGTGGCAGCTGTGTTCCCACTTTCGGAGATTCGGCAGGCGCTGGAGTGCGAGGCTACTCCGGGCCGGCAGGGAAAAGTGCTGTTATCTATGTTCAATGATATGGAAACCACTCACTTCGATTGATGCTCGTATTATATGAGTTTCTTGAAGGCTGTCTCGGAACTCCCGCTAACTTATGATTACATGTCGGAAGATACGGAAGTGCTTTTTGCCTGCCTTGGGGTTCGACACGCGTAGCTACTATTCAGGAAGCTACATATTGTAGACAATTGGACATACCGGCCATTCAATAGTTACAACCAGTATTCACCACCTGCCATATGAGCACGTATTAACGTGGCTATGGCGCCAATAAATAAGACAGTGGGTGTTCCAGCCTCACCAACCATAATTTATTCTTGTGCCTTGAGCTTTGTGTCCGTTGTGCTCGCTGGTAGTGCTCAATTCAGGGTATATGAATTTACAGTAGTATTGAAAATAGCTGTGTTGTTCTACATCAGCCCTTTAACTTTTAAGGTTCCATTATAATTATCTAGCAAGTACTCCAGATAGTTGTCTACATGTTTGGGGTATTAACTAGTCTGATCTATTCCGAAGACATGTACGGCTTTTCAAACTTCCATCTTTTGGTACTGTAGCCCCGAAGTTTAGGCACTACTGCCACTAACGTTCGGTACTATGAGCCCTAAAATTAGGGTCTAATAGTATTAATAGCCGTGGGTTAATGTAAAACGCCAAGGTTTCGGTAAAATCCCAAGAATTGTCCGTTAGCTTGATTAGTCCACTAGTAAAGGCGGTCATTAGGGTAAGTTTAGCGTGTGTTTTGTACGGACCCCCACTGGAACGAAAGTAATTCCCCAACCACTCCAACCTCGTTCCATCCGATGGATGCAGGGGACAAATCCACCGCCGGGAATATCACCGCTGGCGACATGGAGCATGCTTTACCTACTACCCGGAACTCGTCCGACGGATGGCCTCGGCAATCTGGTCGCATCCGTGTGACGCGTGCCTGCGATCGCTGCAAGAAGTAAGTTGCCCCTTCACCTTACACCGATGTTACTCATTTTATTGACTTGGACTGATTTCAGGAGAAAGGTTCGGTGTAATGGCCAACAGCCATGCCGTGTATGCACCGAGGCATCTGTCACTTGCTCCTACAACGCTTCCTACTCTAGAGGGCGACGACCAGCTGTTCGATTGACCCGCTCGAGGCCTCTGGCTCAACTAACCGCGTCTCCGCTAAATCCACAGGGTAGAGATCAAACGGCAAGTCATCCCGGAAATCCAGACATCCTTGAAGAATCACCGGGCGTTGTGTCCCAGCAGAGCGCATCGATGCCGCTGGGCGAGCCTGTCTCTCGCGCTTCTCCTGAGCCAGCGCAGACCGATCTGCATGGCCACTACGTAGGCCCCTCCTCCGGTATCTCATTCCTCTCTAGAGTTCAAAAGCGACTCGAACAATCTGTATCTTTTCCTCGAAGCTTATCTGTCTTCAACTTTGGCGACGCACCGTTGCCTTACCGTCATACTGATTGCGGTGCTGGGGACCCTTCATCATCGTATCTTGACCCGACATTCTGTTTGCTGCTGAACCGAGATGACACTACTCGTCTGGTTCATAGATACTTTGACTTTGCAGTTCCCGTAGATCGATTTGTGCACCGACCCACAATCGAGCAATGGGTGGACGAATTCTACGAGACCCGAGGTGTAATGCGCGATAAAGATGCTGCACCTGCACAGATAGCTGTGATTTTCATGATCTTTGCTATCGCACAGGAACATACAAGCCCGAAATTGTCCGCAGTAGAAGCTGACACGAGGTCTGTTTATCTGCATTGTTTCGAGCACCACCTGCCTAGCGATCTTAAATGATGCTAAGAAACACTTCAGTGTTCGATACTTCCGGGCAGCGAACCAGCAACTGGCCAAAGAGCAGGGTCCCGTGCGACTCGCAAGTGTCCAAGCTCGCCTTTGTCAATGTCTGTGGCTTCTGTCACAGTCACGCATCAACCACTGCTGGAGTCTTTTTGGCACTGTCGCTCGGTTGATTTTTGCCCTCGGTCTGCATCGCAATCGACATGCCAGTTCCAGCTCCATGACTCGGCTCGAAATTGAGTGCCGTCGGCGGACTTTTTGGAGTGCCTATTGTCTCGACAACTACATAAGCACGGCGCTTGGGAGGCCGAGGACGTTTAATGACAAGGACATTGACCAGGAGCTCCCTTCTTATGTGGAGGATGAAGAGGTCCAGGACAGAATGGACGTAACTGCTCCGTGTGGGGGCCAAGGGCTGTCGACCATGTTTGGCCCGGTTAGCTACGCAAAGTACATCCTACCAGGAATGTAACCTCTTCCCCCAAAACTGACACGAGATTCACATAGATTATCTCGGATATTGAGTGGTGTCTTGAGCGACATCTACGCTATTCAACCTATGTCTATCACCGAACGATTGTCTCACACAACAAAGTATATGAGTGAGTTGAAGTCATGGCGCAGAGACATGGCCGGTTTCCTCGACCAACCTAGTTCAAACGCTGCCCCATTAGTCCTAATCTACCAGCGACAGAGGAACGTTCTTAATCTTGCCTACTGGCATACGGTGATTCTAACTAACCGTCCGCTTTTGCTTACAAATTTCGCGCGGTTGACGAACAACACACGGAGATTGCCGCGGGAGCAGAATGAACGAAGGGGACATATTGATGGAAGCATCACTGAGTGTCTCCGTGCTGCAATGGAGATTGTTACTGTCGTGGACACGATGATCCAAGCCAAGCAACTTTTCCGGTCTTTCTGGGTAAGGATTCCAGTAAAGCTCCAAGAGCTTGCTAATATCAGTGTTTCATAGTTCACTCCTTACTTTGCCTTCTCCGCTTCTGTGATCTTGTACGTCTACACTATACAACACAGCAAGGAGCCAGGCGACGTATACCGGTCGTTCTTCGCAGCTGCAGAGCGCTGCAAGCAGCAGATTATGGACATTGCGGAAGAGGGATCGTTGACTTATAGGTATTGTCTGGTTTTAGAAGAGCTGCATGCAGAGGCTGTGCGGCAAATGACCCCAGTCCAGCCTTCTGTTGGACAACCAACGCAAACCCACTATGCAATGGAGATGGGGAGTGAGGGTATAGAGGCCCTTACTTCGAATGTCGGGGATTTGACTACGGAATTTGCTATGGGAGCGGCAAACATGGTAGGCATGGACCCGCTGGATGATTTTCATGTCAGTCCCAGTGCTTCTTTGGAAGATCTGACCGGATGGGATCAATTTGAGTCGATGGTAAATGCTCACGAAAACGATAAGATATTCTGGTATTAATCGGCTAATTGAGACTACCGGCAGGTTGTATCCGGCTTCAATAGTCTCTACCGCTTGTAACTAGCAATATCATCGCCATGCACGCCGTCTTCTGAAGGGTACCCATTCGGTGTTGCATGATAATAGTGTCAGTCTCCCCATGAGATTATTGTCATCTGCCTCTTGATAGGCAAGTGTACCCTATTGAGGAATTTCTCCGAGCAGTAATCATTATCTGGCCTCTTTCCCCCTCTCTCTTTTCGTTTTTTTGGTTCTTTAGTCCGTAGTGCAATAACCCGTTGACCCGTCGGATAATTCTGGCCAATAAATTCTAAGAATACCCGTCGGCGGAAAACACCCCGTGAAGGCTCTTTTCCGAGATCCCACAGGAAGCGTTGCCGAACAGCGCAATGTTCACCATTGAAACTCGAGGCGGCTGCTTAAGAATTTGGTAAGAATTATTGTTTATGGTAATCTCGCAAACAATGTCACTCCAGGGAAAAGTGTATGCTGTTACAGGCGGTGCGAGTGGCATCGGCTTTGCAACAGCCAAACTCATCTCGGAACGCGGGGGAACAGTCTGTATAGCCGACGTTAGCGCAGATGGCCTCCGCAAAGTTGAATTATATTTCTCTTCCAAAACTCCCTCTGTTGAGTTCATGATCACACAAGTCGATGTTTCGAACAAGCAACAGGTTGCAAATTGGATTGCCGACATCAAGGCGAAATACCATCGGCTTGATGGAGCAGCCAACATTGCCGGCGTCATCGGAAAAGACCATGGGATCAAATCTGTGGCAGAGCTGGATGATGATGAATGGAGCAAAATAATCAGTGTGAACTTGACAGGAACGATGTATTGCCTCCGGGCAGAGCTCAACCACATTGTGGATGGAGGCTCAATCGTCAACATGGCGTCCATCCATGCTACCACCGGTGAGTTCTTTCTCCCTCTTAATAACTGGGACTCTTTCTGAAAAGAACTAGGCGTGGCAAACCACGGTGCGTACGCAGCGAGTAAACATGGCGTTTTGGGCCTTACTCGAGTTGCTGCAAAGGAGAATGGCCACAGGGAAGTCCGGGTTAACGCCGTTGCCCCAGGACCTATCTACACTCCAATGATGCAAGGGTTTTGGGACCGAGTCGAACGGCCATCTGATGCGCCCTTTGATGATCCTATCGCTTTTAAACGGCAAGGGGCCCCTGAGGAGGTGGCAACTGTGGTTGTATTCTTGCTGGGGCCGGAAAGCTCTTTTGTGAGCGGAAGTTGTTACCCAGTTGATGGAGCTTGGGTGTGAATGGACTGCGCTGCTCGGCGCAATGTTTATAATAACAACGTGTTTTGTCGGGTATAATCTTCCTACATTATTGAAATAGGATCACCATGAGCTTAGACTCCGAGTTTATATATTGGTTGGTAGACAGTGGTACTATCAATCAAATATCCAAGCCTCGACATAAGAAGATCGTAATGGGTACATCTATTGTAGGTTCTTAAGATTTACTAATAACATGTCTATATCTGGCGCACTGTCGCTTTACCACTCTCGAAACTCCCCACAAGGACCGCGGAACTCAGGAATTGGCCAAGCTTTTGTATCTTGAGACAGCTGCCTGACCTCTGCTTCGTTGATTTCAATCCCCAAGCCCGGACCAGATAAGACATCAATATGGCCATCCCGCACAGTCCAAACTTCAGGATTCGTGATATAATTCGTGATATCTTGTCCAGTGTTGTTGTAGTGCATGCCTATGCCCATCTCCTGGATGGCAAAATTCGCCATTGTCGCGTTCGCATGAACACAAGCCGCGAGTGCAATAGGACCTAGCGGACAATGAGGAGCGACACCTACATCATAAGTCTCGCACATGGCGGCGATGCGTCTCATCTCGGAGATGCCACCAATGTGGCATATATCCGGCTGGAGTACATCTACACAATTGCTTTCCAGGAACGGTCTTACATCCCACCGACTGTGAAGTCGCTCGCCAAGAGCAATTGGGATAGTGGTCAACTCTGATACCTGTTTGATGGCGCCGATATGCTCCCCGAGGAGGGGCTCTTCGATGAACAGAGGTTCGTGGGGTTCTAGTGCCCTCGCAAGGCGTTTGGACATGGGCCTATGTACCCGGCCGTGGAAGTCAACAGCAACATCAATACCCATTGCCTTTACAGCCTTGACCCTCTCCACGACCTCTTGAAGAACCGATGGTGAGTCTAACCATGCTGTGTCTCCCGTGCCATTCATCTTGACAGCATGGAACCCCTGTTGTTTGCGGGCTTGACTATGGGACATGAGTACGGTTCCTCTATGGTTGTTAAGGGGTAACATACGCTTGAACCTGAACTTCGTTGGGCCTGTCACCCCCAATCCAAGCATAAACTCGAATTTTGTCCCTAACCTTGCCACCCAGCAGGTGATATATGGGCACACCAAGTTTTCTGGCTACTTATATGTCAGTCTGCATGTCCATTCGTTAGACACCGGACAAAGCCGGATAGCCTGGTAGGGGTTTGACCACTGCTACAGACATTTCATATCCCATAGAGCAATATCAATTCCGGACAGCGCACTCATGAACACAGGTCCACCACGGTAGAAGCTGCCGCGCCAGGAGAGCTGCCAAATATTTTCAATATCCCTACAACCATGTTTAGAACCCGTAAAAAAAAGGTAGTGAAAAACAGTCATTGAAAGGAATCCACATACTCTGCGTCTAATCCCTTGTATCTCTCAAACCATGCATCCAGACAGCCTTCTACTGCATTAGTGTGGCCTTCAAGGGAAGCTTCCCCCCATCCACAGGCGCCTGTTTCGTCAGTGATTTTGACAAAAAGCCACCGCGGAGGAACGCGAAAATACTCCATTGACACAATTTTCCCCATGATGAACTAATAACCCACTTGAGACGTTGTATGGCTGTGGTAGAGTCGGGGACTAAAAAGATGAGAAAAGTATATAAACAGGGATTTGGGACATAGTAGTGGTTAGTAGCTCTTGGATCTATTCCGCAGCTTGAGCCTTGGTTCTCCGGATAACTCCAGTTCCGATAAGCTGGACCCGATTGATTTTCCGTCTATATCCGTCCACCTCCGTTAAACGGCCGTCCAGTAACATGGAGGGTAAGACCTATGCGATACAGTTTCCGCTATCTTATAGCGTTGGTGGGTACTGTTTAGTATTAGTCAAAGTGTGGGTAAAGCAACTGGATTTCTTTCCTAAGCGATCCTGTAGTGATACGGCTTAAGCCCTATGATCCCTGTTAACGATGAAGGTTGTTATTGAACAACCTGAAATTTTTATTAAATTAACACAGGTAAGGTCCCTGGCCAGTAGGATGTCCTTTTCAAAGACATTCAACACCTTCGTTTGAACAAATAATGTTATCCAGCCTTGCGAGGCTAAAGTGATAACTCGATAATAACCTGACCTGTGCGGGATTCTTGAAACAAAAAAGCGTCCTTCCCCCAAAGACCTTACCAAGGAAACTTTGTGTGCACTGTTTCTCAAGGATGGGTGACAAATTTCATTCCAGTTAATTTATTTGGTTTTATTTCACCTTGGCTGCGGACCCCCATTCCAAAAGCATTTATGCTACCCAGTTAGAACTCGTCATGGCGGTCCATTACGCGGTCATTGCTTCTTACTCTTTCTTTCCTTGAGGCTCCAGAAAAATCGAGGTATTCGTGAGTTCAGGGTTTCTATTCAGCATTGCGCTACTGTATTTAAAATTAGCCAGGATTCTCTCCAAGGCCCTGTAGCCCTCTATATTTGCCGTCACATGAACAGGCTCCAACACGATAGGCCTGACCGAGATGGGACCGTCTAGGAACAATGTGAAGCACCTCTTTACGATTGTCAATTAAACAAATGCTATTCTTGTATTTCCTGTGGCATATCTCTTCTTAAACCGTAAACCTAGGGCTGAAGCGGTCCTGTGACGTCCCAATATCATAAGGTCTGATTTAGATGCTTGGGGCACCCCAGCGCTGTGGATACGTAAGATAAGCAAGGATGATAGTGATAAGAAGGGAGTGTGCCTAATCTGGCGTCGACCTATCGGTGCATTTTCACTCCTTATCAAATTCTGTGCCAGTCAATCTAGTCCAACTGGAAATGTTGTTGTTTCCGATGGATGTAAAGGCCAGGTTGCCATTGGTACATACGTTCCGCCCTGCTCTGAATCCGATGGACAAACTAGCTCAACCTTCGGCTCGCGTTGGAAGATCTTGCTGCAGTAACGGAGTCGAATTAGCCAACTCAATGTAGTCATTGCCCGGAATCGAGTGTCCTAAACTCCACGAGCGTGGTCATTGGATCGTCATTTCATACAAGTGCACCTCATTTTCGTGGTGTTAAAAGCCCTTTACCCCTCTATTGTTGGCTGCGAAATATTACTATAGTTATTCTAGTAGCTGCTATCAACGACTTTCTACCACCTCATTGAGTTAATACCCTTACCTTACCTCCAAGGGACAGAGAATTACCATGACTACAGAAAATGCCCTTGGGGTGTCGGGCTTGTCTACGACAGAGGCCCCCATCACCTGGAAGGCCTATCTTGTTTGCGTCTCGGCTGCGTTTGGTGGCGTCTTCTTTGGCTATGACATCGGTTGGATGTCTGGCGTTCTAGGAATGCCATACGTTATCCAGCAATACACTGGCATGGAGTATGACTTCAACGCCGGTACCCCCGTTGATTCCTCCCACTCGTTCACCATACCGTCCTCGGACAAATCCCTCATGACTTCGATTCTGTCCCTTGGAACGTTTCTTGGTGCTATTGTTGCTGGTGACCTAGCTGATCTGTGGGGCCGTCGCATTACCATCCTCATCGGCTGCGCCATTTTCATTTGTGGCATCATCCTTCAAATCTCTAGCAGCGGCCAACTGGCCGTCATGACCATCGGACGCTTGGTCGCTGGCCTGGGCGTCGGCTTCGAATCTTCAGTCATCATTCTCTATATGTCTGAAGTTGCGCCGAGGAAGATCCGGGGTGCTGTTGTTTCAGCTTATCAGTTTTCTATGTAAGCTAGCCTGTGTAGGCTCTACAGTTTCCAATGTGTACTGAGGCATTGACCTAGCACGATTGGGCTTTTGATTGCAAACTGTGTCGTTTACGCAACCCAAGGGAGAAATGATACAGGGTCTTACCGTATTCCTATCGGAGTCCAGTTCCTCTGGGACATTATACTTGCTAGTGCTCTGTTCCTCTTGCGTACGACCCCCATTTCCGTTTGGGACTTTATGCACAAACACTGACTACCACCTACAGCCGAGTCACCCCGGTACCTCGTGAAGAAAGGAGATATTCAAAAGGCAACAGAGGCTCTTTGTTTCATCCGAGAACAGCCCGAAAGCTCCGAGTATATTCATGGCGAGCTTGCAGAAATCATGGCGAACCATGAGTATGAGTCCCTCGTGAGTCCCGACAAGGGGTATATAAACTCGTGGCTGCTTTGCTTCAAGGGCCCGATCAGTAAACCCAACTCCAATATCAGAAGAACTATCGTTGGTGCTGGTATCCAGGCAATGCAGCAGCTGTCTGGAATGAACTTTATATTTTATTACGGGACAACGTTCTTTCAGCAGCTTGGAACAATCTCCAATCCGTTTCTCATTTCTCTAATAACGACACTTGTCAATGTTTTGACCACTCCGCTCGCATTCTGGACTATCGAGCGATTCGGCCGCAGGCCTTTGCTCGTCTATGGTGGGCTCGGCATGTTTCTGATGCAGTACATCATCGGCGCTGTTGGAACTGCACTGCCCGACAATGAAACAGCAGTCAAGGGAATGATTGCCGTCATCTGCTTCCAAATATTCTTCTACGCTACCACCTGGGGGCCTGCCGCGTGGGTTGTTGTGGGAGAGATCTTCTCTCTGCCAATCCGCGCACGTGGTGTCGCTATATCAACGGCATCGTGTTGGTTCTGGAACTGTGTGCTTGCTGTCATTGCCCCTTATATGACTGGCGATGAAGAGGGAGCGGTTAACCTCGGGCCCAAGGTGTTCATCTTCTGGGGCTCACTCTGTTTTCTGGGGGCTTTGTTTGCCTATTTCTTTGTTCCGGAGATGAAGGGCCTCTCCCTCGAACAAGTCGATCTCATGCTTGCCGAGACAAGCCCACGGAAGAGCGCCCAATGGATGCCTAGGACAACGTTCGCTCAGGAAATGGGCCGAGTGGAAAAGGTTGAAGTCACCCATGTTGAGCATACCGATCATCATACGGTTTAGGCTACTCTTCAAGATAGATACCTATGAAACCCGTCTGTTTACTACGGAGGACTGAATGATGAGGGGGGTCGAACAGTAGTATATCTCTTCATTTGCAACTATGTATTTCCATAGTCGATTGGTCCGTCAATGCAGTCCTATTCGCCGTAATGCATGGTTCGAGAAGTAAAAATGATTTGCGCTAATTCTCCACTATCATGGCAGGGTAACTGCGTCGAACACACTGGCCAAGGCCATCTGGTTTCTGAAGTATTGTATTGCTCTACTTGTATCATGTTCACCTCGGCTGTTATCTGACAGAGCCACCTCGGTTTATTTTGTCTTCTCTGCTTTCGCCGAAAGCCCAGTCAAGAATACTTGAGGATAGGAAAAGTGAACCAAGGGACAGCCTCTCAAGACCTTCAAAAGACACATAATGGAGGTGAGGATAGAGCGACTACTCGAGGTGAACAGATTTACATTCTGCCCTTCCGCTTAGTTTTCCGTGCCAAGCACTTCTTCCGGCTGGTGGAGCTTTTCCGTGTATCGTAGGGAGTGCATTAGGGGGGAAGATCTCGCGATATATTTCACCCTGCAATATCACTTCCCACAACGGAACTGCCTTGGCAATCCACATAGTTCGCGAACCCCACATTCGGCCGTTCCACCTAAATTAAACTATATGACTCGGCTTGGACTGGTGGTGAAAACACGCTTAAAACTTGTTCGGATTTTAGCTATCAGAGTTAGGGATTACCTTTCCCGGATCTTCACAAGCTGGATTTTTACTAGCTCAGCCAAATTCAGTCAATTTCCATAGCATATCTCAATACCACGCGATCAAAATACTATGTGGCACTAAGGTTGTGTCGTAGACATACTATCCATAGCAATAAGTATAAATATATCAATCGCCCCTCAAACCTACTGTCAGTCTATTTGCAACATCTCTTAAGCTTTTCCCTTCACGGATCCATCCTCTGCCGAAGCACATAATGCAGAAAGTGCTCAAGGCGATAGCTGCAGCGGTGATATTCTCATCGTTGCCGACTGTGTCTGCCACATCCACATGCAAACTCGCATCCAGGGCAGATCCCCTGCAGTATGTCGGGGTTGACTGGTCTTCAGTCATAGTGGAGGAACGTGGCGGAGTCGTTTATAAGAACGCACAAGGCATTGAGATGCCTCTGGAGGATATTCTGGTGGAAGCCGGCGTCAACATGGTGCGCCAACGAGTGTGGACGGTTGACAGCGACTACGGAGTGCAGTACAACCTTGAACTGGCGCGACGGGCGAACAAGGCAGGCTTGATGTTTGGCCTCAACCTTCACTTCAGCGACACATGGACCAACCCTAACCAACAAACCATCCCGACTGGTTGGCCACAAGAGATTGAGCCGCTCATCAATACATTATACAACTACACAAGCAACGTGTGTGAAACCTTTGCGGCAGAGGGCCTCTACCCAGAGACAATCACCATCGGCAATGAGATCCCATCGGGATTGCTCTGGCCGACCGGTTACTACACGAATCCGGAAAACCTCGCCCGACTTCTGCAGACCGCTGCGAGTGCTGTGAAGAGTTCTTCTCTAGGAGGACATACCAAGGTCGTGACTCACCTTGCCCATGGATATGATTCGGATCTCCAGCATTGGTTTTACGACCTGGTCTTGAACACCGGCTATCTGACCGTCGACGACTGGGATGTTATCGCCGTTTCGTTCTACCCCTTTTGGGGTGAAGGTGCCACGATGGACGCATTGACCCAGTCTCTGACCAGTCTGGCATCTCAGTACCAGAAAGAAGTCCAGGTTGTCGAGACAAACTGGCCGACGCAGTGCACTAACCCAGAATATCCGTTTCCGCAGGACCAGCTCGATATTCCTCTCAGCCCAGCCGGCCAGATTACGTATCTCCAACGACTTGCCGATACCCTCAAGGCTATCCCGGCTGCTACGGGACTCAACTACTGGGAGCCTGCGTGGATAGATAATGCTGTACTGGGGTCTTCCTGTGAGAGCAACGTCATGTTTGATCCAAACGGCCAGGCGTACGATAGCGTGTCTATCTTTGGCTCGCTTTACTAGTTATGTGTCTATCTCGACTGGTGTATGGCAGAGCAGGGCTTGGGGTATAATGTGTTACTAATGTGCAAGTTGAAATTGCGAATATGTTGTCATTTTGTATCAATGACGTTGTTTCTTAGTATACGTAGCATTCCTAATTTTACGTGAAGTTGTTAAGACCAGTGAGGTATATACACTCGTCCAAGTACTGAAAATGAAAAGACTAAGCTCCGGGAGTGACGCACAAAGGATTAAAGGATTGAATAGCAAAATAGCAGTGCTGACGACCTTCGACTCCTTCCACGAATCAAGTGAACTATGACGTGGCTCTGCTACCCAAGCCCGAACGATGTTGCTCCTGTTAGACGGACTGTATGCACAAAAGAAACAGCGCAAATATGATAATTAGAGTGTTACTGGTTTGATTATAATACTCCGACGGATAACTCGAAAAAAAGACAGCCGTCGGAAAAGATCAATCCTTCTGGCGGAGAGCGCCCAGGCGGATATTTATGCCATGACGCCGCCTGACATGTGTCCTAAAGCCCATTTGCTGAAAACCAAGATAGATTAATTCAGTCAGGATTGGCCTGCCGAAATCGGAAATCCGGGGAAATAGGGACGTGGGGAAATGATAGGAATGGCAGTTCTGTGGATGATCACGTCTACTGAAGTGGTCTATAAATGATAGTAAACGAAGGCACCTTCGTTAATGTCAAGCGATCTGGTATAGTGAATTACCCCAGTATCAATCGCAGATTCCATTCAGGTTTTGCTGATTTAACAGGGTTAACTCTGCAATCATGAGGCTGTGGCACACCGTCAGTAGTGCCGTGGCAATTGCATGCCTAGCAACTCATTCCACGGCTCAAGAGTGGCCTTTACATGACAATGGTTTGAACCAGATCGTCCAATGGTATGCTATAGAGCCCTATAATATGCAGGTAGACAGGTGAAGCTTACGCACCACGCAGGGACCATTACAGCGTGATTGTCAACGGAGAGAGACTGTTCCTTTGGTCGGGCGAAGTGCATAGACCCCAGCTCTAACCTAGTGATATGTAACGTGGCCTAACAGTCTAATTAGTTGCACCTGTGGCGCATCCCTGTTCCTGAACTGTGGCGAGACATCCTCGAGAAAGTCAAGGCAGCTGGGTATGTACAACTTCCAATGCAGCGCCGTCGCATGAGATTAGTTCTGACTTCAAACAGCTTCAACGGGATTGGACTTTACGAACATTGGGGCTGGCATGCCCCAAACAATGAGACGTTGGATTTTGAAACAGGGGCTCATAACTTTGCTCAAGCCTTTGAAATTGCCAAGGAGATTGGTCTTTACATCATCTACAGACCCGGTCCGTACAGCAACGCCGAAGCAAATGGAGGAGGCTTCCCAGGCTGGCTAACTACTGGGGAGTATGGCCCCCTGCGCGACGACAGCGAGAAGTACGCCAGTGCTTGGACACGATATTCTGGAGCTGTTGCGGAGTATGTACGTCCATATCTCATCACTAACGGAGGACCCATTATCATGTGGCAGATCGAAAATGAATATGGCCTCCAGTGGCTCGATCCTGACCTGAAGACGCCCAATCACACTGCCATCAACTACATGGAGCTACTTGAACAGAAACACAGAGAATGGGATATTGATATCCCCTTCACTGCCAACAACCCCAATATGGGGACGCGATCCTGGTCAAAGGATTACGGTAGCGTGGGTGGTGAGGTCGACGTGTATGGCCTCGACCATTATCCGGCGTGCTGGACGTGCAATTTGGCGCAATGCCTTTCAGTCAATGGGCAGGTTGAGCCATACACCGTATTTGACTACTACACGCACTTTAATGAGGTGTCGCGGACTCAACCTTCGTTTCTCATGGAGTTTCAGGGAGGCTCGTTCAACCCCTGGGATGGGCCCGAGGGCGGGTGTAAAGATAATATGGGGCCTGGTTGGGTGAACCTTTTCTTCCGTCACAACCTGGCACAGAAGGTGACAGCTGTCAATATCTACATGCTCTATGGTGGAACCAATTGGGGTAATATCGGCTTCCCTGAGGTCGGCACCAGCTATGACTACTCGGCGCCCATTCACGAGACACGTTTGATTGGCGACAAGTACAACGAAGCCAAGCTCTTTGGTCTTTTCATGCGCGTCGCTCGCGATTTCTCTAAGGTGGAACGAGTGGGGAACAATACCAATTATGCTACTGACAAGGATATCTTTACGACTGAACTCCGCAATCCAGATACTGGTGCTGCCTTCTATGTCACCCGCCATGAGTACTCTCCTTCTACAGAGATCACCAGATTTCGACTGCATGTTACCACCGATATTGGTAACCTCACAATCCCAACTAAAGGATCCATTACTATCAATGGAACGGAGTCTAAAGTCCTGGTCACAGACTTCTTCATCGGTTCCTCCGGGAAGAAAGTCACTTATACGACCCTAGAGATCCTCACAGTCGTTGACCTGGAAGACCGTCAAGTGGTTATATTCTGGGCCCCGGATGGCGAGGACGGCGAGTTTTTGCTTAAAGACGCAAAGTCGGGCAAAGTTATGAGCGGAAATGCCGATAACAAGACGCTAAGCATGACTCGACATGGTGTTCTGACGAATGTTGCCGTAGGTAATGAAAAGACGGTTATCGAATATGACCATGACGTTCAAGCGGTGGTGGTAGATCGACAGTCTGCTTACAAATTCTGGGCTCCTACTTTGAACAATAACCCACTTGCGTGGGAGAACTCTACCGGTAAACACACTCTTGTCACATGAGAATGTCCGGTACATATGTACTAACAAGGCGCATTAGTTCTTGTTCACGGACCCTATCTCGTGCGTACGGCTGAGATCGAGGGCAATACCGTCTACGTCACGGGAGATTGGGACGAAGAAACTGATATCGAGATCTGGGCTCCGAAGAACGTGAAAAATGTTTCATTTAACGGCTCGAAGCTGAAGATCACGAAGTCTAAATATGGAACCCTAGTTGGGACGTTGCCTGCTCCCGAAGTTACGGCGGATAGCCTTATCACAGAGCTGCCGCCCCTTACCAACTGGAAGGTGGCAGACAACCTCCCCGAGAGGTTGGTGGATTATGACGACTCCAAATGGACCAGTGAGTGATCAACTAGCCACTTATATTCAAGCTGCCCTGACTAACCTCTCTTACAGATGCAAACCACATGACAACTCCCCATTTCGTTCCTCCCGATACCTACCCCGTTCTGTTTGCTGACGAATATGGCTATCAAGCGGGTAACATTCTCTGGCGAGGCAGATTCAAGGCTTCAGACGAGAGCATGCCCTCTGGTGCTTATCTTCGAGTCATTGGCGGTCTTGCCAGCGGCTTTTCCGCGTATGTCAATGGCGAATTCCTTGGGGCTTGGCTCGGTTCAATGGCCAACAAAACGGGGGAACTCGAAGTATCTTTTAAGGACGTCAAGCTCAATACAGGGGGTGATAATGTACTATTTGTTATTCAGGACACGATGGGCAAGGAGCAGCGTGAGGCCGCGCCAGACCCACGAGGCATTCTCAATGCCACACTGATTGCTGCAGATGGCTCGGCTACCAATTTCACCTTATGGAAAGTGGCCGGAAACGCTGGTGGAAACCATCTGCTTGAGCCAGTACGTGGCACGTACAACGAAGGCGGTCTCCATGCAGAGCGCCTTGGCTGGCATCTCCCTGGCTTTGATGACAACGATTGGGAGTCAGGAGCCCCTGTGGATGGATTCACTGGCGCTGATGCGCGCTTCTACCGCACCGTTGTACCGTTGAATATTCCACAAGGCTATGACGTTAGCTTGGCTTTCCAGCTAAGCACTGAGAAGAAGGCAAAGCTACGGGCTCAACTATACGTCAACGGGTATCAATTTGCAAAAACCTTGCCCTTCATTTCGAACGAGACAACTTTCCCGGGTAAGTCCTTTCGAAGAAGTTTCAATAAGGAATAAGCGAATTTGTGGTTTGAGTTAGAAACTGATGATCTCTCTAGTATTTCCTGGAATCCTTCACTATAATGGTAACAATACTATCGGACTCAGCGTGTGGACGATGGATGAAGCTGGAGGACAGGTTGATGTAGCTTGGAAAGTGATGGGTGTACATCGATCGGCCTTTGATCCTCTCTTTGATGGCGAATACCTTCGACCTGGATGGAAGGATCGCTCACGATATGCCTGAAAGAGCCAGGCCGGACAACTCAATAGCAGTATCATCCTAAATGCACACATCCACACGGACTATATTAGAAATGGACCAGACATACTTGACAGATATTCAAGGTCATTGTTAGATCATCATTGAGAACTACACTGGGTGTAGAGGATGGTATAAATGCTACAGAAATGGAAATGAAACCCCCAGAGATTACAAAGGATCATGAACTATGATATACTGATATTCATTAAGGAAGTTGTGTGTATTTAGGCTATCTCAGATTGGAGAATAATAATATCAAGACCAAAGATATCTGGCATAGACCTCCAGATGGGAATTTGCTATATGTTGGTAATTAGCTGCTCAAGGCACGACCTTGACGCCATATGGTTGTTTTGGTCGAGTGGGTGTGAGACTTATATATCCAATTAGTGCATCGTGGAACAGTTGGTCTTACCTGCTATCTTAGTATATATGCTTCCTATTTTCTGTATCCACACTACTTTATACAAAGACCCAATGTTTAATAAGACGTATAGAGCTATAGATCTGTAAACATGGATCAAGAGGCAACAGTCTATGTATAGACATTATGTACTGGAAGATTCACTTTATAAGGCAGATAGCCTGTTGACTAGGTAAAGAAAAGTAAGCGAGGAAGGAAGGACATGTCTACAGAGTGCTATTAGCTGAATTATCTTATCTGTTGAAGCGATCGCCTTGCCTGGTTTAGTTGAGATTCGCGGAGCTTTGTTGGAAGTGGTGACCTTCCTGGATCCTAATTGTCAATTGAGGCATGCAAGCGATATAGACTACTATGAGGAATCTGCCGACTAGATCCATAAAGTGGAGACTTGAACCCAATCGCTTATACTGTTACATAGCACAGCCTATTAACTAGTTATTTATCTTTCCCGGAAGAAATTCCCACTGAAAACCTCGCGTGTTCCAGTGGGGATAAATAACACTTTATATATGATAATTCTTCCTCGTTCTTCGGAAATCTTATCATGATAGTGCTACATAGCATTATTGCCAAGGTGTAAGATCTGTGAACCATGGTAGATCTATGATCTATCTAGATTTCATCTATCAGTACGTAGAGGTAAATGGTGGGGAAAAAGGTTTAACCCCAGACCAAAATGGAAGACGTAATAAAAGATGAGGTGAACAGGATTAGTGATAGTAAGTGAAAATTTCGTGATTTCATTGGATTAGTGATATTAGTCAGCGATTCATCAGCACCCTTCGATGACGATGTTTTCAGGGCTTAAATTTCTCTAGGATATATTAATCGGTATATTCGCGCGTTTATTATAGCTTAAATTACCATCGTTGTTACGGCTGATTATCCTAATCAAATCATACAAGATGCCTGTCCCCGACACTTTCCTAGCGGCTACAGTCAACCAGCCCTACGCCCAACATGTCGTTTCTAACCGTTCATTGCAACCACTTGAATCCGGCGAAGTTGCTATTAAAATCACCGCTACGGCCATCAACCCGGTCGACTGGAAGATCCGCGACTACAATGTCTTTATCAAAGAGTACCCTGCCGTGCTAGGGTCGGATGCCGCCGGAGAGATCGCCGCTGTTGGACCCGATGTTTCTAATTTCGCTGTCGGCGATCGGGTATTCTTCCAGGGCATCATTGGAAGATATGACTCGTCGACCTTCCAACAATACTGCAAGATGCCGGCCGCACTGGTCTCCAAGACGCCCAGCAACATTAGCGACGACCAAGCTGCCGGAATAAGTCTCGCGACCGTGGCTGTTGTCACAGCATTCTACGACAAGTCCGGCCAAGGTTTAACCCCACCATGGGACCAGAATGGCCAGCAGGTCGGAAATGGCAAAGCCGTAGTGATCATCGGAGGGGCCTCCTCTGTAGGCCAATATGCCATTCAATTGGCTAAACTGTCGGGCTTTGAAAAGATTATTACCAACGCAAGTCCTCAAAACCACGAGTGCCTCAAAAAGTTTGGCGCCCATGTTGTCCTGGACCGAGCCCATTCGAGCCCGGAGGATTTCAAGGCTGCAATTGGCGGGTTGCCTTTGGAATTCGTCTTCGACTCTATCTCGGTGAAAGCAACGCAAGCATTGGGTGTTCAAATTGTTCAGGCTACAGAAGGCGCCGATAAGATCGTGACGGTCCAGGGTGCCGACTCGGATGCTATTGCCCTTGGCCAGTCGAAAGAGCCGAAGGTAGCGGTGAAGCAGGTCTTGGGATTAGGTAGCTCCCCAGCATTGCGTCATCTCAGCGAACCTTTGGTGAAACATCTCGGCGGCGAGGATGGGTATATCGCTAAGAACCTTTTCGTCCCCAACCGGGTGCATCTGGTTCAAGGAGGACTGAATGCCCTGGAACAGGCACTTGCGAAGAATAAAGAAGGTGTGTCTGGCGAGAAGGTTGTATTCCGCCCCAATGAGGGAGCGAATTGAACATGACACTATATGTATACTTGCAATATCTGTAATCCACGGCTTCACTAGTTCACGTTCTGCCTGTTATTACCAGACTTTTCTTCTCTGCTTTCGTTCGTAAGAGGCCCCGGTAAAGCCTGATCGATTAGCTAGAACCTATATATGCCCTGATTCGCTCCTGTGCAAATTATTTCACTCTTCCCCCTCTTGACCCATAGCTGTGGGTTATAGATCCTACTTTCTACGCGATGGACGCAGCCCTCATTATACTGTTCCGGGTCTTACCAGGTGGAGATTGAGATGAGTTGTCGACAAAGCTCCGCGTAATAAAGAAGCCATACCGTTTAGGCAACACTAGCCCCCACTAGGTATTAAACCAACCACCATGACATTATGCATGTCTGGTGGGATGTTCTTCTGGTAGTCTAGGATCTCAGCTGAGGTCGTCATTGTTGATCGACAGGGGGTCAGATAGATGACCGAAGGGCATATATACCCCCACCCTCTCCTAACTATGGATTATCGCCGGCCATATTTTAGTCTCTTGATCTAATTTCACAATTATAATTTGATCACAGCATTCACAACGATTTGGTTTGGCAAGTTCATTTGCTTTCTTGTCCATTTTCCCTCGGAATATGGCTAACGTTCATACACGGTAACTTCGACGTGCACAAGGCCACCGACAAAGTCAAGAACACTGCTTACCGTGACCGTGTTCAACTATTCCTCGCGATGGTTGGTGCTGTCGCTGCCGTCGAGGCTGAATTTATGTTTGCATGTCATCACAGGATGGGGTTTCCCATATACCAATCAAATAAGAGCTACTTGAGGATCTGCCCCTCTGGCAGGACCATATGTCAATGGAATCAGTAAGTCATGGAAGCACCCCCATCCCTTCGTAGGAATACTAGTAGTGTTGATCTAAATTATGCAGATCTGGAGTGCAAATGATGAAGTGGTCCACTGTAAGTACAAATAATAACTACTGCATATAGCAAGGAGCATGTGTCTCACAACAGGCGAAGCAGGCATTCAGCTACAAATTACCCACATCTATACCCTGATATCAAGGGTATTGTTGCCTCGATAAATCAACTCGTGGAGTGCATCTAGTATTCCTGCCCGTCGAAACGTCACAAAATGTCTACATATACGGAAATCGAACGCTTTTTAGAGGACGAAAGCATTAAACGTGAACAATATGTATTCAAACACAGAGTGCTGGGAGAGGCCTATTCCGAGGAGTGGAAGATAAAACAGACCATTTGGTTTAGGTTTCTAGTAGGTGGCCTCTATTAATAGTGACGGGTATCGGAGACTTGAGTGTGTATGGAGGAAAGGAAGAGTACAGAAGGGCGCTTTTGTTGGCGGTGTTTGGTCAGCCGGGCTCTGGAAAAGCCTTTGGTATCAGGAAGGTTATTGAAACGATCCTCATGGATCCGGGAAAAGGAAGCATGGTATCGAGTCATTGGATACCAATCTGTCCCTGTACTCCAGCGACAAAGACCTCTCAACATAGCTTTTCAGACTATCCATGAGCGATCACTGGAAAAAGGTTTATTCGATGGGTTTGACTCCTCTAAGAATTCTAACACTCTGGATGGTTGAAAATCTTTATTAGTGCAATGAAAGAGAGCTATTTCACCGAGAAGGATGCGAAGCAACGGCCACTTGGTAGTTGAATCTTGATCATTATCGGTGAAACCCGCACTATCTGGGCGAATTTCAAAGGAAACATTGGATACCCGACCCAACATCACCCATTGAGCAATCGGTTGGCCTCATGAATACAAGGAATGCGATCCAATCTCTCAATCCAGATACTGCATCCGGTGGACAATCACCAGTTGGGAACAATCTCTGTGTTGGTTGACCCGTTCTCTTGAGATCCTTGCTCGAGCGCTATCTCGGACAAAACTAGACTTAAGAAATTCTGCCACGGTGCTCGCTCCATCGAGACATTTTTGCTATGGCACATTTTTGGTCGCTTAGCAATAGCAGACCGTATCAAATGTGCCTTCCTGGCTAAACAAGAGCAGCTTGAACTTCATGTCGACGTGGAGGAATTCTATTAAGGGTAGTATTCCGAAGGATCATCGGCTGATTTAAGGTTGTGTCAAGCGCGTTCTCTATATTTAGAGTATGATATGATGCACTTCAGAGCCGGTGGGGACATCTGCGTAGCAGCACAGGGGAATCTGTATTGAAAGTTAAAGAATAGCCACTTTTCCTATCTCCATCGTATATCTCAAACAGACTATCTTATCTTCTGTAATCCTACGATCGAACAGCTGAAGTATGCCCTACTCAATTCAGAAAGGAAAGCAAGTCAGTTACTGAGAGTAAGAAGAGAAGTAACTGAGAATGACATAGATCAAGCTCTGGTAGCCAATTACCAACTAGTTAACGCGTTTACTTTACTAAAGAAAGAGTGTTGGCTGACGCTATTGTTCCAATTGGCAGTCGGGACAATCAATATAACGCCATCCGCAGAGAGATCGGCCTCATCTTCCTTGTTCCGCCAAGCCCATTATTAATGTCTTTGTTTCTCCCTTGCATTCTTTATTTAGTGCATATGACAATGACTCAGAGGCATCGATTGTACTTGATTAATTAGACAATGGCACTCTCGACTTATATTCATATATCCTTATCCCCTCTCAATCTGCGACTATAAATGCTCCAGTCTACACCGATATTCGTTGACTCTCAGACAGTTTGAGCAAAATGACAGCTGACGAAGAGTCGCCATTTTTGCACTCGCCTCCGACCCCAGGAATTCCTGTGTCCGACCTTGACCGAAGACGAAGGTCTGAGCGCGCGAACAAATTGGTCATCTACGGTTCTTTTGTTGGTGAGCGCTTTGCAAATGAGAAGGTGGCATGGATATGCTGATAATTCTCAGGCGTGTTCCTTGCATCCGCCGATGAGTCACTTGTCATCTCAACATGGAGCTCCATCGCGTCGCAATTCAATCGTCTGTCAGAAGGATCATGGCTACTGGTCGCGTATAATTTCGGTTATTGTGTCTCACTGCCGGTGGTAAGTCGCCAAGAAACTGTCTAATCTGGGATATACTTACGCAACTTTGTCAGTATGGTACCCTCAGTGACACGTATGGACGGAAGAATGTTCTCCTCTGGGCTTATTCTCTGTTTGCTTTGGGATGCCTGGCATGGTAGGTAACCTAGGCTCTATCAAATTTCCCACAGTCGGCTAAGGTGATACACTGTAGTGGTGCCAGTGGTTCTTTGATCCAGCTGATTCTGGCCAGAGTATTAGCTGGCATTAGTGGGGGTGGCATGGTTGCTCTGGTTTCTATTATCATAACCGGTACTTTCGTACTTAATACGCATAATTATAGCTAACGATTGATAGATTTGATGCCCTCCAACGAGGTGGCACTGTTCCGAGGATATGCAAATGTGGTCAATGTTGCTGGTCGAAGCTTGGGAGCCCCCGTGGGGGGCTTTCTGATCGCGACGCTTGGATGGAGATGGTTTGTTCCTGTTAGGGTTCTGGGTGTGATGTGACAACGCTGAATAAATCCAGGGCTTTTCTAGGGCAACTCCCCCTTATCATTATTTGCATTGTGGTCGCATATTACGGTCTTCCCTCATCGTTGAACCAAAGTAAGACACATAACGACGAGGATAACTCTCGATCCAGAGCGTCAGACCTCGATTATGGCGGCATTGTCAGCTTTGCTACCGCAATTGTTATATTGTTATTTTTGATCCAAAGCTCGAGCACGACATATGAGCAATCAAGACTGCCCTATGTGTTAACGCCTGCGTTCGCAATTGCTATTGCAGCGTTCGTCCTGACTGAAGCATACTGGGCCAGAAAGCCTTTGATACCCTTAAGCCTAGTGAAAGGCTCCTTGGGAGGGTACTGCGTGGGGCAATTGATGCTCATTACAGGTCGCTCGGCGGTAAGTTCGATGTTGGAACAACCTCGCTTCCCTACTGATAAATCACTGGTATATAGCTCAGCAGTAATATGGTACCATACTTTGTCCGAGTTGAAAAGGTGACTGATTTCCTCGCATCATTTACCTACGTCGTCACTGCGGTGGGTGTCTCCGTCGGTGGCCTGATCTCAGGTGCCATCATCAAACGGTGAGTCCATAGGCCAACAAATCCGGTGCTCCCTGCTGATGAATAGGATAGAACCAAGAAATATAAGACCATGACTATAATAGGAGTAGTATCTACTGTCTTGCTGTCTATTTTAATTTTCATGCGTTACCGCGATGGCTGCTATACCTGGGAATTATTTTATCTCTTCCCGTCCGGCATGTCAAACGGCATACTCTTCTCCACGCAATTCATTGGGATGTCTTTATCTGCACCTAAAGAGCGGCTTGCAACTTCTATCGGAATATATTACCTCTCCCAGCAGTTAGGATTTATTATCGGTCCGGCAGCTTCCGTCGCTGTCGTGCAACGGCTGTTTGCCAATAGGCTTTCAGAAGGTCTGGAAGGGTTGAACGAGAAACAGGTGCGTAAAAATGAAGCCAGACTGAGAAGTGACGCTAATCTTTATCTAGTTTATCCATCAAATTCTCAATGATCTGAGATTCTCCGAGGGCTTATCGGAAAGAGTCCAGAGTATCGTTCGATCAAGCTATTTGTATGGGTTTCAGTTTGTACCATGTAAGTCCAATCTAACCCTAGAATAGCCCATGATAGGAGGAGCTGACTGGTAGAGTACTTGGCACGGTGTCCACTTTGATCATGTTGCCAATCGTGCTACTGCAGAAGGAAAGCAGGATCGAATGAGATTGGTAACCGAGCAAACTATAGTTGACTGGGTAAGAACGATGCATGATCGAAGCGTGAAAAGCTGCACATAGTTGATGTGGGGTGTAGAATGGAATATCCAAAAGTATCAGATTCAATCATGAGTGAAATGTGGGGTGAGAGTCGGTCTACGTTTGCGACGGAAAGGAGATCGACAAGACATTTAACTAAGTAATAGCTCTGTTTCCCTGCACCACGGTCTCGAAAACTGCTTCAAGGATTACTAGTGTAAGATTCATGTTGTAGCACAGTATCTCTTACCAGGTTTACCCTGACCTCACCCCCTTCGATAGATGAGAATGATATAGATCTATGATCTGGATTCACCAAGCATTTTCTAATAAAGCCCTCCCTATCCATGAGGGCAAGCCAGCCCTATCTTGACAAAATGGGGCACTAAAAATCGAGATGATTTTGCGACGCGTCACCTGGAGGTCCGGGATGCCGTGATAAACCAAATAGTCATACCGAAGAGCTCCACTCTGCGGCCGTTTGAACCACCCAACCGCTTCGGCTTTTCCGACTGCCGTTGATGTCGTAGGCCTGTTACGACGAGTGTAGCCGTGCAGAAATTAGTACGTACTAAGATCAAGCATTATTTCTTCAAGACTAAAATTGGAGCGTCATTTCCTATTACTGTAAATGATCAGCGGCCAAAAAGCGTCACTCAACCCCACAGTATATATGGAACATTACAGCCCCTAAATAGACCATGAATCAGGAGCTCTCATGTGATTATCAGCTGTCTAATTCCAGTTTTTAGTTTTTATTTACTTTGCCTAACTAGAGTCGTTCATTTACTTTGTTTTCCTATCTTTCTTTGGTAAGATGAGGTTCGTCTCACTTGCCGTAGGGGCAGGCTTGGTAGGCTCTACAGGCGCCTCCTCGCATTCTTCTAATCTGGGCTTGCTCAAAGCCAATGGTGGTGAGCAAGCCTAACATATGCCAATATTTGAATAAGCCGGTTAATATTCGAAACAGTTGCACTTGGAAACTGGGAAGCTGCCTATGAGAAAGCATCCACATTTGTTGCTGGCCTAACGACTGATCAGAAGCTGGCTTTGATTACAGGTAGCAATGTTGAGTCGACTAATGGAAACTTCACTGCCCTCTACTTTCTCGATGGCGATATGGGTCTTCAAGACTTCTATTATGTTTCTGCTTTCAGCTTGTCCACGGCTCTTGTCATGACCTGGGATCGCGACGCTATTTATGCTCAGGCTAAAGCCGTCGGGTCAGAGTTCTACAACAAGGGCGTCCAAGTGGTGGCTGGACCCACATCTCAGCCATTGGGGCGTACCCCTTGGGGTGGCCGTGGCGTTGAAGGGTTTGGCCCTGATCCTTATCTCAATGGCTTGGCTACTGGCCTCACCACCAAGGCCTATGTTGACGTTGGAGTGATTCCGGGTGGTAAGGTGAGGCATCTATTCCTGGTTTCTACACACTACTATGATGTACTTATAAAGCGATGTCTTTGCCGATAGCACTTCCTTTTATACGAGCAAGAAACCAACAGGACCTCCGGTCCTGGTAGCAATGGAGAGGGGTCTCCCTATTCCTCTAATGCGGACGACAAAACCATCCATGAAACATATCTGTGGCCATTCTACGATGCAGTGAAAAATGGCCTCGGGGCGGTGATGTGCGCAATGACTAAGGTCAATGGCACACTAGCATGTGAGAATTCTGATCTTCTGATGAAGACATTAAAAACGGAACTTGGTTTCCCCGGTATGGTCTGGCCTGACATGAATGGTCAAAAGAGTGCCAAAGAATCAGCCTTGGGCGGCGAGGACTATGGATCGAGCTCTATCTGGAGTACCTCGACTATGGAAAGTTATTTATCCAACGGTACCATTACCGAGGCTCGCTTGGACGACATGGCCATCAGAAACCTGATCGCCTACTATCACGTTAACTTGGACAACGGCCTCCAGCCCACAAGGAAAACGACAGATGCCTATGTGGACGTCAGAGCTAATCATTCGAAGTTGATTCGCGAGAATGGAGCGAAGTCCATGGCTTTGTTGAAGAACGAGGGTGTGCTACCGCTGAAGAAGCCCCGTGTTATGAGCATCTTTGGAGCTCACGCTGGCCCTGCCATGGGCGGTCCCAATAGTAATATCAATGTTATGGGCTCCGGTCCGACCTATCAGGGCCATTTGGCGACTGGCTCAGGATCCGGGATGGCATCTCTTCCTTATTTGATCACTCCTTATGGTGCACTGACTAATAAAGCGTCCCAAGATGGAACCATACTGCGTTGGATCTTGAACGACACTTATAGCTCTAGTGGAGGATCTTCTCTGGTTCCATCGAGCACGTCCTCTACTGCCGTGGAACCGTCCTTTGAAAACTTTGCCGCGGGATCTGATATCTGCCTTGTCTTCCTAAATGCCCTGGCTGGAGAAGGTGCCGATCGTACTGAACTATGTAACGCGGACCAAGACTCCATGGTGAACACAGTCGCAGATAACTGCAACAACACAGTGGCAGTGGTCAATACCGTTGGACCGCGACTGCTGGATCAGTGGATCGAGCACGACAACGTTACCGCTGTTCTTTATGGGTCTCCTCTCGGACAGGAGTCGGGTAACTCGATCGTGGACCTCCTCTATGGCGACGCCAACCCATCCGGTCGTCTTGTCCATACCATTGCCAAAAATGAGAGTGACTACAATGTTGGACTTTGTTATACCTCTCAATGTAACTTCACTGAAGGTGAGCCAGACATGCTAATCCCGATCCCTCACTAGCCACACCAGCCCACATTTCACCCCGGAAGCCTATCAAAGCTAATCAAACCAAAACAGGAACCTACCTCGACTACCGCTATTTCGACGCCCACAACATCACCCCAAGATATCCCTTCGGCCACGGTCTCTCCTATACCACCTTCCACTACTCAGATTTAGCCATCAAAACCCCATCTTCCGTAGCCAAAGCTCCCAAAGGCAACCTCACCGTGGGCGGCCACAGCGACCTCTGGGACGTCGTGGGAACCGTCTCCGCCCGCATTTCCAACAACGGCACACTTGCCGGCGCGGAAGTTCCCCAGCTCTATCTCGGCTTCCCGGATTCGGCAGATCAACCCGTTCGCCAGCTTCGGGGGTTCGATCGTCTGGAACTCTCTACGGGCCAGGAAGCCATCGTTACTTTTAACTTGCGTCGTCGGGATATTTCTCACTGGGATGTGAAGACCCAGAAGTGGCTAGTTGCCGGTGGGAAGTATAGGGTTTCTGTGGGGGCTAGCTCGAGGGATTTGAGGTTGAATGGGTCGTTTTTTCTTTGGGTTGGGCATTAGTGTTTGTTTTCTAAGGTTGTGTTTATTCCATTAGCCTTCTCGTATGGAAGTTATTAGGTAGATAGAATCAGCTTTGGTGGTCAAGAAGGGTCGAGGAGACGGGTCTGTTTGCTGTATGTCGTAGGTAGTAGCTCCTATTGCTGAAGACGTGGCTAATAGATCATCTTAGTATTATCAGAGAGTTGGATGGCAAGATAGTTACAGTCCCTTATATCCTTAATTCTCAGTACCTTCTCAGTATCACCTTAAGAATAGTATAAGAAATACACAAGCCAAAAGCACACAATATGAAAAGTATGTAGTTAGCCTTTTGAGTTAATTAACTCCAATAAATAGCTCGCCCCGATTCACCCTCTGATCCACCAATGTATTCACCCGCCAACAATCCTGCGTCCCATCTCTCTTCTGACAACACCTAGGAACAGCCAGTACCTTCTTTCCAATAAAGTCAACCGGGTCGACCGCGAACAACAGCCACGTATTCGCATAAACCCCATTATCATCCTCAATCTCAATAATGTTAAACTGTACCACCTCAGGGTTGGGTTCATCAGCTGGGACAAGATGGTCAAATATTACACCGTAATAGTCAATCTGCCTTATCTGTCTAGAGTGGAATGGGTTAGCTATAGGGATATTATATCAGGATTCCTTGGTAGGGATTAGGACAGACTTACTCGTTCGGATACTTCTCTGGCATCCAGCCCATGTATTCATCTTTCACGACCAGATCGCCTGGGACTTCTGGATTTACGTCCCGTCGGTAGATCTGTCGATATGTCAATCGTGCTAGCTCTGCGCCTGCTGGTTGTGGGAATGTTTGGTCTTGAAGACTCAGATGCCATGGGGTGTGTGGGAGAATTCTCTGGATGGCGATTAGGGGACCTTCGACTTGGATTCGAAGTGGGTGGTCCTGTGCTGGGAGGTGATTTTTGCTGGTGGGATTGTGAATACAGGGTGGGATGTGAAGTGGGAGCGCCATTTGGGGGTGGAGGTCCTTTTTCGTGTATGCTGTTGGTAGTTGAGAAGTTTTGGTAACTAAAACAAGTTGTCTGTGGAAAAGGGAAATAATAGAACACGTTTGGACCGTGCGTTCGTATGTTTAAGGAATGGGATTGTCAGGTTTTTAGACCGCGTGATATATGTTCTCATTCACTAGTAGTTGGTCAAACGCTGTGGGTACGTGAAGGCCCTGCCTGTAGGCCTGAGGCAACCCCGTGATCTCGCACACAATGAAAACAATGATTTGTATGTAAATTATATGACTTTTGAAAAAGAATTCAACCTTTAATGAAGGCCATGATATCTTCAACATTCCATAAAGGCACGGGGCTACGCTCATCACATGACTTGTCTTTGTGTGGCTGGATCTGGATCATTGCATGAGTACTGGCTGCACCGCTAGGGCTATCAAAAGATTAATATCTCGCAGTAAGTGACGGGTCAAATCTATCAGAAAGGTTACTCGGTGATGGAGTCGCGGACTCGATGTGTTGGGCAGAAGGTGGTTATCTGAAGGGGGTCCTTAGGTAGTTTGTGACCTGGGTGGTTATTGCATCGCAGGATAAGTGTTGAACAGAGGGTGGATTAGTTGGCTAGAAGTCTTCAGAAACAAAGCGGGTGGTCCTCCTAGATAGGGATGAATTCGGATGAGTCGTATCTAGGATAAGTCTACCTAGGCACTAATGGATGTTCAACTCTTACTTCGGCAGTTTGAATCCTCCAGGTACCTTCGTCTGAAACAACCTCTTCGGGTCAACATCCAGACTCACGCGCTTAAACCTCTCCACACTCTTGCTCTTATAACTAGCGATCGGGTCTTGCCATGGCGCAGCGTAGTTGAGGTAGACGAATGATTCGTAGGCACCCAACTTCAGCGCATCATTGTCAATATCATCGAAAAGTTCGCGCGCAGCCTTCTCAACTTTGTTATCATCTGACTCGTCATCCCAGGTTGCACTCAGCAGAGTCACAACCAGCGGACCAGACGCATCATCAAGACCCAATGCATTCTTAGAGGCATTGCGGGCATAGATAGCCGGGGGCAATGGTTCAAGAGAGATAGCCCACACTATACCGGGAATACCTTCGACACCCTGAAGACTAGAATCCCAATGCTGGTAAACCGCATTCAGCATGGGAAGAGTAGAACCATGAGTCGTAACCACACTCATCTGTCTTCAATATGATCAGTCCAAATCCCATCACGAAACACATGAAGATCCCCCAAACTCACCGCTTCCCCTCCTTTGAGAACGACCCCTGCTCCATCGCCATCTCATGCATTCCCGCAAATCTTACCGTACTAAACAGCTTCGGAATATCCATAAACGGACGATAAACCGCCGGATTCTCCTCGGCTTTCGTATACACAATACTATTCACCACGGCCTTGCCCTGTTTCGAGAACCCGAAACTGGTGATCAGCGAAGCATACTCATCGTACCCTTCTGCTGAATTCAGACCTGCAAATGCCTCTAACTGCTGCTGGTAAGTATCAACAGAATGGTAAACACTTCCTCCCCAGATAGGGCCCTGTTCGAACGTCTTCATGTCTACACGCGTGACAACCCCGAAATTATTGGATCCGCCACGCAGTGCGATCATCAATTCCGGATTCTCATGCTCATTAGCATTGACGATCGTCCCGTTGGCAAGAACGATCTCGAAGTTAGTCACCGTGTCGCACGTCCAGCCGTACCGTGGGGAGAAATACGAGATTCCCCCGCCAGTCGTCAGACCGCCAACTCCTACCTGTGCTGCGCGACCGCCTGCGACTGAGAGGCCTAATGGGTCGAGATGGGAGTAGACATCGCCCCAGGTTGCGCCGGCGCCGATGGAGGCGGTCGTGCGGTCGGGGCTTACGCTGATGCTGTTTAAACTGCGGAGATCAAGGGTGATTCCGTTTGCGATGTTGGATGCGCCGGTGAACGGGGCGTGACCGCCTGAGCGGATGGCAAAATCGACGGTTTCGAGGATTGAGGTTATTGTTTTGATGGCAGTGGACACTTCCTCTGCTGTATATGGAGAGACAATGCAAAGGGGGTGGAGGTTGGAGTTTTGTTGAGAGAAGTAAGTATTGATCGAGTCGTTATAGGGTTGGGTGTTTGGGAATGAGACCTTATTGCCGAGAGCGCCAATTAGGGCTAGGCACTGGTTTTGTTAGGTTAGAGCGCTGTATAGGTTGGATAGGGCTTACACAAGTTGCTACACTCGTGTCGGTGATGTTTTCAGAGAGATATTCCATAGCTGAAAATTGTGTAGATTTATGTTGTCGGCAGAAAATAAGGAAAGATGATGGAGGGAGAAGGCGGGGGGGACAGTCATTTGTATATAAACTGAGAGAAAGTATACTTTACGAGACTTAGGGCTTACATATGAGCCATCCATACGATATGGCCAGTAAGACTCTGGTTTGGTGGCTTACTGCATTAGCGGCAACCCCTCTTGAGGTTAGTACTGTCTCTTGATGCAAAGCTTCTTTATTTCTCTTTTACCCAGTTACATACTTGTACGACCTCTAGCAAAACCCTGGGACACAGGCTGCACAGCCACCCCACGTTCCGATATATAGGATCGATCACCGTGACTCGCTTGAGTTTCGTCCGAGACTCACTCTAGGTGATCCTTCTCCTCGCTCTTTGGAATGCGAACAAATCCAGCACACACCGCCGCCGCCGCCAGGGAAATCGCCAAACTAAACCACCAAATTGCCCGCAAAGCGCCCAAGTCCAAACTATACCCATCGCCGCCAGCTTTGGTCACTTCCTTCCCGATTGTGTCTCCAATCGCCGTCACAATGGCTGCGGAGAGATTCTGGATCGTCACAAGGAGACTCCCCGCTGATCCCTGGAATGAGCGGGGCACGTTGGATGTGATGAAAATCGACGCAGCGGCAAAGGTCAGATCCGGCCCGAACGTAACGAGGGCAATCCCGGGCATGGAGAGAGCCCAGTATGTTGTGTTTGGAGTTTGCGGGATGAAAAACACAGGACCCATTGTGTTTGCCACCATACCGGCGATTAGGATCCAGTGGCCGGGGAACAAATGAAGGGTTTTCGATACGATGTATGTGGCTAGAATGCCGCAGATCATGTTGGGGATAAAGTAAAGTGCAACGGTGATGGGAGCGTGATCCTGAATTGTAAGTAGGAACCGCACGGCGAAGAACATCCATCCGCCAACATATGCTCCGTATCCTAGGAAATAGGAAATGGCCAGTGGGAGGAACCCGGGAGTGAGCCAGAGCCGGTTATCAACCAAAGGTCGAGTCGCTCGTCTTTCGGCCAGGTAGAACAGCAAGAGAAAGAGCACTCCGACAATGATTAGTGAGTACGTGTAGGGGCTCCAGCCACTGGGGACGCCTTGTGTTAGGCCGAGGATAATCAGGCCGCAACCGATAGCAGCCAACAGGGCGCCTAGTGTATCAAAGTCCTTGAGAGATAACGGTGTGCCGGAGGGGCTGTACTTGGGGTTAAATGAGGGAATACCAGGGAGGGAAGCCACTGCACAGATAAAGCTCACTATGGCATTGCTCCCGAATATCCACGGCAGGTGTGCGGTGAGAGCCCCTCCTTGCAGACACCCGATCAAGAATCCTATGGGAACTGTTGCAGACATGACAGAAAAGACCCGCGTCTTGCGTATACCGGGGGAGTAAACTCGCCCGAGCAGACTCATGGATGTCGCCTGCAGAACTCCAATAGCTAACCCTTGCATAGCCCTGACCACGAAAAACAGCACTGGAAGCGACGGACGGATACTAAACACCCCAATCACATTCCAGATCACGAGCCAGACAAAGCCGATAATCATCAGGATCTTCGGGTCGGACAGATCGGCCAGCGACCCTGATATAATGACGGCTATCCCGTTGGGTAGCAAAAAAGATCCAATGAGCCATGGGGTGTTGCTTTCGCTCACTCCGAGCTTGCCGGGGAACACGGCTTGATTAATCACGACGTTTCCCAGGAACAGACCGAATAGAAACAAACCCATAGAGCACAGCAATATGAATACCATTTCACCCGCGAGCCCGTGGAACTCGGATGGAACTCCCTGCGGGGGGCGACGCTGTGCTTCAGTGTCTGCTGTTCCATGGGACCCGGGAGTGTCTTGAAACTCCAGTCCTTCCGGATTATGTATGCTCGGGGTGTGGCTGCGGTTAGACTCATCTGGCGCACTGCTCTTGTCTACCCTGCCATCTGCCATGGGGGGTGCGTCTGCCGTCTGAAGGCCTTGAGCCTGGTCCTTTCCTGGCAGACAAGGATTAGCAAAAGCTGGATGAGAAGAAACCGAGCAATTAGTACTTAGCCAGCCGGCCTCCTCCACTGGAGGACCCATGTTTGATCGTTACGAATGGATTCAGTATGCCAAACAGTAGGTTGGAGAAACTGGCATGGTTCATCCTGCGGGTATTTATAGTTACTGAGAACTTGCCTAATATGCCCATAGTACTTCCTCCTTACAAAATACTGACAGTTCTGGGCCCTGTTGCAATCCTTACACATTCGGTGCAAATTCTACCTGGCTACCTGATGGAGGAGTGGTGGAGTGGGAGACAAATAGGCTAAATGGCGTGGAAACCAAGATCAGGTACCTGCCACGACATCGTGCCTGGTCTGGGTTCTACTACGATGAGATATTTCTAACAATCCCCACAATTGATACGGCAGAAGGTCCTTTAGTTTCATGAGGTGTAATCACTAATCGGCGAATGTTGTAAGACTATACCAGAAGACGGGTTCAATGGTGGATATATCATGGATCGAGTAACTAAATAATTGCCACGACCCCGGCTATATGGCTGACTAATGCACCCACATCCACTTTTGTCAATACTCGTCGGGGGTCCCAGTTCCGAGGGGGTCAGGATTTAGTGGCTGGGGGTCAGAGTGGTTCTGACCCCTTGAGAGGTCTACCGCCTTTGTCACATGATAAGATCTCCGAGGGTGTCAGAATTTATAAATCACATAGTATAGCTCTGAGGGGGTCAGGATTTTTAATATAACTAAGATAGTTCTGATCCCCTCGAAGTGGTAATCACGTGGATTTCGGTGTAGTTTAAACTTAAACCAAACTTTTTTTTAAAAGGAGAATTGGCTTGACTATTATTTTAACTTAGTTTAAACTAACCGCGCGTTGAAATTGAACATTAGATAAGGATCAGACACCGGAGTAGTCACGTGAAAGAGCTCCAAGGGGATCAGAAAACAATCTTTCTAATTTTTCAAGATTAGTAAGAGATAGCTCTGAGGGGGGTCAGAAATTAAAATATTACGTATTTTTTCTGACCCCCTCGGAGATAGTTTCTCCGCCCCACCCTGACCCCCCCGGAGCTGTATGCCCATACTCGTCATTTGTCATCCTGACGTTTACGAAATATAGCCAGCATCTTCGCTAGCCGGATGATTGTAGATGATATTGCCGATATACTCGCATAATGGCAGACACACGGAGTAGCAACAAACAGCCGGCTAGAACGCGGGTACGTGCGGGAAAGGCATGCACGCGCTGCCATGAGAAACGTATCAAGTGTGACGCCATGAACCAAATGCCATGCACTCATTGCCTGCGAGATCGCCACATAGAATGTGTTCTACGTGAGACTAAACGCGGGACATACACACGGAGCGGCCTTCGTCAGAAAATAGGCAGCGATCGTCCGCGACCTAGGTCCGCAGCTGGTGTTGCCGGGGATTCAACCTCAGGCTCGTTAAATAGGCGGACGGAAGATAAGGATAGCGGAGCATTATCACTACATGGATCTGACACTGCTGCAGTTGTACCAATAAGTACATCTCCTCCAAACGTGGCAACACGGAGCTCAGTCGGAACAGGTCATGTCCAACCTAGGAACGGTGCTGAACCCTCCACGTTGCCTGCTCAGCAATTGCCACCCGTGAGTGAGTCTCCTGTCACCCAGCCTTCCTCTGGGACCCCCAGCGACGGCTCCTCCTACCAGGCTATCTCCTGGTCGGCGATGTTTGACCATTTACTGAACAACCGGGAAACGGGCAGAGACTGGATTGACAAGTGTTCCATCACTTACCTTGGAGAATCCTTTCCCCTGGCTATCGTACTGGGTGGCCTCAAGGACGGTAGCCGACCAAAGCTACACCATCCAGGCCCTCCCTTCCCAGGGACTCAAGCAAATGTTCCCTTCCCGTCACAGCCGGCACATATGTTGCCCGAGGACCTCGAGTATCTACGAGCCAAGGGGGTCTTCACATTGCCGGAAAAAGCACATCGGGATGTCCTCATTGCGGTCTTTTTGGATCGTGTGTATCCGCTCTATCCAATTATCAATCGCCAAGAATTCATACAGCAGTACAAGCAGGATGAATTGTCCTTAATCCTTATCTATGCCGTTAGCTTTATTGCGGCAACATTTGCTTCCCAGTCGGTTCTGAGCCTCGTAGGTTTTGAATCATGTCGAGAGGCCCGTTCTTTTTTCTATAAAAAGGCCAAAGCTCTCTTCGATATGGGATACGAAACAAACAAGATCACTGTCCTCCAGAGTACCTTTTTTCTATCATTCTACGGCGGCGGCCCGAATACCTATTGGAACTTTTACTCGTGGATCAGCACAGCGGTGACGATCGCCGAAGCTATAGGAATTCACCGCTCTACCAGTGCAATCGCTAACATGCAACCGCAAGACAAAAGCCTGATGCGGAGGTTATGGTGGGCCTTAGTCGTTCGCGACAGCATTTGTGGCACCCTGGTTGGGCGGCCCTTTCGGATTGACCTGGACCAGGCCGATACAGACATGTTGACCATTGAGGATTTTGCCCACGACACCATGGCTCCAGACTTTCTTGACAACCCTTCTGCTCAGAGATACGCACAGTACCAAATCGAGACCGCGAAGCTCTCGCTAATCATGCGCGACATTATCATTAGCCGGTTCTACCCTGGACGAGAGCCCGTAAGATCAGAAGATCTCCACGCAAAGCTGACACACTGGAAAGCAGAGCTAGTTCCCACATTAACCTGGGACGCTGAAGTTCTGGACTCCTCGAACCCATTTGCCATGTCCCTGTCGGTTCAATACAACCACCACCTCATTCTGATCTACCTCGGCCACATGCGCGGCCAGAACACATGCCAACTTGACGAGCAGGAGATCGAAGAAATCGTCGACTGCGCTGCGCATCATATCCCGACGGTAGTATGCGCACTTGCCACGAAATCTGCCCTCCTCACCGTGCCCCACGAGCTCTACCACGGCATCTTCCTCGCACAGGCCGCCTTCTACGAGAGGATGAGAAGCCCAAATAAACTGGTGGCACGTCTTGGTCGGTCTGCGCTTAATTCGTGTCAAGTGGTTCTCCAGGCTATCAGCGAGTTCTGGGATAGTGGGACCTTTATCATGCAGCTATTTGAGAATCTGTCCAGTCGCGCCTTGGAGCAGTCGTCGTGGACTACTGACAGTAGGCAGGAGAGCGGTGGGTCGGGATTTGCCGAGGTCTCTGGCGTAAGCAGCACTATGAACTCTGCAAATGAGCCTGGCGTTTTCAATGCCTTGCTGGGAGAGGATCGATGGCAGGGGAACCCCATGCTGGAGAGTTTGTTTGATCTACCGCCGGAGTTATTTTTGCCTGAATAGAACCTCGTCATTCCCACATCGGGTGGGGACTAGGAGGCATGGGGTGTTTCTGGTACGCTACCGTTAGAGACATTACAGCATACTCTAACGACGGGAAGTTGGGGGCGCGGTTTGCGGGCGTACATGCAGGATTGAATCAACGCACGATGGGGTCTCTATCTCTGAATGCACCTTGTACAAGGTGTTCCGCGCTTACTCGTGTCGCACTTGACTCGTTTCTTATTTTAGCGATGACACTCCTTGGAAGGGCGAATACGAACCCCCGGTCGTGAATGCGACGCATCAAGCCCGCATACGACTATCGTGACTGCGGAATCGAGTTGTGCGAGCCGTACAAAAGCAAGAGATATAACATCTACGACGCGAAGACAACCATCGGTCTGAATGCGCCAGGAGGCGGCTTCTGTAACCGCACCATTATCAAAGCTATAAGCTATGTCCCATCTCTATCGACCGTTTACCACGTTAGTCGAACTACTTGCGATTGGCCACTACTCTATAATAGTATTTAATTTCGAGGTGGGCCAATCGACGCTGCTCTGTGGTGCCGACTCTATTAGCGTATTTATATCTTTGTTCATCCGCATCGTACGAGCTTCCAGGGTCGTCATGACCCAGATCTTGGAATCCCGAATAATTCAGGCGTGAAAGCTCGGAGCGGACGCTGTTGTCAACCGCTGCGGGCTTCGGCAGACTCTGGACCGGGCACCGGAGAGGCTGTGCGGCAAGCCTTTACGGGCAGTGTCGACATAGCCTCTGATACAGCTGGCATTTAGTTTCTTCTGGGACTTTGCATTTCTAGCGCGAAGCCTAGGGATGCTACCTTTCATGTAATAGTTTACAATACGCTACTGTTGCTGAATCGAGACAGCCTGGAAATAAAGAAGAAGAAGAAGAAGCTTAGAGAGCACCTGCCATTAGGTCACTAGCTGAACGCAAGCCGAATACAAAGCACAGTCACGGTTGCCGTTCCGTTGTCCAGCGCTTTGGAAGGGGCCTTCACGGAGTAGGCTCAGAACAGCAGGGCTTATATAAAGATTTTGATTGAGCCTTGATAGACAAATGAATGAATGGAGTTTTCCGAGGTTACTCATTGTTAAGAGATCCTAACGTCACAGTAAGTGATCTTGATTGTCGCCTGTTGCCCAAGTGCATTACAACGATCGAGATTCAACCTCTCGTATTGCTCACTGTCGAGTTTAGGTGCCTTCAAGCGTGGCTTATCATAAATAAAGCCACTCTCGGATTTCAATGAGTAGGGTATTGCTCCTGGGTTGCAGCCGGGAAATCAATTCCGAGATTCCCCCCACTCCTTTGCCAAATATAAGATGTGAATTAAATCGTCACTCAGAATATGCATTTGTCAGCCATATAGCCGCACATATCGGCGAGTCCGAGTCGTCAGTTCCCTACCTAGCATTGGTGGTGGCTGCCCATGATATAACCAAATCAAACCCCTCCCAAAGTTTTGGGTATTGGTGGTACGTCAAGCAATAGAAATCATAGAACGATCAAGTTTCGCACCTATCGTCAATCGATTCAGTAGATCTCTCGGAAAGCTAGAGAACTGGCTTTAAAATGTCAATCTCCCATATTGTCCTTTTCCAATTCAAGCAGGATGCGGCTCCTGAATCTGTGCAAAACGTACGTTCATTCCCTGATGAATTAGATCTCGGTGGCATCTTCTACACTTGTGCAGCAACTAAGAAGAGTCTAGGCATGCAAGCAGATGCTCAGTTTAAAGGACCACTGCCTCCACCCATCAAGTGGAAAACCGTATATTCGATCAGCGTCAGGTGGAAAGGATAATTCTCCAGAGGGAGCGCAGGTGCGTTCATGGACCTCTGGCTTTGGGAATTTATGTTAGCAGAACCGCTGACTTTCTCTCCAGGGTGGTCTCACACATGCCTTCATTGTTGAGTTTGCAACCACCGCAGAACGAGACTATTACGTTGCGAGCGACCCCGTGCACCAAGAATTTGCCAGAAGCCTGGATGGGTTGATTGAGAAGGCTGTGGTGGTTGACTTTACCCCCGGCGTCCTGTAGATGCTATTATTGGAACCTGTTGGACATGTCATGTTAGATGCATATTGACGATATCTCATACTGTTTGAACTCTATTACCTCTGATAGTGCAATGTGATGCCGTCTATTGTAGCGCCTCATCCTCTTAAGAAACCTCGAGATCTTGATTGGTGCCCTAGCAATGGCGAGAGCCTACACGTTACTCAGAGCCTCCTTTTTGTATCCCTTTGTACTCTTACAAGGAAAATTGAAAGCATAGTAGGTATTAGACCTCGAACTTAGAGGTAAAATGGTGATACATATTGTCATAAGATTGATGAGCGAACGCGATGCGGTACTGACCCAAAGGCGAAGGAAGATTCACTTGGGAGACTCCCACCAGCGCCATTTGATTTCTAATTTACATAGTAGCTGTATGGATCATCTATAGGAATGCGGTTCGCCTTCAAGTCTCAATAAGAGGTAGGGATCATATCTAGCAATCACAAATAGCCCCTTGTAAAATGGTGTGCCTATCACACCTGCAACATATTAAACTCCCATTCTAGCTGCCTCGGACCGAATGATATCTGGCAACTCATCGCTCAGACTTCGCTCCTGCGGCTGCCAACCAAGGACTTTCTTCGCTCGCGCAGCCACACCACGCGAGTTCATACCCCAGCTCGCCGCCTCAAATCCCGCCGATGAATTGACAGCCTCATCAATCGACCAGTCTCGAAGCTCGGGAGCCCCGCCGCCCTTGATATACCCTTGCTTAAAGGCTTCCTCGCCAACGGCTACGGACAAATCGCCCCAGACATGCTCACCATTTTCCGTGAAATAGTAACCATGCGCTCCCCAGATCTCGGGGTCATCTTTGGAAGACGGATCCATTGCAGCCTGTACCAGCAGCTCAAACACCCTGCTCAAATCACGGACATGGACGTTATTCCACCGAGAAAGACCCTTCCCAATGCGAGGGCAGTACTGCTCTTTCAGAACAAACGAAGCAAGTTCATAGACCTGTCGTCCGCGACCAGAGATCGGTCCACGGCCCTCACCATAGATCGTAGGTGGGCAGATAATAGCCGTCTTGACCGCATCGGCATGTTCGATACCGGTGTTAAGGACGATCTCATCCACGTTGCGGTGGAACGCCGCCGCAGGTAGGTTAATTAGCTCGTTGATGCCTTCAAGGTCATTGAATACCTTGTCATCCGCCTCTCCAAACGTCTTCTTGACTTCCGAGTCAAAGTACGTCAGAATCCCAGTTCCACCTGTGTGCAACCAGAATCCAGGTCGCGAGGCGGAATGACCCTGCACGAGCCCTTTGGCTATAGCCTTCGCAGCACCGTCATGATCTGATGAGTCGGCAGTGTCTTTATTACATTAGTATCTTTGCATTGAGATATCTGGAAGGGGCCGGGGGCAAAGGAAAGAATGTATACGCACGGATGACAAAATCAGCCCATGCGGCTTCACGCTCCAGTAATGCAGAATCGTCGTTGGCGCCAATGACGATCCGGGCTTTCGGGTAGCTAGAGAGCACCTTCTTTGCTTTTTCCTGGGAGCGGATAAGCAGCGCATATTCGAAATCCGGATATCTCTGATGTAGATGGTACAAGACGTCACCGCCGATGTAGCCTGTGGCTCCGGTAACGAAGACTTTGATTGTCATTATGACGGTTGGGCAGTGCGCTGATACAAGAATACAATATAATAGAATAGAATGACAGGACTTTGATTAATTTTCCGTACTTTGAGGAACTGGGTTTTATTGTTAATTGAGCGGTGCTTTTAAAAGCTGTCCTAGCTTCTATGACGCAGCAAAGTTGATGAAAAACCCACAGAATAGCGTGACGTTAGCTCGCATATAGCCGATAGCGAAGTGGGACTGTCCATATAACCGGGTATACCTAACGCTGATGCGAAGATTAAAAGAGCTTCTAAGGTTTGCCATGTAAACTAATACTCCCGAAACATTTTTATACGCCGTGATAACTTTCTCTCCGGGGTTGGCCATGTTATTAGACTGCCCCGTATTTATAGCTATTTTACACTAGTGTTCGGTTCTTATTATAGTCTAAATCTATACTTAAGCTATAACTTATAGATTTACTCGTAATTACTATCAAAGCTACTCTGGAAGGCTTCGCCTTGTAGAAATTGGCCGTAGTTTTAACCAGAGCTGAGTTAGAACTCTACTTCCTGAATGATGTATATGAAGAATGCTATAGCAAACACCCCAACTCTCTATGCGAGGCCAGTCTAAGAGATCCATCCAGGGCCATATATTCTGCCAGACTAAACGGTCACATAATTTCGAATCTACGATTCAGATTGCCCTAGGTCACACCTAAATAGCTTCCCGTCGTTAAAACCGGCAACTCTCTACTTCTCACAGCATACCGCCACTTATAATCTAAGTATCCTCTATGGAATAAAAGCACTAGGGATACAGTAGATATGAGAGATCCAATCGAAATGTACAAATCAGTAGTCTTGTTGCTCATGTTCAGGAATAGATATAAACAGCTGAGAGACCGTATGACTGATTGGTGTCTGATCGCGTAGCCTCTATGGTGACCATTATCACCCGCACCTCGTCAACACAGAAACTGAAATATAGTTTCATGGCATTGTAGTCATTCAGGGAAAGATGTGCCATTACTCATTAGACTATCTTAGAGCACGGTCCCCGAGTTGATTGGCCTGTGGACAAAATACGAGGATCGATGTTGTGATGGACACCCGCCGAGACCGACGAGCCTCGCTTCATTAGGGCATATTTCCGCAAAAGGCTAAGCAGCTCTCGTATTAGCCGCTGATCATCAAGATCCTCTCACAAGTTTGGCATTCATACCTCGTACTGGGTGGCTTGGCCTGAAAGTAGAGCCTCGTTGTTGCACCCCACCTCAAGTCGGGCCCATAAATCTCCTGAACTTATAACAGTTAAGGTACTCCGTAGGACATATGCTTATCAGCGTACATTAAAAAAAAAAACTGTGAATAAAAGTTTCGCACGTCATGGCAGAGCTCACAGTGGGTTATGTGTCTGGTATCATTGCTGCTGCCGTCTTTTTGGGTAGGTTCAACCGAACGTAGTGAAGACCTATCACACGGGATACTTATATGTCAAAGTCCGCCTATTCGTTCCTACTGTTATAAGTTTGATAGTTATCGGTCATCTTCCAGAGGAGAATACGATCGTCTCATGGTATTTCTGGTTTCTCTAGTTTTAGTGCTGTTATTGACACAATATTAGGTCCGTTGTCAGTCGGCTGATTCATTCGTCCTACTGGCCAACGATACTTGATTCTGATACTGCCGCCAGTACAGGGGTCAGCAGAGCGATCAAAGCTTGCAACTGGCTACAGTTGGGTGCGCTTGGGCTTATTGCAATCACTGGAATTGTAACCCCTTTGGGCCTATATGATACGATTGGCCCTGGTGATACCCCGACGAATGTCCCATTCCGTTATGCCTCTGATACATCGCCGTTCGGAAAAGCCACCCGATCGAGAGATGGATATAGATCACTGAGGATCTGTTACGCAGATGATGACCCCAATACCCCGGAGGGATGTCCTGGTGCGCCGCCAAACATCGATGACATTGAAGACCCCTCTGAGGCGTACTCCATCTGGCCGAGTAGTGTTCATTTATTCACCAGCGGAGATGTATCGCCGACTGTTTCCAGCCTATTCGACATCCAGTGGAGGTCGTTTCGGTCGACGAACAACGTGGCCCTGAACAACGCGAGTGTAGTTTCTGAAGGATATTACCGACAAATCTCGCAGTTACTCATGGAGGAAGAAATCCTAGCGGTAGAGGGATTGATCATTGATACCAAAGCCGGACGCATAGGTTTCCGGAACCATACTGTTCCTGTCGATGTGCCTATGGGTGCGAGGTGGACAGAAGATATACTGTTCATCGAACCTGAAGCACGTTGTGTGAACACCAACTTGACTGTGGACTACAGGTACAACCCGTCCAGTGAGTCAGGTAGCATTGAGGACACACGGGACTCGGTCCTGGTTGACCACGGCGGTTTTCGCAACCTACCCCATGCAACCTATGAGATAGACAAAGCAGACTTCCAGAACAATGTAGCATTGTATGAGCGTGCCTACAATGCTGCCTGGAGACATAATATGCTAGTGATGCAGTTCCTCAATGTAACGACTAACGGTTCTGATGGACTGGCACCCTTCGCCTATATGAATTCAGATATCGGAAAGAAGTTCGATGTCCGCGGCATATCGAATATCTTTGTTGCGCCTGTGACTGTTCAGACAGACGTTGGGTATGCTAGGTTCCTTGAACTGCCGTCTCCTAACCAGTCAGCAACAACAACGTCACTCACCCCTACCCCTGAGGGCCCTAACCCGTTCAATCTCACTTCCCGCGATACCTACGCAATTGCGCAGGAGGCTTGCCATTATCCTTCAATGCAAGATCTGTCTAACCTATCGTTCATTGGTGTGACTTGTGGCACTGTTTTCGCGGCACCCGCAAGGATTGATGGGGACCCGCTCATCCCAGACACAAATAGTACTTGGAGCACTCCGATCTACTCCTGTGCTGCAGCAGCAAAAGCAGCTGTACGCAAGGTCACCTTCAAATTCAATGGGACAGGGGAGCTGTCCAGACTTGCAATCGAGAGTATAGAGCGCTCATCAAAACCTCCACTATGGGGTGTCGAGCGATTAACCAACCACACGTTAAGAAACGTACGACCTCTCTGGGGCATCGTGTCTCCAGATGTAGGCACTCGTGACGACATCTCCACTCTCCAAAGAGACCATCTCTGGCTTCCTGGTTATCCAGATCTATTCGTATCGGACTTCGGTACCGGAGAGCCAAACATGCCCGGGAACCGGTTTTATATGGACAGGCTGTCATCCATCTTCGATATCAAAACTGTGGACAAATACAGTTCACGTTATACGGGGCTTAACGACTTGGCTCTATATAACCAATGGCTTGAGCTATCCCAATCACCAACCGGCGTTGAGCAGATGCTCAAACTTATGTGGACTGACATGGCGGCCAATACTGTGGTAGGCACGCGCGGGTGGCATAGCACCCCTTCGTCAAGGAATGGAGAGGGGCTGTCAAAGCGAGACAACGGCGAGGTGAATGTGCCGGTTGCCTTGTGGTCACATAAGATTGAATATCGACTGCCGTACGCTATCCCTGCGTTTATATTACTGGTCCTCTGCATAGCACTGGGAGCATGGAGTATTTGGCTCCTTATTCTAAGGCGCATCAGCCTGAAGCAAATGCGAACGTACCTTGCTCGTACATCTGCAGGTAGGATACTCGGGCATGCGCTGCATGAGGATCAAGGGAACATTCTTGCATCTACAGACGCGTGGCTTCAGCAGATAGGCTTACGAAAAGCCACGTTGCCAGGACGGGATGAAGACAGCGAAATACCATTATTAGATATGCAGCGGACGCCAACCCACCAGGAAACTATGGGAGATAAGAACTCTAAGTAGAGCTAACGTCACGCCTTATTGCAGACATTGCAGGTGAATAACATGTTTATAACGACTTTATTTTTGTTTTCTGTTGGGTTTTTATTCTTCTTTTACTTTACTTTATTTTTCCCATTTATCTAATTTTTGTATTCTTTTCTTATTTCTTTAAGCCCTAACTTAATGCAGTCTGGATACAAGTGGCTATTAAAGCTAATCCATAATAACAAAACATGATTAAGTATATAAACTTTGAAGGAGATTTACCTGTTGTGCGTAGGACACTGTACCTAGCATGATTTATGATCTCTGTCCGACCTTTAAAAGCCAGGGAAACCAGCATCAGCTTATCCTCTAATATTGGTATATAATCGATAGATTTAATACGAATTCCTATCTAGACCAGCATTACCTTTAGCATCTCCATAGTGAATGCAGGCCAAGAACCGTTATCCAGGACTGCGTGGGCTGCATATAAGATGGCTCCACCTTAGGATCATCATGCATCTTTTTCACTAGTTTTATACTCGTCAATTCCCGTATACATACTTTCATTCCTTATAGATACCGTTGCAGAGACTCTGCTAAGACAATATCTGTAGCGTTATAGCTTGCCGCCTGCGGATAGCAAAACGGCCGGAGCATGCGATACGCAATAGTCTTGATACCACTAGACTCCTTGTAATTTAAGTCGGGATCTTTGGGTGGCCCAAGTGGATATTCGGACTATTTAGAGACCAGTGGGGGGAATATCATTTCCAGCACTTGAATGTTAGAAAATAGTATGCTGCTATTATTCTTTGCAATGAACGCAAAGATTAAAATATGGATTGCTCTTGAGACATTCAAGAAACTTAGCAGTGTGGAAGGCTTGCCAGTATCATCTGCTTTAAAATCCTATGTCATGAAAAGTATTATTAGACTGCTTAGTTTCGGAATGGGCAATCCAGTTTGTTTCAGACATGCTGTTTTAGCTTACAGGCTGACTTCAACAGGGTGGGAAAATAAGCATATGTTACTTTGTCCATCTGCAAGGGTTCTCCTTTGTGATGCATCCTTTTAGATCGCAGGTACAGGACGGAAAGTTTAGCTGTGTTACGTTGCTTGATCGAGATGTGGAAAAGAAATTTTATAGTATCTATATAGCTATCAGAGTCAAGAGGCTGCCCTAGAGGGGGCTTTTTGGCATATGAACGATAAATTTCAATAGGTAGGAGCATACACCACCATTCATCTATAGTTTGCTCGAGCCAGCCGGAGTCGGTACGGGGAATTTGCTGATATCGTCACTGGTCTTTCCATCAATGGCGAGCTCCGCCACCACTCGACCGATAGCAGGAGCGAACTTGAACGCGTGTCCATTACCCAGGGCGACAATAATGTTGGGGTTCTTTTGAATCGGGCCGATAATGAACTGGCGATCCGGCGTGATGGAATATTGACAGGTTACTGTCCGCAGATCCTGGCCATGGCCGGGGATAATAGTATCCATGTGATCCTTAAGGGTCTTGAACACCCTTTGGGAAGGAACAAAGGTGCGGTTGTCGGGCGTCATAAAATTCTCCTGGGCATCCTGGCCTGCCTTGATGGTTGGCTCGCCGTAGGTCGGAAATCCATAAAACCATTTCTCGCCACCCCAAATCCACACGGGGAACCGCTCTGGTTCGAAGAGAGCTGGATTCTCCGGCTTGAAGTAGGTAATCTGCTCCTGCATGACGGTGAGGGGGATCTCAGCTCCAAGAGGTCGAAGAAGTTTGTTTATCCAGGCGTCGGCCGCAAGGATCACTTTCCCAGCTCGGACCCGACCCTTGGACGTTTCGATGATTACACCGTTGCCATCTGGTATCAGGCGGTCCACTCGAGTCTTCTCTCTCAAGACAGCTCCATTAGCGCGAGCTTGGTACTGCATAGTTGTGACGGCTTTGGAAGCATGGACGATGCCGGTATCTGCTGTGTACACGGCATCAATTCCATCGGGAATGTTGAACCCGGGCCAACGTCGGTTGACTTCCTTAGAATCAAGTAGCTCGTAAGGAACACCATTGGCGTCAAGACTCTTGGTAAAGTCGCTAGAGGGGGTTGGTCCGTTTCTGGGCAGGAATACAACACCGCCAGTTATATCCAGCAGGTTCAAACCAGACCGTTTTTCCAGGTCGGCCCAGTCTTTGTATGCCGATCGTGCAAGCGCAACGAACTCAGGGGAACCGTATGAAGTTCTGACAATGCGTGAAGTATCATGGGAGGCTCCGCGTACGTGGCCCAACTCGAACTGTTCGAAGCCGATGACCTTGGCTCCCTTGACGGCTGCTTGGTAGGCTGCTCCGCTTCCAAGGGCACCAAGGCCAACAACTGCAACATCGTATCGCTCCATGTTTGTTTTGTGGGAGAAAGGAAGAGGAGAATGAAGGGAAAGAAGATTAGAACACTGGGAGTTGAATGACTAGCATATGGGGTTGTTGGAGGGCATATATATACCTTTTTGAGTGCTACGGTAGCCGACCCCTCTTCAATAATGCGCATCGGAGATGATCCGTTTGGTATGTGTAGCACACGCTACCAGACATGCTACTCTTGTCACTTGAGAGTCCGGTTCAAGGTAGCTAAAGTGGGATTACATCTTCACCCGGCCTTCAGACCCAACCAATCTAGTCCCCACATACTCGGCCCCAACTGCCGGCATCGCATCAGAAACTGAGAACGTCTGTGCGTGTTTCGTTCCCTGGTTAAGCAGGGGTAAAAAGGTATGTGTCTGACGCTGGCTGGGTAAAGGTCTTGGCTTGCCAGGCATCGTCCAACATATGGATGACACTACGGCCCTTTCCTCCGATCCCGTGATCTGATTGGAGGGAACTCAAATTTATACCCTAACGGAGTATCATCCGTAATCCTACCGGGCCAGACCCCAGTGTCAATCCTGATCAAAGTCAAGATATCGGAATATCACCGCAGGGTGAAAATGAGGGGTAGTACACTACGGCAATTGGGTCATACAGCATGGGAAATCAAGACAAACGACGTGAGCAATGCCCAGTCTAGCGCATTGGATGTTCTCCAACAATGCTAACAACCATGGAGACCCGATGAAAGCGGGAGTCATTGGACGTTTTCGACTACTAGACAGAGCACTTGCTTACCCCCGTTTGATCAGACTCTACGAAAAAGAAACGATACAAATATAGCATGAATACAACGAGAAGGGAAAAGGATACAGTTTCTCTAGTAGCATTCTCAAATTCTTGGTATTGAAGAAGCATGTCAGATATCCAAGTCCGGCAGATCATCAACGGAAGGAAGTGGCCACGTCAGGCTATTAAGGTCTAAAGAGTTGGCCAGCTCCATTAACTGGTCCGGCCTGAGCTCGTAATGTTGCTCAAAGCTTTCCGCAGATTTCAACGTCAGTGAGTGACTATGCTCACCCGATTCGACTGAAGGAACCATGGCTACAGGACTGTCCCCCTCCCTTGATTCACGAGTGCTTCCGGGGAGAACCGTTGTTATATTCTCTTTCATCGCCAGCTGAGCAAGTTCACCAGCCAATTGCTTCAACTCCGACCGGATTAATCTAGCAGAAAGGTTGCCGCGAGCGCTCATCTCATCTAGGATAGTGTACGCACGCTTGGACCAGGGTGAGTGATCTCGCAGTAGAGATGGGTCAATTGCAGCCGCCAGTAAAAGTGAAATCGTTGATGTAGATGCCGCATCCATGTCGAAAGGCAAAAATGTTTCTTACACAGCTCGCAGTCAGTATAAACGATCTTATATATAGCAGGCAGATGTCCTACCCAAGAGTCCTTGTTCTAGTAAGTTGGACAGGATTCTTAGAATCTGTTGGGCGGATTCGACGCATATGTGGAGGAGAGCCTGCACAGTCCCAGCTTGCAGCCAGTCCATTAACGCAGGGTCGGACAGACCCAATTTGGATTGGAGAAATATATACAACAGGGGTCTTGTCGTGAGAATGATACACTAGACACCTAGGTGAGTATTTATTTCAGAGACGCTAGGTTCAAGATGTCCTACCTGATGTTGGAAAATATATAAATGTGCCGATATTCGTGAAGTACCACTCATGGAACCATTGGTATATAGGTTGAACGAGTTATTCAATTGTTTGGTGACGTGGGCAATGTCTCGGAGAACAGACTGAGTCGCGCTCAGATAGCGACTGTCAAGCTTTCCTTCACTGCCATATACAGCTAGCCTTTCTTTAGCAAAGGTCAAACGGCTAATGGCAAGGAGAACGCACTCAAGTCTACCTTTGCCAGGATTTGACATAGCATAACCTGCATCTCTAGGACATTCGATCCTTGAATATGCGTGGAAATCGAAGGAAATGAAGTACTTATGCTCTCTTCTGAGATTCCCATTGGCACTCCCAGAAGAGACGACATCCGGCGTTCCAGGGCGTAGCAAGTCCACCACACAAGGCTGCTTCGCTGCACATAGTCTTGGTTAAGACAGATCCCATGCATTTCAGTATACATGCCATATGATAGAGCCGAGCGAAGAGCACTACCGATCTAAACCCATCAGTATGGAAGTCAATAGAGACAAGGGGAATTTCATTCTTACCATACGATAGGCGGGGCCACGGCTGTGGACGGACTGGAGATATAATGCAGCACAACACATGACCTGTATTTTTTCAATCGGATCGCCATCAAAGAAGCTAAAGTCCGGCATGCATTGCATAGCCTGGAGGAAGTATTCTGCACCGGCAGGGGCCTGCGATCTGGTCGATTGTACCACGAACATTTTTCCGAACGCAAGGATCAGAAGATAGTGGCAAAACCATAAAGGTGAAGATCGGGCTTCTTTCGCTGGATTTTGCTGGAAAATTGCAAACTGCTCCATGAAACGATCCTCGTCAAATAGATAGAAAAGTTGTCCACAGTGGAACTTGACCGCACTAATAAGATATTTGGCGAATTCCGGTGTCGGAAGATTCGAGACGTCAAAGAGGTCCTGGGGACAGTTTGCTTTGTTTCCGTCCCACTTGAGATCGTAAACATGATCATCAAAAAGCAGATTGTTTGGGTCTGGAAACAACGATGACCCGGTCAGTTTCTCGTGAGTCATTCCCAACACTCGCCGAGCGAAGGCCCAACTAGATGACGTGCCCATGAAAACTACTAGAATCGTCAGATAAAACACTAATGCTTTGCTATGCAAGTTGAAAGGTTCACCTGGTCTTCCCATAGGGCCTGGAACCCAGTCTGTGATGTGAAAAGCTAGTGGATTTGTCAGAGGCGCCTTGGCTTCCATTCCACCTTGGCTTCTGGATGCCGTTGCAGTAGCCTGTCTGCAATGCAGGTCTTGGTCATCGCGATCGGCAGACGATAGCAATGGCGCTGCATCATCACCTGGAGAAAGCATTAGTGGTTTTGTATCAAGGATCGTCGCGGTGACATGACGCTCACATGACAGGCTGGCAAGCTGCTTAGGGGCCGATTCCGAAGCGGCCGGTTGGTTCAGTCTATGCTGCAACGTAGCTAGTCGTTCGTGGAGGTCGTTAATATATCTGTCTCGGTTGGGACCATTAGATTTGAAAACAAATTCCAGCAGATGCCTTCCCTCACCTTCGCGTTACCAGAACCGTTTCTGACAGGCTCTCAAAATGACAAGCTGAATTTCGTTTGCTGCATTGATCGCACGGATGAGAGCCGGTGCATCTGATCTTTTGGTCACGGCATCTTCTGCAACTTCTCGCTCATTCCAGGTGTCACTAGAATGCAGTTTTCGAGGGTAGGGGCGGACGTACGCTCTAGCCACACGCTTGCTGGCCCTCAGCGAGCGTCTTTCTGCAGCATCTCTGGGGGGCATCTTGTCTCTCGAGGAACGGTTAACTTCGAGAGCCGGAGCTTTGACGGGAGAGACGTTGGCTCTCGTGGGGTAACGCGGATGGAGTGGGGCCGCGATAGCTGGTGAGCACCAAGACTCGATCGAATGCGGGGGACGGGCTCGCGAGCAGATCAAGGATTAAAACACTATAGATTGGGGCGATATGTTGATTGCCACCCGTGCTAAGTTGCTCACTTCCCACGATTGCCGTCGAGGCAGGTCTCTCCGAGTTAGTATCGGATGCAAAGGCCGTAGCGCCAACCAGTGACATTCGTTCCACTACTCCCCCACGCCAAGGGAGACTAACTAACCGTATTTGGTATGGTTTTCGAGTATGAACTTTGTCCCTTCTGAGTCCCATATCCCGGGTATCAAACCTCCTGCTCAGACTGGCCCTAGTAGCCGTACCCCAGACCCCAGATTCCCCTGTGACCCCGCTAACTCTTGGGAAACCATTTGAAATCCTAATCATCTGCCTAGGGCTCAGACGATATCACTGGCTGGAATGGAAAAAAAAAAAAAAAAAAAAAAAAGAAGAAAAAGCGCGCTATTTAATTGACCGGCAATCATGGTTGCGATGTAGATGTATGGTCGAGTTGGGAAATACGATATGCTTATCGTGGAGGTCATCATCTTATTCGCGATCCATGCTGTCCAATGATAACTACTCGCTACTCACCGGTCCAGTATGGGGTATGTCTTTCCGGTATCTCCGGAGTATACTCAAGCACTGCCAATGTTCCTGAATCCTATATAAGACCCACCACCGGGGTTTTCGGTATCAACAAATTGGTCTTATCCCATGCCATAATGCCTATTACAGGCCCATTTCTCCCAATTCAGGTATTCTAGGCTATCCTATACCACTGAGACATAATTCCCTCCTCAAAGAATATAACCATGTCAGAACCAAAAGACCTACAAGCTGGTTTAACGGAAAAGTCATCGATGGCTCTAGAGGCTCCTCCCATAGCACACGATGCAGTCTTTGGTGAGATCACTGAAGAAGGGCCGAATTACCGCGACGTGAGTACTCTTTTAACCAACTTTTACTTTTACTTAAGTCTCTAACGATCGATAGGTTGGATGGCTAGGAACCGTGGCTCTCATGCTGAAGACCCAATTTGGGCTTGGTGTTCTATCCATCCCCCAAATCCTTGACTCACTGGGATTGATCCCAGGTATCATATGCCTGCTTGCAGTTGCAACCATAACCACCTGGTCGAACTACGTTATTGGTACTTTCAAAAGGAGGCACCCAGAGGTGTATGCCATCGACGATGCAGGAGAGCTGCTGTTCGGCCGAGTAGGCCGTGAGGTCTTGGGTATTGCGGTTTGCATCTGTGGGTCTTGACGAAAGCCTAGTCTTTAGAGTTGACTCTAATCTATCCATGCCAGACTGGATTTTTTGTTCTGGTTCCGGGCTATTGAGCACATCGATAGGGTTGAACGCTGTTTCGGCCCACGGGACATGTACGGCTGTCTTTGTTGCCGTGGCTTCAATCGTTTCATTCAGCCTGGCCAGCATCCGCACTTTGGGGAAAATGAAATGGGCTGCGTGGGCTGGAGTGGCGTCCGTTTTCACGGCTGGTGCGTAGCTCCTTGTCGTGGCCGGCATTCAAATACTGACTCAAGGATCACTAGTTATGATAGCCACGATCGCAGTCGGTATCCAGGAACGGCCTTCGGCTGCGCCCAAGGGGGACGGACCCTGGGTATCGGACTACAAGCTTGTTGGCAATCCATCGTTCGTCGAGGCAATTACAGCAGTCTCGTCCATCGTCTTTGCGTACGCCGGTACACCTGGTCAGTCTAAGCTATCTTTACTTTCCCCAGAACTGATTGAGTGACGAGGCTACCATGGGCCACCATTGCTTTCTATCACTGAAACACGATATGTCCCCCTGTCAAGATTCTCTGTGCTGATATTTGCAAAATTAGGCTTCTTTCCTATTGCCGCAGAGATGCGCGATCCTTCACAGTACACAAGATCCCTACTTATCTGCCAGACTGCTCTAACTTCGATATACATCGCTATTGGTACCGTAATTTATTACTATTGTGGCTCATACGTTGCATCACCAGCGCTTGGATCTGCCGGTACCTTAATCAAGAAGGTCGCATATGGCATCGCACTTCCTGGCCTGGTGGCCAGTACGGTCATCGTTCTTCATGTGGGTGATATGAGTAGTTTTACCCTGACTTCTTGCTTTCTTCCTTGGTTCGATTCATTCATTTATTGATTCTATTTTCTAACCAAGTATAGTTCTCAAGCAAATACCTCTTCGTCCGCATCTTACGAGGATCCGAACATCTAACCGCCAACACATTCAAACATTGGGCAACATGGTTGAGCTGCACTTTCGCCATTACGGTTTCATCGTACCTCATTGCCAGTGGCATCCCCATCTTTTCCGATCTGGTTTCCCTCGTCGGCGCCCTACTGGGAACGTTCATGTCCTTCCAGCCGATGGGCTGCATGTGGTTATATGATAATTGGAAAAGTGGCAGAGAGCAACCAACCCTCAAATGGATGCTCCTTTCGTCCTGGAGCATCCTAGTCATTGTCTCTGGATCTTTCTTGATGGTTGCTGGAACCTATGGATCCGTCGTCAATATTATTGCGTCTAGCAAGGCTACTTCAGGTTCTTCTGCGTGGTCTTGTGCTGATAACTCGAACTCGTGAGTTTTGATGTTGAGAATTAGGATTTTATGTACTTACAATATTGTAACTCTTTATCTTTGAAGTCATATAAGAGGGTTTCCAAATAATGCTGGAACATAAAGATTCAAGCTGCAACTCTGTAGATTGTTAGTAGCAATGGTATAGATTACTCAAGTCGTTGTTGAAGTTCCCTACCTTTTCTCTCTACCTCTGTTATATATAAAGTAACTAAAGGGAAGGGTTACTGAGTCCGTAGCATCCACCTTAGCTGGATAAGTCACTCTATGAGTTATTGCCGAATTCTACCCTCATAAGACAAATTCAGTTTTATCCTACTCTGGCCAGAAGAAGAAGACGACCGAAGGGAGGTGCCATTTGTTTTCAATCGTCGCAATATAAGAAGCTGTACTTATCCCTTAACTACACTATATCCAAGCACATACGACCACAGGGTGTGGAGAACAGGGCTTCCCGTCCGCTCAGCCGTACTTAAGCCACACGCCGGGAGGTTAGTAGTTGGGTGGGTGACCACCAGCGAATCCCTCCTGTTGTATGTTTCTTTTTTTATTATTTTGCAGGACTTATATATAGCGGTGCCTTTTTCTTCACCCCCTTCACCCTGCTCATATGCCTGCACACTCCGAGTTTGTGGTGCACACATGTAGCTTTGACTTGCAGTCCCACATTGCACCGTTGATCGTTACAAAATGCTGTCGTTATGTAGAACAGACTCAAGCAATCCGGTTTGTCTTATAAACTCGGAAGGTCCAGAGTAGCTATAAGAATAGGATAAGTACATCTTACTAGTAGAAAGGCTATATCTTGTATTCTATATTAAAGGTAATAGCCATTCTAATTTGAAATCAATTTATACCAACTCTCAAGACTTAAATCTGTTCCGCCCACAGTAAGTAAACTATTCTAACTACACATTTACATGACGCATGGTTTCATTTTTACATCGACCCAAAGCAACCCTAAACTTTCATCCGTCCAATGTCCAATGTTCCCCATGGAGGTAGACCCGACATAGGCTCCAGTAGTAGTAGTGGATACGTGCATGTGATGAAATGAACTCGGTTTTGGACAATAGCTGATTCTCTATAAATATTCAGAGATTCGCTTTTAACGCCTTTTCTAGGTTCTAAGTCGTCTGTCGCGAGGACTGACTCTGAGTACAATAACCATAACGATAATTCTTCGGGAGATTTTAGTATCTTTATTATCTAGATGGCTGTCAGTAACGCCGCAAGCCGCCGAATAAAAGTAGAGGATTAGATAGCATCACACTTAATAAAAGTAATCATTGGATAAAACTGCATTACGGAAAGGAGACAGTGCACTAGGTTGGAGGCAAGATAGGAGAGGAAAGAAAATAGAAAGTGAATGGTAGTTTGAGTGTGAGAGGCCGGACTTCTATAGATATCAGGCAAATACGGGGGCAAATATACCAGGCCAAACACCAGCCTACAAGACGGCTATCAATTATTGAACTCCACCATCCCTGGCCGCCTTGCCTTATCCCCCCGCCGGATAATCGGGTGTATTTATCAAGCGACTTCCAATACTCCCGGCAACATTAACTTCACCACCGGCTTATTATCATTGAAGAATTCAGGATTAACCTCTTTATATTTCATTATTTAGACGATATCAAGATAGTCAGGCCTAGTGATGCGTTATTGAGGGCTTCAGCCTGAACATATCTCGACTATTACTACCAGCACATTGGGGAAAGTAGTTATGGAAATTGATATTGACCGGTGCAGTTGACCGGGGAAGGAAAGGCATTTATACAGTTAATAGTCAGTCATTATATCGGCGTAGCTTGGGAAATCTATTCAATGTATACTCCATGTGGTATGACGTTCGAATCTCTGTCGCTGTTGCTCGTGTAAACGGTGCCTTTTAACAGAGCTGGTAGCTGAAATTTGTGTACACGTATGGTAGCTCCTGCTAGCCCTTTTGGGCATTACTGCTGCAAATCTACGTCTCGCTCGGTATATTAGGACATCGTTAAATTCAACTCTCATAGGGAGGAGGCTGGCTGTGGCATTATTGTTACCCTATTAGTGTACAGAGGCGATCTGCATCGACCGAACCATATCCTGCGCCTCTTCGGAGTGCCCTACGGAATCAAAGGCGACACTGGCATCACCGCCAATGGCCTCTTGGAGAAACCACTGCCCACCCGGGTGGCTGTGCATGAAATCAGTGACATCGCAGACGTACCCTGCAATTATGATCAGGCAGCGCCCCGTCCGTGTCTGCTGCTCGTACTCGGCCAAATCCATTGTCGGGAAGTGGAGGTGGCCCACATTACTGGACTGGTGTCGTTTAAGAGCTCCTGCATTGCCGTCCGCCGACTGTTGTCCCTGGGCAACAAGAGTGGCGCGTTCGATTTCTCTGGCCGGGCTCCTTGTAAGCCCCGATGCAAGTCCCAACCGCTCACAGGACCAGATTAGCCATTTGCTGGGGTCAAAGCTGTACCAGTGTATTCCATTTCGGTAGTCTGACGGAAATCGATGGTGGAAGTTATGGTAACCTTCGCCGGAGGTTAGAAGAGCAACAAAGAGATTATCCCGCGCGCTATGTGTAGTAGAGTATGACTGGCCACCGCGCCAGTGCGCCAGCGAGTTAACCAAGAAGGTAGTTTGTCCGTGAACATATGCCCGGGCAAGACCTGCATATAGAAGCCCCCCATGCCAGTCATTCCACCCGATGTGAGCCACGGCCGATGGGAGCAGTAGTCCTATCATTACAGCCAGAATCGGGTAATACTGACGCTGCCATACAGCTACCTGGTCATTTGCTACGTCCGAGATATCAACGGAACCCCATGTCTCAGGGTTATATCCGATCAACCAGCCAACGTGCGAATAAAAGAGCCCTCGCCGGGCATTATAAGGATCATTGTCCGTATCCAGGTAGCGGTGGTGGGCGCGATGATGACGCGTCCACCAGATGATGGACCACTGAAACTGTCCAGCCCCGAGGGCGGCAAGGACGTATCGGAGAGGCGGGGAGGCACGGTAGGATCGGTGACACCAAAGCCGGTGGTAACCTAGAGGATAATGGGGAGTTAGTTTGACTAGATCAATGGAGTTATATAGATGCAGTGTTCATCAAAGTCGATGTCGATCTGTAAGCGAAGAAAGGCCCACCTGTAGTCATGGCTACGCTATAGATAAAATAGCAAATAACACTCCATAGCGCCGTCTTCCAATTCAATGTCACCCGCTGGATCCCAAAGGCAATCAGACTGGGTGACACCAGTACGAGGATGAAGTGGACGACATGAAAATGCTGCCAGTAAAAGCGGAGCTCACCAATGAAGGTCCTACTGGCATCACCTGCTGGGGCCGATGTCTTCATTATGATGTGCACTAGAGAAGAACGAAACGATTGACACTGTGAACTTATAGGCCAATCTATCTCAGGATACACGTCCCTGACATGGGAAACCGCTCCCTGGCTGCGAAGGCTTTGGGTCCTCTTAAGCCTGCAGTATATTACACAGTGTTATGATTGCTGGGTGAAAATTCTGATCGAGGAGATATCCTCTTTACTGTATCCAAAACAAAATAGCTTTTAAAACTTGACCCACCATGATTCTATGACATGCAAGTATGCAAGGAGTAACTTGGGCTGGTATAAACATGACATATCTAATGCACTACAGTGGTTTGGTGCTTTTATATTATTCTTCTAATATTTGAAATCATCCCACTGGGTAAACATGGTGTTATAACCCCCATTCGAGGAGCGTAATATATCTTTTATGTAAATAGATTTGCATACCGCTGTACAAAGCGACATACACCCATCCGCATCACTCACCAGCCATGCAGCTCCCGCAGGCGAACTACCACATCATCTCGAGGGATAGGACTGAGAATTCCCATCACCACAGGTTCCCTTTTGCTCGTCTGCCAGCTGCATTTCAAACTGGCCCACCATGATCGCCACCATAATCTTGACCTCGAGCCGCCCTATTTCTTGCCCAATACAGGATCGCGGTCCTTGACCAAAGGTGAGAAAAGTATATCGATTTTGAATCTGGCTCCCAACGGCAGGACCCATCCCCGTTTAGCCATCGAGCAGGGTTGAAATCGGCCGCATCTGGTCCCCACCATTCGGGGTTCTGGTTCGCTACCGTAGGCGACAGCATAACAAGCGTTCCCTTTGGAATGTAGACATCCGCTAGAGTGGTATCGCAGCACGCTTCCCGGCCGGTCAATGAAAGCGCAGGATCGCACCGGAATACCTCATTGCAGAATGCCTGCAAGCTTGGCAGACCGTTGTCCAGCCGCTTGAGGAAATTACGGGACCACTCATCATGCCGGGTCACAGTAGGCGATGGAAGGAATGGGCGTACTTCATTCCGGACCTTGCCCTAAGAGACCAGGGTTTCTACTTAAACAAACAGGGCACATTGCATCGTGAATGTGGGAGTCGCAGACCCGGTAAGGAGGAAACCCACACTCTGCTGGACTCTTTCATCATCACTGAAGATGTTTCCCTTTAGTAAACAAGAGAGGAGAGTCGCACTTTTTCCAGAAATTTATCCGCCAATGAGTCTGGGCTTGTTTCTGCCTTTCAGTTATAATTCGACGAACAAAGCATTTCACGTCAGCAATGCCCTAGAACCTCGGGCTGTACCATCATTTGGATAAACTCGGGGAGGGCACAGCACATCAAAGCCTTGACGCAGGTACCTAGAGAGATCCCAAAGGGGAACCATTCCAGCACTTTTTTACCAGTGGACTCGTGACGTGTCGGATCGAAGGTCAGTATCCTGTTGGGTCCTACAGACAATGGCAAGGGCCGCTCTGTTGAGAATACTCCATAGATAAACGCGTCCTGGCGCTTCGTTTTCTGTATCCATAGACTTGGCCATTCGCAAGGCCTGTTCCACAATGATGGGGCACTGCTCCTGGACATTGCACGAGGTATACGCCGCAGAGATATGTTGACGATGGACCTGCAACTTGGTGTCAGCAAACAACAGCCCTCCAGGTTTATCGACTTATATGAATGCTAGCCTGCGCTTGTTTTCATTGCTGGTCACAAGGCCCCTTGCGCCGACCATAAAGAAGATCTTCTCAGCTACGCGGGGCTTTATAAAGTCCTTGTTCCGACGGCAGAGTAAATCCCGAATCGCCCTCGGGCCCATGGCAAACAACACCTCACAATATTGAGTGGCCCATATACACGCACTAGACTTTCTTTGTAAAACAAAGCTGCCTTACGTCTCAGATGAACGATTGGGTTTTCGTTTCGATCAATATAATTGCCCCATAGCCCATGCCGACCCTGTAAATTGCCTTGTCTCAGTCTGTCTGGGATACACGCTCTGGAAAAGAGAAATAGTTATTTTACCGCGGGTGTTGGGAGTGATCGAAAAGGGCTGAGAAATTGGAGATACAAATACAGACGGTATACAGCTAGGAAAGCCATATAAAATCCCCCAGCGAGTCCGATAATAACGAGGCCTCTCTCTGGAGATCTCTGGAGAAGCGGGAGAACCACCGAAATCCCGATTACCACCACACGACCGTGCCAATTTATAGTTAACATGATACCTGAAGAGGCCCAGTCAACCACTAGGGTTAGTTAGGAAAGGAATAGAACAAAAGGATAACACGACAAGGAGAGTGGCCATGATTCCAAGTTGCCAGATAAGTGAGATATCTGTCCTGCCACCCAATTCCTGCACACTCAAACCAACAGACTCCATGCCACTTAGCGTTCCTCCTTTTAGACCTAAATAACACTTGCATATGCATGTCGAAGGTGATCTATTTACTTTTCATCTTCTCCCCCTCCTCGGCTACAGGCAACCTGAAAAGGAAAGATGGTCAACATGATGCATCCACAAGCTCCACTCTTCAAAAGCGTTACTATTCAGATACTGTAGGATCTTGCTTATTTTTTTTTAGCGTGCTTGGTAGGGTGGATGCTGCTGCGGCCCGTACGCCAAAGTTTATGACACCTCTAGAAGAATAGTACTAGGGAATTTCTGACATCTCTGACTTGACGTATGGGGCAATGACAGATCATAGGATGTGTGGAAGGAAGCTGTCTCATGTTTCTACCTCGGTTGATTTTGGGTCCCACGCTCTTCCAACATAAAGATTGATATTTCTGCTACGTACAGAATGTCCTCGCCCATTAATGTCGACCCACTTCCTTCGTCAGGATAACGCTTCTTTTCACTTTGTGTCCAACACTTTCTAATTCGGGGCTGAGTCTGCAATATACTACTGCTAGGGCTCTATTCATCATGGGAGGCTATATCGACCAGACCGACGAGGGTTTGTCCCCTGTTGCTGTAGTGGGAATGGCAATGAGACTGCCAGGGATATTCGAACGACACAGGCATTCTGGGACCATATCATAGAGAAGCGTAACGCTTCCGGTCCAATGCCGCCTACCCGATCCTGTGTCGATAAGTTCTACCATCCTGACCAATCCCGAAGCACCAGGACCACCCAGGGATACTTCCGCAGCGACGACCCCGCCTACTTCGATGCGGCGTTCTTCACTATCACTGCCCATGATGCAGCCCGTATGGACTCACAGCAGCGACTTTTGCTGGAAGTTGTTTGGGAATGTCTGGAGAGTGCAGGACAGACATCGTGGGAAGGAACAGATATTGGCTGTTTTGCTGGGACGTTCGGAGAGGATTGGTTGGATATAAGCCATAAGGATCCTCAGCACATCGATAAATATCACGTTCTGGGAACAGGGGCATTCGCTTTGTCCAATCTTGTTTCCTATGTTAATGACTTCCGTGGGCCAAGGGGAGTGAAAACCTCTCCATGTGTGGATGGCACGGGACTTACAGTTAATGGTGTCACCTACGTGCTGTAGTTTAACGATCCAGACCGCATGTTCCTCTTCATTGGTAGCTGTCCACGAGGCATGTCAGTCCCTCATCACCAATTCGTGCAGTGCAGCCATAGTGGCAGGCTCCAACCTGATACTGACTCCAACGACGACTGCGACCCTGTCAAATAACATAACATGGTACTCTCTCCCAGCGGGGTCTGCCGAACGTTCGACGCAGCTGCCGATGGCTATGGTCGTGGAGAGGCCATAAATGCTATCTTCTTAAGGCGCCTTAGCGATGCGATTCGAGATAATGACCCGGTGCGGGCTGTAATACGGTCCACCCCCTCAAACTGCGATGGGAGGTCTGCCATCTTATCCACTCCATCCCCGGAGTCCCAGATGGCCTTAATATCTTTCTTGTGTCCTAAGGACGTGTGTAGTCCCAATCTACTATAAATTCATTCACTCATGGCTCCTTGAATCAAACCTCTCCATCCCCGCATGCCCACCACTTCTTATGGCGGGTTCCTTATCGTAGTACTAAACAAGTATACATTTGGAGAAACGCAGTAGGGTTTGAGGGATGTCAGCGTGGATTGTCTGACGGGGTCAGTTCCTCCAGAACAAACGCAAGCCTTGAACAGTGCCAACATTCAACAACAGTAGGGGCTGGATCTAGATAATGCCGGTATATTACCACGAAACCCTGATTCTGGGTGAGATGATAAGCTTATGTGGGACTTGTTTCATAATCAGCCATCACTCAACTAATTTGCATCAGACATTCTTCCTAGCTGAATGTGTTGGGCTGGTTGCCAAAGCCCTTGATGCACGGAGTGAAGATGTAGCAACGCACGGTGTAGGCCTCGATGATGCTAGCATTGGTCTGGAGCACTTGCTCCCCTTGGTTCTCGGTCAAAACTACCGAAAAAGAATCTGCCACCTCAAAAGACGAGTCATGTCAAACACAGGTAGGTGTGAACCCATCATGGAGCGAAAACATCCCTAGGAACATCTTAGCCTGTTGGGGATGGTTTCCGAATGTAACTTGTGTTAGATTCAAAGGCGTACGACTGATAAACTATAGTGCATGTTGTAACGCCACAACCACTGGCCCGAGGGGGCGCGGCTTTGCTCCAGACAGAGTGGCCACATTGGTGATGAAGCTCGCTTGATCTTGGACTCTGGCCATGCCAAAGGGAGCATGAAAAAAGAATACAGCAGACTACGTAGCTTTCTACCAATTCTGCCAAGAGCAAAGAAACGTACTCATGAACCGTCCCAAACGGTATGGCCAAACAGTCCTATCGTGTCCTCTCAAAGCTGCCCCTTGGTGCTCGGTGAAACATCCACTATCGCCATAACCCCCAGGTGATCCGTAATCCAAGGCTTCTCGAATCCCAGTGTCACGATCTGCTTCCTTTCTTCAGTCCCCTCTGCCAGGATCCCTTCTCCAAATCTCTCAAACTTCGATAACCTGACCGACCCACGAAAATAAACCTTGTCCATTCGGGAACACCCAAACTGCGCACGTTGTTTTGTTGTTGCTTGTTGGCCCCATGTATATCCTTCCTCGGTGTCCTCCCCTCCCCCTAGTTCTAGGAATGCGTCCTTGAGATCATTGTCCACATGCAACGTGCGATCAAACGGCTGGATTGCGTTGAAGTCACCAGCAGCGAGAGCAGCGTACAGCCCATCGTGATGCATATACTGAGCGACTAGCTGCATCTGCGGTGGGCGGTACGGAGGGTCAAGGGCCATAGACTCTAGATGCGTGTTGCAAAGGCGAATTCGCTTCTCCCCAAGCCCAATAGAGACGTCTACGAAAAGGGCATCGCGATCCATGCGCGTGTGGGAGTAGTGGACCCGAAACACAGATATAAGAGGCAGAAGCTTGCTGGCAAGAACGGTAGTTCCATACTGCGCGGTGGCCCAGTTGGTGGTGTCAATATCTGTAAGATGAAAGTTGGCCTGCACCCACGGAGTCGCGGCAATTGTTTCCAAGTCAGACGGTGTGCATTCTTGGAGAAAAATAACAGGGGCGACATTTAGAGGGAGAAGGCGCGTGAGTTTGTGAAGATGTGCAAGCGCTGGTCGCATGCGGGCTGCAGCGAAGGGAAGCATAAAGTCAATATTCCACGTATAGAGTGCAATACTCGTGATGGCTGAACTATCATTATCATTGCTACTCGACTTTCCGAGGGCGGATGGTAGTAACTTGGAGACCCAAGTGGATGTTGCGGGGTCAAATCCATAGTAAGTCTGGGCATAAGGCTCGTCCAAGGCCCAAGGCACTGACGTCTTCCGAAAGGTCGTGGTGTCCCTGATGGCCTGGGCCACAAGCGCTTCCATGGCGATGGACGGGAGTTTTCGGAGGGGAGAAAATGTAGAAGTCGAGAGGAATCAAAAGGTAGAAAGGAGAAGGAAAATGGAAAGAAGATCAGCTAAAGCCAAATCTAAAGATAAAATACACACAGCAACTAAGGTAACGTGATTCCCCCTCCGTTCTATAATTGGCTGGAAATTTACTATTTATACTCCTAGCAGTAAAAATATAGCATTCACAGTGTCAAAAGCAGGCAACTACTGCCATCATTTTACATACAATCTTGATCTTATCTTTATAGGCTATATAATATATTAAGAATGATTGCGGAGAACTACTGGTCTGTGGTTTAGGCTGTTTAATGGTCTCAGTAGATGAAAACCAGATTGTGTGCAGCAACAGTTTATCTACTGAGCCACTGAAATATAATTTCCACTATCGAGCCGCATGATCTGGTCAAGAGGACATTCTGGCGTAGCTCATCACATTGGAGCTTCCCTCCAATCCATCCATGTCAGCCTCAATTCCTTGATACCAGATATGGACCAAAAATCCCAAAGAATGCGTACCATCCGTAAAAGGCCCCTTAAAATCCACATTATTAGGGGCCTCCCTGGAACCCATCAACACATCATCCTCTTTCCACCCAGCATATCTCATGAACGCACTCCAGGAACCCACAACCGGCACATTTAGCTCCTTCCCAAGCTCGACAACGGCCCCAGCATATTTTCTCGTCGTGCGGCTGTCCCACTCGGATGTGGGACCCCTTCGGAAGTGTCGAAGACTTCGAGCTGGTATTGATTGACGGGGGGTGGTGTGAGCAGGAGAATTCTTGGATTTTGGGCTTTCACGACGGGGTGTTGGACTATTTGGCGAAGATTGTCTTTGAATGCGTCTAGTGGGGTGTGTTGGTACATTCCGGCCATTACGGCGTCGTTACAGCTGGCATCAAGCATCACAGCGCTCTCTGCGGCAATCTCTCCCTATTCAAGGATATAAGAATCACCGCTCTTGTCGTGTAGCAAGTATTGGAAGATATCGTCGAGCTTTTCGCCCGGGATGTAGTGGTCCAGACGCTTTTGAACATGGTAGTTCGCAATATCACTCCATCCATCATTCAATCTCCACAACTTGCGGTAGGATGCTAAAAGTCGCGTGGTGTATCTGCTGTTGATATGGCACCATTTATCTGCAAAGGCAATCCTAGTATGTGCGATTTTCGACGCGTGTAGACAGTCCCGGTATGTCGCTTGATATGCTTTCCCATCGTGGCCGACGGGGGTGACCAAGTCATTTTTCCCGCGGCGAGAAGTCCTAAGTCCTCCGATAGGGTAAGCTCTCCAATAGCACCGATTGTGAGGAAGTTCGACCAAGCCCTAAAGTAAAATTTGAATCCTTTGGATCCGGATGGGACTCTTCCACTAAAGGTGCCGTACAATGCTTGTCACAGGCAGCAATACACTGCTTCACCTTGTGGACGATTTTAAACTCTCAGTCTTCCAAATTCTTCGCCGCAAAGACACTAGCAAGCATCTTGCGCTTCCGGGTATAGTCAGCCTTGTTAATCACATTCCCGAGATTGAAGTGGGTGGTCTTCTCTGTCTGGTAGAAGTTATCCTTGAGACACTTTGTGCCGTGGCCGTAGATATCATTGTATACACCTGGATGACCGTATGAGAGTGAGTTTGGTCCGATACGGATCACAGGGTGGACTTTGTGCATATCGCTCAGCTTCTTTGACCGTATTCCGCCGCGCCACGTTTCAAGGCACCAGCCGAGGCTTGTCAGGGCGTAGAGAGGGCTATAAACGGGATATTTGCGGAGGCCTTTGCGGTCTAGAGTGTAATCGATGAGGGGTTTGAGGAGAGGGTGGAGGGTAATGAGGATAGCCCCCAGGATGAAATTTGGGACCGTGTACAATTGTCTGGCAGGATCTGGTCTAGTAAGAGAGAGATAGAAAATGTCGACTATGGGTTCCATTTCATACTGAGGGAGAAGGGAGTATTATACCAACGAATTTTGAGGATGTTTATTGACTAAATCTCTATGTTTACACTAGGTGAAGCAATACTTTCCATATTGGGCATGCATATTTCAAATTCCTAGATTCATGCTTGTCGAGATACATAATCCAATCAGCCAGATTTGAAAATTCTTCCAGTGGAGACGGGCTGGTACCAGGTGAAGTTGCCTATCGGGGATTCCTTCCCTCACTAAATCTTTCCACTGCTACCCTCAGCAGCGGAGTCTGCAAGATCACGCCGGCTATTGACATGATATTGGCAGGAAATTCACACCTCACGCCATGTCTCTACCTGCCAGGGTAATATTGCCCTGTGTGACAGTGGATCCTGGGGATTCTGGGGTATGCAATCGTTCCCCGCAATATCGGCTTTAGCCCCAATGGCTTATTGAATCGCCGATTCTTGATCCGATGCGTGGATGCTCTATCCAACCAGGATGAAGCTGCCCGTTTCTAACCCTAGCTATCCCTTCGTTGACTGTCACAGCATGGCTTCTGACACAGACGTCTCGAAAAAGCCCCTACCCTTGTGATGACTGTCCTCGAAAATGACGAGAAGCCCAGTTCGGTTCGCGTTGAATATGACGCCCGGAATGATGCACACGATGACAGTACCAAAGACATAGCCACGAGCTAGTTTGTGTGGCTAGTTACACTCACAGCTTCTATTGCCGGTGGTTTATTCGGTTACGATACAGGAATCATTTCCGCTGTACTTGTTTACCTAGGTGACGACCTTGATGGTCGCCCAACATTGGACAGTGCAAAACTAATTACCAGTCTCTGCGCTGGTGGTTCTTTTATCAGCGCAATCATCGTCGGACCTACCGCCGACAAGGTACATGCCCCACGCGTTAATTGCTTCTTATGCTCATTGAATTAGTATGGCAGAAAGCCCGCCATCTACGTAGACTGCTTTCTGTTTACCATCAGTGCTATCATACCAGTGATAATTCTGTTTTATTTCTATTCATACCAAGTTCCTAGTGAAGATATATTATCCACGGACATATATCTGGCAGATATATCATACTGACCTCGGTAGCCCTTCTATTCGGACTTTGAAAATGGGTCCATCCTTAGACTTTCTCGCAGCAGATATCTCGTCCCATTGTTTGCATGGTCTGTTGTTGTTGTTGTTGATAACGATGACTAATCTACCCCAGTCACGTGCCATGCTTTGATGCATGGATGACGCAGGACGGCGGACGATCTCCCGGATGCGGGTCAGCCTATCGAAAGGCCATCTTCTCGTACTCTCTCTCTCTCCGCGTCTTGTGCCTTTCCTGATTTTCCCCTCCTTTGTTACCTTATCTTCCACGTGTACGTACAGAGACTCGATCATTACTTGACTAGCCTTCGGGCTATTTACCGTGTAAATATTCGCTGGAACCTAGTCGCTCACGGTGCCCCTCAGACGCGCGGCTGGACCGGGGTGTCTTTACGCTACAGCAGGCGGTGTGCTACTCACCAGCAGTCGTTCACTTTCCCGCGGAAATCATATTGGCGCAAGATGGCAGCCCCGTCAGGCTTGCATGCGCATCTTCATCATGGCGCAACCGATGCGGGACCGAAGCTGGTCAACCGATTACGTGACAGCCGGTCACCGTATGTTAGAGCCCACATGAATAACCCAGTCGCCTGGCAACTGTGGGACGCAGAAGCGATCAACCTCGCCAGGCGCTATAACCGACTGGTGTTTCTCAGTATCGGCTACTCGGCTTGCCACTGGTGCCATGTCATGGAAAAGGAATCCTTCATGTCACCAGAGGTGGCTACCATCTTGAATGAATCTTTCATCCCAATCAAGGTAGATCGTGAGGAGCGACCGGATATTGACGATATCTACATGAACTATGTACAAGCTACCACGGGATCTGGTGGTTGGCCGTTGAACGTATTCCTGACTCCAGATCTAGAACCGGTCTTTGGTGGCACCTACTGGCCTGGACCCAATTCGACGACGCTACTAGGGAATGAGACTATCGGCTTTGTAGATATTCTGGAAAAGCTACGGGAGGTTTGGCAGACCCAACAGCAACGATGTCTCGATAGTGCGAAGGAGATCACAAAGCAACTCCGGGAATTTGCCGAAGAAGGAACACATTCGTACCAAGGAGACAAGGAAGCAGATGAGGAGCTGGATATTGAACTCCTGGAAGAAGCTTATCAACATTTTGTGACCCGCTATGATTCTGTGCATGGAGGATTTTCTAGAGCACCGAAGTTCCCAACCCCTGCCAACCTCAGCTTTCTACTCCGGCTCGGGGCGTACCCAAACGCGGTGTCGGATATTGTTGGTCAAGAAGAATGTGAGAAAGCAACGGCCATGGCAGTGCATACGCTCATTAGTATGGCGCGTGGTGGCATCCGTGATCATATTGGACATGGCTTCGCAAGATACAGTGTCACTGCTGATTGGAGTTTACCTCATTTTGAAAAGATGCTTTATGATCAGGCACAACTCTTGGATGTATATGTGGATGCATTCAAGATAACACACAATCCCGAACTGCTGGGCGCCGTGTATGATTTAGCTACGTACCTGACCACCGCTCCTATTCAGTCATCCACTGGCGCTTTTCACTCTTCGGAAGACGCGGACAGCCTGCCGTCACCGAATGACACGGAGAAACGCGAGGGAGCATTTTATGTCTGGACATTGAAAGAACTGACACAGGTGCTCGGCCAACGAGATGCTGGGGTTTGTGCTCGCCACTGGGGTGTGCACCCTGACGGTAATATCTCCCCCGAGAATGATCCACACGATGAATTTATGAACCAGAATGTGCTTTCCGTACAAGTAACCCCGAGCAAGCTAGCCAAGGAGTTTGGGTTAGGGGAAGAAGAAGTAGTAAGAATCATTCGTTCGGCGAAGCAGAAACTGCGCGAGTATCGGGAACGAACACGAGTCCGCCCTGATCTGGATGACAAGATCATTGTCGCCTGGAACGGGCTGGCCATTGGGGCACTTGCCAAATGCAGTGCTCTATTTGAGCGTATTGAAAGTTCCAAAGCATCACAGTGCAGGGAGGCAGCGGCAAAAGCGATTAGCTTTATCAAGAATGATCTCTTTGATAAAGCAACCGGGCAACTGTGGCGTATATATCGTGACGGTGGCAGAGGTGATACGCCAGGCTTTGCTGACGACTATGCTTATCTGATCAGCGGCCTGTTGGATATGTATGAGGCAACATTTGATGACAGCTACCTGCAGTTCGCAGAGCTGCTTCAGAGTAGGTGTTCTGTCGAATCCTCATTATCATATATGCACTAACGATACTACCAGAATATCTCAATGACAATTTCCTTGCATATGTGGGATCGACGCCGGCAGGTTACTACAGTACGCCGTCCAACATGACTTCAGACATGCCGGGTCCTCTTCTTCGTTTAAAGACCGGAACCGAATCGGCCACTCCATCTGTTAACGGAGTTATTGCACGCAACCTGTTGCGCCTCGCCAACCTGCTTGAGGACGATGATTACCGACTGCTCTGTCGCCAGACATGCCACTCTTTCGCGGTCGAGATCCTGCAGCACCCATTCCTCTTTGTCGGACTGCTTGATGCAATTGCCGGACTGGAAGCTGGCTCACGAAATTTCACAGGCGTTCTCTCGACGACACGTCTTCCTCAGGCCGGGCCCGGATCGTCAACCCGTCTCAACAGCAACTCCGCCGAGCCCACATCCGACGAGCCAACCTCCGTGCGCGAGCTCATTGTGCAGAGACTTCGTGCAGAAGCTGGTCAGGCGATATCAACCTCCACGACCACCGTTTCCCTCATTGACATCCGTCCCTCTCACGTGGGAGACTTCGTAGGTAATCAGTCATTCTGGTTGCGGACGAGGAATAAGCTATACAAGGACTTGAAGCCGACCGAACCGGCGAAAAACCATATACTTGTATGTGAGGGGGGTAATTGCAAGATGATGGATGTATGATTCTGCAGGTCACGCTTTTGCGATTGACCTTTCTCCTTACTTTCGGTATTGGGGCTATCGATACTCTCCTAGTTTATGAATTTGGAGGCTTTTTACATTAGCAATTGGTTTCGTCGTCTGTTTCTGAGTCTGGACAGGATGGCCATAATCAGACGCGCAGTATCATTACATAGGAACTTTAGCAACGAATATAACTTTCTTACATACAAACACAACACCCAGATCTATTTTTCCAGGACAAGAAAGAAAAAAAAGAACGGAAAAGAACCCCATCGTTTACATGTATCACACAGGCATAAAGCATACTCTACAAAGTTCCAAAGCAAAAAGTAAGGAGGAAATAGCAGTAGATAACAATCATCCTCACGTCAGAAGATACACAGAAACAACCCCCCTCCCAAGTCCAAACACACACTTCCAAGCCCAAAGTGTACACTCACTCCCAAATAAACCAAACACAATGATCCCAACATCCGATCAACGATCGAAGCAAACAAAAACCAACCCAACAACTGACATCACCCGTTTCACATAAATTAAACACGGTAATTAAACCTCGCCGATCACCAAGCCACCACTTAGCTGAGCATAAGAGCATCTGATATAAATGACTAATTGACTATATCGATCCGATGTGGACTTCGCCGATTAATCATCTTAAGTATATTAGGGGGGTCTAAGGCTGCAGTTGTGGATCTTGTAGGTGAAAAATCTTATTCGTACTGGACGACAGGTAGATGATGAGGGATTTTGTCCGCCCCAGATCAGTCTCGAAGTCTGGGTGGGGATCTGCGTTCTAGGGTTTTCTTTTGAGTGTTTACTGTGTTTTCTGCTATGTGTGATGTTTGTACTCTTAGATGTTGTTTAATGGGAGTTATGTGGTGATGTTTATCCGAACTATATTTTTTGATCGTTGGGGGTGTTGCTAATTTATACGTGTGCATATTCATCTTCGCCTGATCTGGGTATGTTTGTTCGCTCGTTTGATTTGGGCTGGAATGGGTATTTTTGAACCGTGATATTCTTGAGCATAGGTATTGACAGTCCTTGGTAGGTTGGGGTAGATATAATGGAAGGTATAGAGTTCTTCGGGGGCTGTAGATTGAGGAAGTAGAAACGGCGGATTAAATAAATGTATTGGGCTGACTTGAAGCAGTTCTAGTGTTTATAGCTGGTCCAGCAAATATAATAAAGCAGTTTGCTTTAGAATGAAATAGTCGGTCAAGTAGGAACGGTTCTTAGGGTTAGGCGTAGATGCAGTTATCGAAGACGGAGTATGTGCCATTATGCTACGTTCAATATTACGGTCGAGACCGATGTTGCGCGAGTACAGAATTCAGACGTTGAGGGTAGAACAGTGCTGGATGAATGGATTGGTTATATATATCAGTCATGCATCGTAGCGGTATAGAATAGTTAAGAATGTATAGAGGAATTGATGGCCAGATTTGAAGAACTTAAGCTACACCTTTGAGAGTTTATTTATCCTACATCATGTTGTATATCAATGTAAACATATACTATATATATCTTGCATTTAGAACGCTCATCCAAATTCTGTAAAAGTATCATCATGTATATACTAACCTCTGGATAACGGGAGTTGCCAGAAAAGTCAATTGTGTGCCTCAGCTGGGGGGATCCCGTGGTTCGTTCGGAGTTGTGTGAATGGTTTGTTTCCTGCTATTTTTTGTTTGGAGTGTTTGGACTCCTCGAAATGGCCAGACTCATTGCTGTCCTAGTCGCGAGGGGTGACTTCCTTACACCAGACCAAGTTCGGATTTATCGATAGCACATCCTACTCTTTCAGTGATTAGGATGGATGTGGTAGGACCAGTGTAATATGTGTCCAAGATAGCAAGAGAGTAGAGTAGCTACATTTCAGGCGATGATAGTCACAATTGTTTGTTTGCTACCTAACCTGAGAGATCAGGAGATCAGGAGATCAGGAGCACACTGGACGATATATGATCTACGTAAGCGAGAGCGATATTGAAGGATTGGGCCGTTTAAATAGGAGCTGTGCAGATCGAGCTCATCTGACCAAGAGTTGCTGTCGAGGAATTGGATCTATCAACCGGCTCACCCCGGATCCTTTGTTGGATCGTCTTCATGCTTCCTTTGGGATCCATAGGTCAAGGTAAGCCTAGATTCGGGTGTTGAAATGATTTTTAAACCATGTTTTCGTCAGGCTCTATATTCAAGCTTGTTATAATCCCCCTTTCATATTGCTACGCTGATGTTCATTGTCAAGCTACAGCTCGTGTCGAAAGTCACAATGGGTGGCGATAGAAAAGCATCGCCTGTGGCTAGGGAACCAAAAGGCATAGTATAGTATAATGGAAAATAAAGATGGAGAAAGGCGAAACAAGAGGTGATGAGTATCTTGACTCCAGAACCCTGCGTGGAGGCGTCAGCTAGGTCCGATATCGTTAGGGCCTGTAGTACGACCCGTCAGCCCGTTCCCGCCTACCATCAACGCATATTGGATGCGGAAAAGTCTAGATGGAACAGTCCATGGTTACACGGGCGTTGGCGTCGTCAGCTGTCGGGTCAGCAACGGCGTATGTATGTATGTACATGTACGGTGGTACAGCTTGGAGGTGGCTATGAGCGTCCCAGTGGTCCGTCCACGTGGAATGCCAAACACAATGCGATGTCGATAGAATTTGATGGATATGCTTGATCGTATAAAGTTCCCAATACGCTAAGGGGAAGGAATAAGTTAATTCCTCGGGAGACCGACCACTTTTGACAGATCATGACAGATCAGCCAAGACCACCGTGATTGTTTAAATTACTCAATTCGCCAGCCTCGACTCGGCAACGGTACTTGTGACCCGTTCGGCTAGACAACCCAAGGCGTTCTGGACTGCTCGAGACAGCGAGGACAAGGGAAAAGCCGGTGAGACCGGGGTGGACTGTGGTCGTATGGATAATGGGACAGGACGGAAGCACGAGGCCGTCAATGGACAGTTAATATCCATGGGAGATGGGCAAGTGGGGCAAATCTCCGAGGAGGTAGAAAGATGAAACATTAGCGAGTGGCAGAAAGTTGCCGAGTTGCCAAGTCGTTGGTGGTTAATCGTAGAATTACCCCTGGTTGGGTGGTCCGTTCATTTTCATTTTTCGCCCGTTCCTCGTGGGTGGCGCATCGGATTGGTCAGGCCACGAAGTTTCACAGGTTTGACCATCTGAAACTTTACATTTTTACTTTTTTTTTTTTCATATCATCTTGTATTATTTTATTTTATATTATTTTATTTTCTGTTTTTTGTTTTCTCTGTCTCTTTTAAGATTTCACGTCTTATACCGGTTCGTTTTCCGAGTATTCTCGAGAGCAATGGTATGTTGGGTTTCATTCAACTCATTGTGGTTCTTGAATGCCATTGACCATCAAACAATGGATCTATCCAGTGGTTATCACTGTGTATCCATTCTGCCCAGAAAATGAGGATTGCAGGATTTCCATGGCTTGGGGCTGATGATAGTATGGTACGAATCAATCTTACGTTTGTCCACGTTTTTTTTTTTTTTTTTTTTCTTTCTTCTTCTTCTTCTTACGAGTGGGGGGGAACTGCTCCAAGGTTGCAGGGGTCGAGTGCCTGCAATCTCCACCGTCCTTTAGCCAATGGTAGATGGTGCCTGACCTGGTCGGCATGTTGATTGGCCGGACCGGGGTTAGGGTGTGCCAGGGGTACAGAACAAAATCGTTCCATCGTGCAGACGGAGAAATTCACCGTCGTCTCTTTTTAATATCCTCAAGAGAATCTTATTAAATTACCATGACTATCCGGAGCAATCACCAAATCATTTCATCATTCATAGGTAGCGTTACATCCTTTCCATGGCTGGGAGATTCTTTCAGGAGGCTGTCTGGAATGTATTTCGTACACCGTTGTGGAAGATGGGTCGGGACACTGTTCCAGACGATCTCTGGTATGGACGAACTGACCTTGGTGGTTGGGAGGATAATCAGGGGATGAAAGAAACCCCCCCGACTCTTTCCTCAATTTCATGTCCAGTAAAATCAGAAACTCTAATAATTCGTTACCGATCTTCTTTGTGGAAAAGGGAAATTCAAACAAAAAAAAAATCAAATCAAATCAAATCAAATCAAAGGATGCTGGGTTGGATTCGTCAAACATAATTCCTACGATCCCCTCTAGAACTCTCCTTTAATCACCATCGCAAAAGCCAAGCTCTCTCCCCAGCTCATTTCATTTGTGTTTAATTATTCCAGATCGTACGGCCCCACTTGGAAAGAGTGACCACGCCCGTTGAGGGGCCTTTCGACTCTCCTTTCCGTGATTAAGGTCCCCATCGACGGTTGTCTAGTCCGCTTCATCACAGCCGTCCCACGCGACGGACCACACTATAATATCACTTCTCCCTCCCCGTCCTTTGCCACTCTTCTCTTTTGTTTCCCCATTGCTGGTCTCTCAACGCATTTCCAAACTTACCTCGCCTTTGGTACACTTTTTTCCACTCTTTCAAAAAGTGTCTCCAAGGCTGTCACTCTTTTGTCTATATTGGCCTAGACCGGAAAAGCGTACATAAAACCAACCGTCTGTCCCTTTCCAAACTCCCTGTTCCTCCAAGTCCAATCGCAGTCGATCTGCCTGTTGTCGGACGAAGTTTCTCCATTCATTTCAGTACTCGATCGGATAGCTTCCCGGAGAAGTACTTTTCTCGATCGAACGCAGTTGACCTGTGAAAACACATCTCGCAAACCAACCAGACTAAACCAATCGTCACTCAACCCTCAAACACCATGCGGTCTTCCTTGCTTATGGGCGCTCTGTGCGCAGCTGGTGCCGTGGCCAATCCTCTCGACAAGCGGGCTTACACTACTGACTGGACTATCGTCACGGTGACCACTACTATCACCGCACCGGTGCCCCCTGCTCCGACGACTTCCTCTTCGACATACGTTCCCGTGCAGGAACCCGTCGCGAGCGTGGAGCCTGCCCAGCCCGAGACGTCTGCACCGGCACCGGCACCGGTGGAACAGAGCTCGACCGCGGTCTTTGTCGAAGTCCCGGCGACTTCTTCCGCTCCTGCACCGGTGGAGCCCACCACTGCTGCTGCGGCCGACCAAGGATCTGCCTGGACCTCCGCGTGGACCTCCGCGTGGACATCGTCTTGGACCTCTTCTGCTTCCCAGCCAACCACCCTGGCTAGCACCACCTCCAGTGCCAGCGGCGCTACTGCCACGAATGCTTACCAGTCAACCATCCTGTACAACCACAATGTTCACCGCAGCAACCACTCCGCCAGCTCTCTGGAGTGGGATGCCTCCTTGGAAGCTAGCGCTCAGACCCTCGCCGCCAGATGCGTCTACCAGCATGACACGTAAGAGTGCCTCTACTTTTCGTCAACTATACGATGTACTAACGGTTTTTGTAGCACCATTGATGGCGGTGGCTATGGCCAGAACATTGGATATGGTGTCTCCTCGGGAAAGATTGGAGAGATGATCACCAACCTGATGTACAACAACGAGATGGGCTACTTCGAGAACCTGTATGGCGAGGCCAGCCCCAGCATGGACAACTTCGACGCTTGGGGCCACTTCTCCCAGATTGTGTGGAAGGGCACCACCCACGTTGGTTGCGCTACCGTGACCTGCAACAGTCTTGGTAACGTTGACTCGTCCGTGGCAATCCCCTTCACTGTTTGCAACTACAGCCCGGCCGGTAAGCGATAGACACCCGTGTATCCCGTTGGTGAATCCCAGTAATCCTGACAATACTTTAGGAAACTATGCCGGCGAGTATGCCGACAATGTCCTTCGTCCCCTTGGACAGGCCATGTATGTCGCTTCTTAAATTTCGAGAGTTGTTTTCGCCTCGACTGTGACGGGAGATCTGTCTGTGCACGCAGCGGCAAAGATTCCGATCCAGGGTAGTGATTGAATCGATGGGGTCGGGTATGCACACGGGAACCGTTCTGTGGCCAGATTAGATGACCTTGGCCAACTCAGTGGTGCACAGATGCTCTCCTGTATCGGCCCGTCCGCGAGATGTGAAACTTATATGAAACTCACCAATGGAGATACGCCTGACAACTGTCAGTTTCTTGCTATTATTTGAACTTTCTCCCTGTCTCCTTCGGTTTTCCTTCGAGACCACCTCACGTTTGCCTGCGCCGACTCGCCAAGTTCATGATTGCATCCGCCATCGGAGGTTGTCTAGCCATCAAGTTGGTTCTGAGGCGCAGGCCATGCGATGCGGTGGAGATTTTGATTTACCTTCTCTGTGAATATTGCTTTTTTGCCCCGTCATGGTACACCAATGGCAACATTTGAATCGATTGATTCTTTCATCTTTTTTCGCTTCTCCGTTTGTGCATTCATGTGTTCATATGAGCGTCTTGGCGGAGCATTTTTGATGACCAAAAACTAAATGATGAGACTTCCTACGAGACTGATTTCCGCGGATTGTAGACTGTACTTGTAGAACCCCATTGATCGCCGAATGCGGCGATGGGCACTGACACATGTCGTGTAACTTAGTTAACCAATGAACGGCGTGGCTGAAGTAATCGAACCCCACGTGACCGGCCCGTTGGAGACTAAGTTCCCCGCAACCAGAAGTATAGCTGCTGCACTTTCGACCCTCCCCAGTCAGCTCCCTTCGTCCGAAACGTCATCGGGCAGAGAATCCCCGTCTAGTCGGGTTGCAAATCAGCAGCACGCCTCAGAGCCTATTCTCACTGTGACGGCAGTGGTGCACTCTATCTAACTTTGGCCCTAGGGTGGCTGCTGAAGATTGCCACATCAAATTGGAATCTGGCGATACGACGTCAATTCGGGAGGATCATTAACTTGACACTTTAGATCTACAAGCTCTCACTTGCCAGTACTAGCCTATTGTCACCGTCGCAAAACTGTTATATCTAGTGTGTCAATCGGCTGTACACGCAATTTTCGACATCCGCAATTCCGTTTCTAGTTTGTGAGACAAGACAGTAGCTCTTCTGTCCCTCTTCTCTGGTCACGCTCCACTCGGGTCTTTTGTATGACGACAGACCGGGCCTAGGAAGACTACGGGAACCTGAGCGGAGGAACTAGATCGAAAATTTTTATACCAGGTGCCTTCAACTGGTAATCCGTGTTAATTTCAACTTTTGTGGCTTTTAGGCAATTGTTCGCTCGTCTGTGCGACTGCGACCCACACATTCTATATATCTCTTGGCGCATCGCGGAGCTACTAAGGTATATCTATTATCGACTAAGCTTCTTCATCCGTTCCTCCGATACCACCTTTGCCCCAAGCGTGCCGACGCTTGAGCCTGCGACAGTGGACCGCCGTGTTTTATCCGGCTAGCAGAGCTTTGACTGTTGCTCTTATCATTACTTTTTTCTTTGGTACCTCGTAAGCGTCCCTTTCTCCGTCCATAGGCCCCGGTTTCCCTTAGCCCGGCGCCCGAGCACATGCTCTCCCCGCGCCTGTCGTTCCTCTAAACAGCGGGGCTAGAATGGGTACTCTTATACCCTATATAGTCCTTATTTATTTATATCTCCCCCTTCACTTCTTTTCATCCCATAGTTTACGTGAGACTTGTTACTGCTCAATTGCGTTGATCTTCCTCGAGACCTGCTGTTAGTCACTATCCCGTGGTTGGGTTGGTCATGCGCTACTAGCCAGAACCCATGCCCTCATACTGCCTGCAAGATTGTCACTACTTCTATCGCACCGCTTTGCGCCTACTGTCCATTCCTACCTTCCTCGCTTGTCGCTACGCTTAGTTGATCATATTCTGGACGTGAACATCACTTACTGACACGATGTCTTATTCGTCTGTTGCAGTTCGTCACTTCACGGCCCCAAAGCCACTATTGGACGCCATGGCCACCCCGCGCTCTCAACCTACCATGGAGGCTAAGATTACGCCTACCTCTGTGGATGGCGTGAACGGCGATAATGTTGCGTCAAATTCGTCAAAAAAGAAAGGGTCCACGTTCGCTAACCAAGACTCTCTCCCGAAACTTCCTATCCCGGATCTAGAGAGCACATGCAAGAAATACATTGAGGCCCTATCTCCGTTACAGACGCCAAGGGAACAGGAAGAAACAAAGGCGTCTGTCCAAGACTTTCTCAAGTCGGACGGCCCTATTCTTCAAGAGAAGCTAAAGAACTATGCATCTTCGAAAACCAGCTATATCGAACAATTCTGTAAGTGTATCCGTGAAGAGGGGGAGGGGTGTTACGTTGCTATATCGAATGAGAGCTAACATTGTAACTCAGGGTATGATTCTTACCTGAACTACGACAGCCGTAAGATAGGCCCTCTATCACAGAAACTATCTGGGTTCCAGCCTGCTGACTCTAACAGCGGTCGTTTTGAATCTCAACCCATTCTTCTTGCTCGAGGATGACCCCACACCTGCCAGGAATCACCAGGTTACTAGAGCAGCATCGCTTGTTGTATCGGCCCTCAGCTTTGTCCGAGCTGTGAGGCGGGAAGAACTCGAGCCTGATACCGTTAGAGGGACGCCACTATGCATGTATCAATACTCTCGATTGTTCGGAACAGCGCGTCTGCCCACCGAAAATGGATGTGTTATCAGTCAGGACCCCCACGCCAAGCACATTGTTGTCATGTGCCGGGGCCAGTTCTACTGGTTTGATGTCCTCGACGAGAACCATGATCTGATTATGACTGAGAAGGACATCGCCCTTAACCTTCAAGTAATCATCGGGGATGCGGAACAGACCCCAATCCAGGATGCCGCCAAGGGGGCTTTGGGTGTCCTCAGTACGGAAAACCGCAAAGTGTGGTCTGGCCTACGGGACATCTTAACGAAGGACGAAGGCTCTAACAACGCAGAATGTCTAAACATTGTCGATACAGCTCTTTTTGTTCTTTGTCTTGATTACACTGAGCCGAGCAATACGTCTGATCTCTGTGCCAACATGCTTTGCGGTACCAGTGAAGTGGTCAAGGGTGTGCAGGTTGGAACTTGTACCAATCGGTGGTATGACAAGCTCCAGATCATTGTGTGCCAGAACGGCAGTGCCGGTATCAACTTTGAACATACCGGTGTGGACGGCCATACGGTGCTGCGTTTTGCCAGTGATGTTTACACAGACACGATACTCCGTTTCGCAAAAACTATCAATGGACAGGCGCCCACTCTGTGGGCAACCAACAGCCCCGATCCGGCCAAGCGTGATCCCCGAAGCTTTGGCGATGTCAGCACTACGCCCCGCAAACTAGAGTGGGACATGCTTCCTGAACTAAGTATTGCCCTGCGGTTCGCCGAATCCCATCTTGCCGACCTTCTCAAGCAACACGAGTTCCGTGTGCTCGAGTTCGAAGGGTTTGGCAAGAATTTCATCACGTCGATGGGGTTCTCGCCAGATGCGTTCGTACAGATGGCATTCCAAGCTGCGTACTACGGGCTGTATGGCCGTCTGGAGAACACCTACGAGCCAGCAATGACCAAATTCTTTTTGCACGGCCGGACAGAGGCGATACGGACGGTTACCAACGAATGCGCCAATTTTGTGCAGACTTTCTGGGGAGAGAATCCAGCAGAGCAGAAGGTGGAGGCTTTGAAGAAAGCGACCGAAAGGCATACCGCTACTACTAAAGAATGCTCCAAGGGGCAAGGACAGGATCGACATCTCTATGCATTATATTGCCTCTGGCAGCGGTCCTTTGAAGAAGGCTCTTCCTCTTCTGGTAATAGTGTAGTAAGCAGTTCCAACGGCTACTCTAGCCCTGCTGAGAATGGCTCTACTGTGGACTCACCGAAGTCCCCGTTATCGGATGATGGGGTATCTTCTACAACTAGCTATGGCTTGCGTGCGATTCGCCCGGCGCCACCCACGCCAGCACTCTTCAGTGACCCCGGTTGGGACAAAATCAACAATACCATCCTGTCAACCTCGAACTGTGGAAATCCATGCCTGCGGCATTTTGGCTTCGGTCCGACGTCTGCAGATGGCTTCGGAATCGGCTATATAATTAAAGATGACTCGATCTCGTTCTGCGCCTCGTCCAAGCACCGCCAGACCGCTCGGTTTTTGTACACACTCGAGTCGTATTTGTTTGAAATCCGAAAGCTACTACGCGCCACAAACCGTAAGACGGCCAGTCCGCGAACCAGTCGGGCCCGGGAGATGGAGATCATCGCCGAGCGGCTCCAAGGGGATCACCGTCGGGGCCGGCTCGTCCGGGGAGATCCTGGGGCAGTGCGCCGGGGTGCCGATACACCAACGACTGACAGCGGAGAAATAGAAGACGACGGCATGGGTGGATGTAAGTTCCCGACTCAATCAATATCTCAGAGATACTAACAGCATATCAGACGGGTTCTTCGATGCCGGAATGTTATTGCATGCACTCAAAGGCTTAAATACAGACCGAGAGCGTAACGGAGACAAACCCGAACGACGCCGGTTTGTCGGCAAGAAACTACGTCTAAATGAGTACTGATTCTTTCTGCCTTGGGAGTTTTGGTTGTTTATTGTTGAGAGTTTACGATATGCACATTTAGAGCGAGATACCAATGCGACTACTTGTTCTTCAAAACTAGTTGTCAGTAGTTTTGTTGGATGCTGATCAGGTGATGGAGTAGAGGTTGTATCTTCAGAATCAAATTTTAACATATCATATTTCATATGCTCTGAGTCATTTCTTGCAGTTTAATGCACGGTCACGAATGCACAATGAGAGAAAACTTTCTGCGCGGTAATACTTATTATTAATTGCGAATGAATAATCAGCCAACCAGAATTTGGCCTGCCGCATACCGAAAACGTCGAGGAACATGGAGTTCCATCAGCTTGTGTTCACGCCACCGACTTTCTGCCCAACCGATAATTGTCGAAAACGACCATCGCAGTTTTATATCCAAATCATCGTAGGTCCGTGGATTTACATAATAGCATATCTGTAATTACTGGAAAGCGGCCTTTCTTTTCTTTTTCTCCCTTTTGGCGTTTTGTTTGCGGTACCATATCGTGGTGTCGTGCTTTGCCTCCACTAGTGATATGTACATAATGACTTCGATCCTGTAAAATGGTGTATACGATGCGAGTCGAATCAGGTTAATTGTCCTTATTTGTGATTCGAGAATATATAACACCTTTGGTGTAATTGTTTGTGTTGTTGTGATCTTGAAGGGGCGTCTAATTTTCATATATATATATTACTACAATGATATTGCCTTAACCCTTGGAAAATGCTCCACGTCTGCCACGAATATGCATGTGCAAGTCATGCACTAGATATGTAGATATGCATAGATATGCATGTATGCACTTGTAATCTGCCTTGCTCAGTATGGGGAAGTTAAGAGACAAACCGAAAATATAACGGGTATTTGTGAGTTGTTCTGTTGATCTCCTTAGGCTTAGTGGCTTGGGTTGGTGAGTGAATTGATGCGTTGTACTTCTCTTTTTTACCCTTTTTT